CAGAGAATTTTTTTTTTTTTTTAAAAAAAAATTCCACAAGGAACAACTCAATGTATAGAGGATGGCTCTGATACCACTTGTTGAGTGTGCACAGCGGAATGGTTGTGGAATATAATATGGATAGATAACCTAGAGGATGGTAAACATATTTAACTTGCTCGTTTATCCAATTTTTACTTATTTTAATTTTACCAAAATCAAACTAAAATCAAACCACAAAGCAAAAATAAAGTGCAAGTAAAGTAAATAGAGTTTGAGAGATGACACCGGAATTTTATCGAGGAAACTCCAATTGGTAGAATAGACAAATTGTAACAGAAAAAACCTTATTAGACTCTCCAGTCCTGAGATAAACGATCCACTATGTTTGAAGCAAAATATACCGAACTTTAACTCAGTCTCACACCCTATCGTTCTACTAAAAACCAATTGCTGACAATCCCTGGCTTTGTGACTCCCCCGTCCAACAGTTCTCGACCCCAGGCTTACTCTCGATCTCTATAGAAGAGTTGTAGGTAGATCAGACAACTGTAATACCCATAATTTTAAAAAGATAGTCTCGGTATTTTATTTACTATTTTATTTTATTTTGTGGGATTATTTGCATTTTGCTTAATTAATTAATTATTGTATTTACTTAATTAGTTTGACTTAACTGTTTTGTTAATTAGTTTGACTTAACTGTATTATTAATTATATTATTTGATAAATTGTAATTATTTAATTGATTTAATTATTGAATTGTTTTGCGTTAACTGTTTATTTGTTTTACTTATTGTAAGTTAGGGTTTTATGATTCACATTATAGCCAACTTATAGTCAGAATTAGGATTAGGTTTGGGTTTTAAGTGAAGCCTATATATACATCATTATATGTCGGTATAGGGTTACGAACAAACCCTATTCACGTAGTGAAATAGAGAGAGATACAGAGAGAAACAGAGAGAGATAAAGAGAGGAAAGCTAGGGTTTTGGCTTAGGCTAAGACTGAATCAAGGAGGGGAGTTTGGCATACGCTTGTGGGTTGAACTAGGAGCAGCAGAGGTCGATAAAAACAACTGACGTTGTCGGAGTTGCTAGAGACGACAGTTTAAGGTTTCAAAACTGAAACTCAAAGCAAGTCTCTATTCTATCTCTTTTCCCTAAACCTATGTTATGTGCATGCCTAGGTAGACTCCAGGGGTTAATTAGTGCTAAAACAAATCTTTTTTACATGCTTAATCGGACTAAAACAGAGAGTTTCATGATTATATATGCTTGTTCGTGATTTTCCTTATTCTTAGGTTTTTATGCATGAACTGTTATTTAAGTTGAATCTTTGCCTACTAAAACACTTGAAATAATTTAGTATGGACGTATGGGACTTAGGTTGAAGCTTATAGGCCTTAACAATGAAGTTTTAGGGTTTATAGAGGCTAAACAGACGAAGAAGACGACTTCAGCACCAACCGAGCCAACTAAGTTGGAACTCAGCCTGCTGAGTTGGCAACTTAGCCTACTGAATTAGCAACTTAGCCTGCTCAATTAGCAACTTAGCCTGCTCTCGCCTTAAATTGCAACAGTGTTGGTTTTAGGGACTGTTTGGGCTATACATGGCATCTGCACTTCGTTTAAACTGTTTTAAATGATGTTTAGGACTGTAATAGACGTGTATTATGATGGAAAAACATTAATCCATAATTGGACTAAGGAGTAGAGCAAGATGAAGTTAAGGAAAAACGATAGATTGCACACTGTTTTGGATATTTTAATTACTTGCTGAAACTGGAAGCTTCCGTTATACATAATCTATTACTGTTTAATTATATTTAAACAGAGTTACAAGTATAGTAAATTCGTGAAATCATCTATGCTTGGTTTGGAACAAAATTGATATATATATTGTGTTAATTGTATCAATTTATAGATTTTATGGAGGATTTAAATGCTATGACTCATGGTAGCAATTTAGATAGTTGGAATTTGATTTTTAGGATCTATAATGATTGCCTAATGTCATGATATATGTAGTAAACTGTATGATGCATATCATGGATAGTGGTTGATAAATAACAATTATTATTTTAACAATTATGTTATGTGGAGAATTGTATGCTCTGGTATGGGATGGTGGCATACTAGGAATGGTTTATTTCAGAACACTAAGACCTACCTATTCTAGGGACGGATTAGTTCTAATACTAAGTCCTACCTATATTGAAATAAGATGGATTAACTACAAAAGTTAAGTCCTACTTATAACTATGTGTCAGGTCAATAAACCTTTTGAATGACACACCTGGAACGGACTTTATATATCTATGCTATGGTGCCATGGTATGAGCTTGAGTCCCAGGACCATGGTTAGGTTGCGTACATCGCCTAGGATGAATAATTGGACAGAGGTGTTGTTCCCTGGTAGGTCTAGGTACACATGACCACATTATGTGCGATTTGCATGGTATCTCTACTAAGGCTGAGATAGACCTATTGGACTAGTGAACGTCCTATAGTGTGTACTTATACATATATGGACTATTCTAGATATTGTTGAGCCTATTTAGGATGTATCTGCGTATCGGGTTTATGTATGGATCGTAGTAGAATAGGACTTGCATGTGGGCCTGATCCACTCTCTTATTTTTCAAGTGCTCGTCAGTTCCAGGATTAAAGCTTGGTCGTGCAAAGCAGATACAGACTTCCATTCCACTGCCTACATAGGACTACTTTTTTATTTAACTTTGGATTTGGATTACAGTTAATTTCTTTCCAGTTTGGAATTTTATTATTAAGGGGTCCATTTGAGGGATTCCTGAGTTGTTAACTTTATGGAGTTACTTTGGAGTATTGGATTTTAATAATTATATTTTGAGGATTTTCAATTAGAATTCTTTCAGCCATTTATTATTTATTTATTCCTTATTATTTCGATTTGTATTCTGTGTTTGTTAAATATTAATTGTTTGATATGCCCTCGGGTCTGGGTCTGGGCCTGGGCCTGGCCTGATCAACCCGTATCTTGGATCCGAGGGGTATCACAGCAACACTCCACGAATGTTCTGACCCCTTCAAAGTGTGATCGCTTCACCCTCTTTTCTTCTAGATTTGAATTTGACGAAGAACGAATGAATTCTGCTTTTCCGAAATTTCTGAATCTTCAATTATGCTTCAATTCTGATAAGATAGAGAATAACACTCCTAAATCACTCTTGTGTTTATGTATGTGCTCTCAAAAATAAAATCAGAAAATCAGATTAATTTTCTGAATAAAAAATATCTCTCACAGATGGCTCTCAATTGGATCTGAATTTTCAATGCAAAAGCCATGTATAAACTTATGTGTATGGCAAGGTTTATATAGAGTTTAGAATGTCCTAATCCCTCTGAAAATATAGAAAATTTCATGCATAGGATTTGGTATAGTTCTAAACCAAATATGAAAGAAATCAGAAACAGGAAACTAGAATTGTAACCTGAACAGGACTTCTTGAACCAGTTCAAGGGTGCTAAACCGGTTCAAGATTGGCAGAAAGATTTCGAAGCCAATCTGGAAGGCCTTGAACCGGTTCAATGGGGCCGAACCGGTTCAAGTCCAGCAGACTTGAATTTTCAGGATGAACTTGGTAAAAACCTTGTTTTGGAAATTTCTGAAAATACACCGAAAGTATGGAATGCGTCCTAGCCTTTTTAGATTCCTTCCTAAAGTATTGTTCTTACCGTTTTCTCGAATGATCTCAGTGATGGTAACTTTGAACAACCTTCCAATTCTGCAGTCGCTGTCGATCCCGATATAGTAACTTGAATTACAACTCGATTAGGACTTATTTTGACACCAAAAGTTGCCAATTACAGAATAGATATTTTTCAGTCTTCCCAAAATATATATGTATATATCTCACATGGTTGTTTGTCGCAACACTAACAAAATGCTTGCTAGAAAATATTTTTCTTTCATTGACTTTCAATTTTGACTATTAATTTCCATCAAACCAAACAAACCGAAGGAAAACTATGTAAATGCCGAAGTGGCCAGCCGCAGTAGTTGTGTTCCTAATAGTATCTCCTCGACCTCGTGGAGCTGAACTTAATTTGGACTGCAGAGAAATGGTTTCCATCTAAAACGCATCACATAAGGTATGAACTTGATTAGAAATCCCTCTTAAATTTTCTAATTACTTCTAGTTCTTCAGTGTCTATTGATGTCCCCGTATTATAATTTCATCACTTGAATCAACCTTCCAATAATCAGAACACTTGGTATGTATAAAGAAGAGTAGTAACACATATCAAAGTCCACAGTTCACCCTGTATTTATGGCAGCCTCTTCTTTCACTTCCCTTTCTTTAAAGAAAGAAAATCTTTCACTTCCCTTTCTTTAAAGAAAGAAAAAGCATCAGATTATTATACCATTTTCACTGTTTCTAGTTTTGTTTCTATTTTTGTTGTTTTTATTACTAGACAAACTAGAGGGAGGGAGACTCGAACACAAGCACACCTGCTAGGAGAGCTCTACCAACTAAGCCTGGGTAATGCTTTAACGGTTTTTGGTTAGAGAAATCAAATATTCACTAAAGGTAAAAAATAAAAAAATAAAAAAATCAAATGTTCATGGCTAGCATAATCTAATTATTGTGAGTTTATTTCTTCTGCTACTATATATATATATATATATAATGCAATGTAACCATGTTAGGGACAAATCTTCAAATTGGTAAATTTAGAGCAATTGGTGATCATGAATTTGGGAAATAGACTAAAAACATATTTAATTGTTTCACACACTGAATAATTTCTGATGGTGCGAAAGATGAGTGCTCACAAGTCAACAATAAACAACTTGCGGTCCAAACAGGCCATATAGGTTTCGACAATTAGTTCTACTGTCAATTTCTTACATGCTTACCAAATGGGCATAAAAATGAACGGATCTGTTCAGCTGCAAGCCAAATTAAATAATGATCCAAACACTGACCTTTTGAGCAAAAACACCATAATTTTAAAAATATTTAAGAACTAGAGAATTTAAAGAAACTATAGTACTCCATAATTTCACTATAATTACTATTTTCTTATAGCATACATCCTCTTCTCCATAGCAATCACAGGTTACCATAACTCTGGTTATTACAAACACTTACTATAAAGCTTATTTCACTACTAATATCATGACATAAACACTCATAACACAACTTTAAGTATAACACAAACAGGGAGGGAAACAAACACTGGTAGAGTAGCTGGAGAAGCCCAAACAAACCTATATAATAGAATATCAAAGAGCCTTCAATGGAGGTCAAGTTATAGTTGTAGGCATAATCATGTCCACCTCCATCTTTAAACCCGCGCGCCTTTGTACTTCGTCGCGGCCTCTCTACTGTCTATGGTCCCTATGTAATTCTCAGCTGGCCTTGGCCTAGATGAAAAATTGAAGTTGCCATATCTCCTTGCAGCCTCCCTGCTGTCAATGGTTTCTGTGTATGTCTCTTTTCTTGGCGTTGTCGAGATCGGTACACCAAAACGCGATTGTGGTGGAGGAGAAGTGATAGATGGAGAATGGGAAGCTTCCTTCAGGTACTCCACAGCTGTGCCAATGTCATTAGTTGGCTTGCTAAGTGGGGTATCACGACCAGGCGTGCTAGTCCAACCTTTAGGAGTACTCTCTCTTCCCCAACCTTCTTTGTTGACAATGAATGGATCAGCCAAGCTCTCATCGTGTTTGTAATTGCCACTTGGCTTGTTCCAGTCACTGTTGTTGTTGTTGTTGTAGCTATTATACTGATCACCATAGCCATTGGTGCCTGCAGGGTTGCGCCAGGTGCCCACAATGCCGGTCCTAGCAGGGCGGCTGACTTCAGTTTGGACCTTGGTGATGAATTCTTCGACTTTCTGGGGGCGATCATGGACTGGGCTCGAAGGCCTGCCCCATTTGTTGTTGACAACTCCATATTCATTCAGAGGCTCGACCCTTGTGGGAGTGCTGTACTGGTATTCAGTGGTCACAATAGGTGTGCGGACATGCTCAACAATTCTCTCCACTTTTGTGACATAGCTCTGTGTGGCAGTGGGAGTGTAGGAAATGATTGGCCTTTTCCTTCCCTCAGCATCAACAATGACCGGGCGACAGAGATGATCAGAATAGTCATCTCCAACATAGCTTGGTCTGTTCCAATCATCGCTACGATTGTCCATCCCTTGGTAGGTGGTGTAGCTTCCATACCTAGACATCACTCAAATATAGAGCTCTTGAAACTTTTTTTTCCCTCCCTACCTTGAAGAACTCTCAAACACTTTCTTCTTACTTAACAAAAGATGTTGCAACTTCTCCTTATATAGAAAAGATATGTCCCATTTCGCTTAAATGATTCGATTATGGTGTGTGAGGACCGTATACTTCTTCTCCCACGGCACCTTAAGATTCTGATAAGGTCCTTCCATTACGGCAAAGGTTAGAAGAATCAAATTATGCTTGTACATGAAAAGTGACCTCCATTGCTGCCCTGTGCACAAGATTGCAAATGGTCTTTAGGTGAAGAATTCACTGCATCCACAATAAGAGAATAAAGAAAAGTAAGAGAATTTCTTTTGACTGTATGAGAAGTAGTGAATATTTCATTCTGTTTTGACAAGGAAAGAATTGGAATAACAGTTGCAACCAGACAAAGAGTTATTAGTGGGGCATTGAGACACTGAGTGAAAACAGCTCTATCTCCACTTTCAAAGTGAATTATCACTTGAATGGAATTTGAACTCATATGATCTCTCTCTCTCTCTTTATTAAAGTTTACACCTTTTTTGACTGATGGAAACCTCTGAAAGGATTGCTCACAGAAGTAAGTGTTTCTCTAATTTAATACATTTATATAAATCTCAGGAATTGGTGTCTTGAAATGTTGTCATCATTTGTTGATGAAGCTACTTCGCATTTGCTTTCTACAATCTACATTTGTTTACTTTATGCTTTCTTATCCATTTTGTTGACAAACGACCGCAGATAGAATAAAGAATCACAACAAAAAAAAAAAAAAAAAAAAAAAAAAACACACCACACAAAGAACACAATGATTTATACATATTTCGGCAACAACCTACATCCACGGTATAGATCCGGCAAAAATCTTCACTATCTGTCTTTCACTACTCCCAACCTTAAGTGCCCTTATATATCGGGATACAAGAGACTAATTAAGATTCACAACCCATGAGCAAAAACTGGTCAAAAATTTTCTTTCGGCCCCCATAGCAGTTCTCTATTTGAAATTACTACATTTTTATCCATAAAAACAAAGGAGTGGGAAATGTATGTACTTATTCGTATGGGTCTCACTCCTTTTGTCTACAAGTAAGAAAATGCAGTCTAGCATGTATAGCACCATCATGATGTCCATTTTCAGTCCATTTCTTGTTCTAACCATGTTTCCAAATTAGTGGAAGTTTGATTGTTGAATCTTCCCATAATAGCATTTTGTCGAAGGTCTCTCATTCCCTAGGCTAAAAAACGTAAAGATTAAGGTGAGATTTCTTGATGATGTAAAGAGCTTGGTAGGGCTGGTGTTTTTGCCCCAAAGGGGTTGTCATAGATGGGTCCTGAAAAAGTAAAAGTTGGGGGAACAGAGTTTTGCTTCCCAGTAAAATCCCAACATTTGGAATCAAGATCCAACTTTGTACCATAAAGCTTCATTTATCTGTTCATAAAAGCTTGATTAATTTAAGGGCTAAGTATCTAAAACACCTCTAAGGTTGTCTTTTAGCAAATAATACCTCTCTTTTACTTTGGGTAAATAACTCCTTCAAAAATTTAAAAATGTTGCAAAGAAGGATTTTTCCGCCGTTACAGTTAAAAATACACCGTTAAAAAAACATGTTCATGTCACATGATTAAATTTAATAAAGACTAAAATTACCCTTTGTTGATTCCCAAAACGCAATTCCCTGTTGTTTATAAATCTAAAAAATATAGGATATAATAGTAATTTTACATTAACTTAATTTTTATTTTATTTTATTTATTTTTTAATTGTAGTAAGGGTATTTTAGTATTTTTATCACCCCATTAATAGCCAATTGACGGGAGGTCCTTATTTGCCCCAACAACAAACGTTAGGAGTTTTCAGAACATATAAGAGGTTATATGAACTATATGCATACAGGGATGTTAAATGCTCTCGAGCCTTAATTTAATGTTAATCCACAACCTTATCACATTGTTTGATATATTTATGAACTAATACAGTATTAAAATTCATAAAATGTATAATATATGTTTTGGAATTGATATTGATGTGGTATTGATAAAGTTGTCCACAATGAAACAGTTCAGTATATGAGCCACTGTAACTTAGCTGCACAAATTCTTAAAGACCTCGCTTTTATCAAATCAACTATGGTTATTTAAATTCACTTCACACATGAATGAGTTCATTACCTAGAGTTTCAACTATTTCAGTACTGCATCACAAGCATATGTAGCCTAGCGGTATTTTCTTACGTTCCAAAGTTAAAGGTCGAGGGCAAAAAGTGAGTGTGTGAATGAGTTTCTTGTGAGGGGACAAAAAAAACTATTTCAGCATTGTCAATCTTGCCAAAGCAGTGGCATGATGTCCCTTTATAGGACTATATTGCTCCAATTTCTAAAGCATGGCTCTCTGTTATGGTTGGTGGCAGAGTCACTGTTTGCTTTATACTGCAATTGGCACCATTGGAGGAGGGGGGCAAGGACCCTCAGCTGTAAAGATAGCACGGAGCATTTATCAGAGTTTGGTTGGAGGGTAATGGAAGGAAAATAAAAGAAAGGCAATGGAGGAAAGTGAAATATTATGTTTGGTATAAATTACTAAAGGAAAAGAAAGGCAACTGAGGGATTCAGAATGATACAAATTAGGTATGAAGTGTTTGTTGGTTTTGTTGTCCTCCCAGAAATGGAAGGAAAGGCTAACATTTTTTGCCCCCGTGGCTTGGTGATGGTGGTAAGATAAGGGGCTGGGTTCTAATATGTCTCGGTTTCGAATCACAACACACCCATTATAATCTATGATTTAATCGGTGCTGTCATTGTGGGGCTGGTTGCAGTACTCTCAATTTGTAACTTGGGGTGGGTCCAAAGGGCACTACCAAGGGAATTCCGAATTCCCGGGGGGGGCGGGGCGCTAATGAAACTTTATTAATATCAAATTTGTCCTTGTGATAGTAAATTTATTAAAAGAATTTTCTTTCTAAAAACATGGTTATTATCATTTTATTCCTTTTCTTTTATTAATAAACCAAACACAATAAGTAATTAACAATATCATCTTATCTCATCTCCTTTCCTTTTCTATCATTTCTTTTCTTTTCTTTTCTCTCCTTATTTGTTGAAGTGACACTGTGCAACCCTCTGACACGAAGTACACAAGATGTGCCGTCAAATAAATGCTCGAACACTAAGAACCGTTTGCTACATTCAAGGGAGAAATGTACAACAATCATATTCTGCAATTTCCTTTCAGTTTCTTCGTTTTCGATACACCTAGATATTCCTTTTGTGACTCTTCCAGTGGAGATATGGAAGAATCATATTCTGCTTATCCAAGGATTGTGACTCCCATTACCTTTTTACAAGCACTTCCCTTTGCCTCTGCTTCACATACACACTGAATTGTCTGTCTTTTATATCACATCTTGCAAAGTTCAATGGAATTAAGAGAGTAAATTCATAACACTACTTCATGGTCCCATTCAGCAAGGCAACAATCAGGGAAAGTTTTGTTCCTGTTAGGGAAAACTTATTTTGTCTTCTACTTACTTGTCTTTTTCTAGGCAAGACTCCTTTTGTTTGGATGTGTCACGACCCTAAAATGATATTAATTCTAAAAAAAATTCGACATGACCTCTACTAAAAAAGGGTCCTACCATAACCTGTTGAAATGCATAAATAAAAAAATAAAAATAAAAATAAAAATAAATTTTAATGACCTCACTTGACCATAAACTAATCTATCATGTCCCAACGCACAATGCAAACAATATACCAATTTCCAAAATAACTATATACATATACTTAAAGTCCCTTCCCTCCAATTCCTTCAATAAAAAAATATGGAAGTGCTAGTCCACTACTTATTCTCATACTCCTTTACAAGGAACATAATCTAATTACAAATTATACTAAAGTTTTACAGAATAGTCAAAATTTATATTTACAAAATATTAAAGTTGTAAAACAAAAATAGAAAAAATATGAATTTCCAATCCCGTCTAAACTTGTGGTGGATGGTTGTTCGCCACCTCCTTTCCGTGTCTTGAAAAATATTAATAATAAGGGGTGAGCAAAATTGCTCAATAGGTGGTGCATAAAACACACCTCTTGTGACCCGTGAATCCAAACAATGAATAGGAATAAAGGATAGGGGTCATGCTATGCCGGGAGAGAATACAACATTAATTCCAATTTTCAAATAAACAATGCCGTGCCATGATATGCAATGCCATGTATGTCGCTCCCCATTTTCAAAATCTAAATCCATCACTTTTCAAACTGTTAATATAATCCGTCCATTGGTGACTCCGCAGTGACACGAGAGAAGGATTGGCTATTTTCCCTGACCCTTGGTACCCCCGCGACATCATTTGGGGCCAGATAGCTCAACCATGCCAGGGTGTTTTCCCTAATTCCCTCTAGGTTAATTAACACACCGGCTCTTTGGTGACTCCGCGACAACCGGGTTTTCTCAAAACCATTTAATTAATATTTCTTCCCAAAAATCCATTTTTTTTTTCTTTTTTTTTTTTTCAAATAATTTGCCTTCATTCATACCCAATGAAATGCATACATGTCTCATACTTTCAATGCTATGATAATAAGGAATTTTCATACAACACAATTAAGCATGCTTTACAATAATTCTAAGAAAATTACACATGCTTCCATATATTATTTCTAGCAATTTATCAACATCATAAACATAGAAAATCAACACTTAGGCATGCTTTTCATACAAATCAACTAATACATAAAATCAAGAACTTTGTACACCACAATTAAATCATTTGGATAATCAACACCAATTAAACATGCTAACAACAATTATCAAGAGATTAACTCACATAGGCACAAGAAAACATAAATTAGAGACCCCTACCTCAAGGAGGATAAAAAAACTCCAAAATGGGTCTCAAAACGGGAATCCCTATAATGCACTAAAACTGAAATTACTTATATGGATGTGAAGATCTCGCCGTGCCCTTCGAATTACCGTAAACGGCTTTCAAAAATTCCAAGTAATGAAGGAGGAATCAATGTTTAAAGTTTGAAGTAAAAAGAAAAAGAAAAAGGAGAGTGAGAGAGGAACCAGCGGGAGAGGAAGAGAGAATTGAGACCAAGAATGTGGTCTCATGACCACTTAAAGTGGTGGTGGGTCCCACCTCCAAAATAATTTCTTTTTTCTTTAATTTTATTTTCTTTTTACACCACACACATACATATATGTACACATTTAATTCACAATCACTTTAAATACAATACATAAAATAAATATGATGCAAATAGACCCAACTAAAATCCCCGTGTACAACAATTCCTGTAGCGGGTCCCACACGGGACCATTCGGCTCGAAAAGCGAAAAAAAATGCAAAAATGACAACCTTGCATTTTAAAGAATCCTGAACTCAATGAAATACCCCAATCAATTCGTAGACACAACCGGCACACTCCACAGTGTCCGGTACGCAAAACGACAAAAGACAAAAATGCCCTCGCAACGACAAAAATTCCGAAAAATGGAAAAATGGTGAAAAATGGAAACATCACCTCCTGTAAAATATTTTTAATTTTTAATTTATTTATTATTTGATGTTTGATTGTCGTAAAATATTTATGAAGAAAAAAATATTAAAACCTAACAAAATAATTTACCTATCAATTTTGGGCAAGTTATTTTATACATCCCGCCCGATGGCCTTAATTTCAACCTCGACCTAAAACTTTGTCAAACACCAAAAAAGTAAAAATAAAAAAATATTTTACTTGAAAAAGGAAAATCTTTTTCGATGAAAATATTTTACGTCGAAATAAACGGAACCTAATTTATTATTTTTTTTTTTTTATTTTTTTTTTTCATCTTCACACAATTGATTTCTTGGTGTCATGTGGTGCAAAGAAGCCACCTCCATAAATTGGTATTGGAACACTGTGTGCATTTAGATATTGGAAATGTTGCAATGGGTGCTTGGCATAATGAAAGCTTACATTTTCAAGACTAAATATGTGGGTTTGGATTCAAGAGAACCACTTTACTAAAACAAGAGGTAGGATAAGATGTTGTTTTGCACTTAACAGTCCACAAGCCTCACACTTATGAAAATTGAGAAAATTTTATAATATTTCGGGGTACCGTACTTCCGACTTTTTAACTGTTGGATGTGATGGTGAAACCCACCTAATAAATGATCCAACGGTATGAGACTCCGGAGGTATAGGTACCCCAGAGTGTTGTAGAACTTTTCGTTAGAATTATGGAATCCTCAAATGAAGTACAACATTATGTTATACTTATTCAGTCCCAAAATATATGTCTTTTTAGAAAATCTAAATTTTAGAGGAATGATTTTTATTATATTAATAGTGAATGAATTAACAAATTTACTCCTAGTGAGTTTATAATGTGATGCATATGTTTAATACAAAAATGTTAAACTGGTAATATTATAAAAAGGTACATTAATTTATTAAATTAAACACTTATTTTGAAACAAATAAAAATAAAATAAATTAAAGTGGAAATGTGAACAGTAGGAATATTACAGAAAACGTGAACTCCTAAAACAAACATTTGGTCCATATCCTGTCCACTCCTCTCATCACCCTGCATTGATAGGACCAACACTGTATGATGGTATTTTTAAAGACTGATAAATATTTATTGAGCTCGAATATACATTTTTTTTTTTTTTTTTTTTTTTGACTGACTGACCTATAGATGATATGTATTCCATTTACAAGACAGGACTATTATTACAAAGTCTCAAAAGTAGTGTAGGGTTGGGCAGAAAAACAAAAGCCATGGTAACATCAACATGCTCGTTCAACTAGACATAATAATATCACGGGAAAACTATTTGTTTCGAAGTTTCTTCCCTTCTATTTACATTTCACTTTTTAAAGGTTAGGATTTAACATTTCATATATTAGGTTAGCCTCAAGCTAGTGGTGAGATTTTTGACCTTGTCATATAACTCCTCAACCCTACCTAGAGCATCGGGGGAAGGGATAAATGTAGAGTAGATTTTAGTAAAGTAGAGAAAGAAGGGACTGGTATGGATGAATGATAGAGTCCTTAATTAGTGATCTCCACCTGCTATTGCCTATTTCATTCTCCACAGTTAGACAATCACATGAATAATATTTATCCATTTTGTTATAATATTTTAACATTTTCTTTGTTAAATTTTGGTGTCATTTCTCAACATCTTCAGCTATAGCCGGTGGATGGCCCACCTTTGGAATTTAATTTTTAAATTAAATTAATTTAATAATAAATAGATAATGAGATATTGATGTTGCATACCTTAGAACAATTTTTAATAAAAAAAGTAGAGTACCATATAAGTATTTTTTATTAAATAATGCTTATGTGGTACTCTATTTTTTTAAAAAAAGATAGAGAAGGTGTATGATGCATACCAAATGCTCTTACATGTTACATGGCGGTAAAATGTTTAAAAACTTTACCACTACTTGATTAAGTAGAAAAAAGAAGTAAAAACTGGTACAAGGTAACATCACAATATATGGCATTATTGGCACAGGGAACTTTAGTTTTTGACTAATTCTGACCAGAGTCAAGACTTGGTGTAATGGTAAAGTTTAAACTCATAGCATTACAAAAGAGTTCAAATCTTAAGATGATTTTAGTAAACAATATAAAAACTTAGGTTACACTTAAAATCCATCATGGCCTTTGAAATTTTATTATCCAAAGATACTCTGATTCCATGAATTGGTTTAATAATGTATCGCGGATCCGGATTTTGCTCCTGTGTAGGGATCAAAACCTGTGTCCGGTGTATCAAAACTTTATCATGGATCCATATCCTCTCCTGTATAAGGATTCAAATTTATGGGTCAGGTGCACCAAAACAGTGCACTGGTGCGGAACCCAACATAGGGCCGTGTTGGGCTCTATGCTAATATATCAAAACCGCCCCATTTTAGTCTAGAGGACGCACAGATCCCCTCCTACAAAGGAGGGTATCCTCTTCCCATGTGTCAAACCAAGATAGCGATTAAAATCCTCTCTTGCGAAACTATAATTATGTCTCCTCCAATTAGTGATGTATGCAATGAAAATATTGTGACGTGGGATTGAACATCACAACAATTTCATAGAGTACTTCACTAACTAGATGAAAAAGGATGTGAGATAGGATTTTAGTTGCCAGGATAGCATCTCATATATCTACATGTTTGGGTTTTGACCTTCCATGTGTCATTTCAACCAATGGAAATGACAAACATTGCCTTACTGGACCAAAAATTTTGCTATTCTCAGCCCATGCATTAGTATTCAGATATGAGTTAAGTGCATAAAACACCTCTAGGTATGTTTACAACACGTATTACACATTTTATGTACAAAAAAACACCCATAAAGTTTAAATTTGGTGCAAAAAAATTCCTCTGACAAATTTAATCCTTAAATTGATTAAATTACACTTACTGAACCATTTTATAAGATATATAAAAATAAATAATTTTGTAAAATTACCAAGGAAGACACTATTGGAGGATCCCCCTCTCGTGCATAAAACACCCTTAAAGTACAAACTAAATAAAACAACATTTTTCTACACTCCAAAAACCAGTGCACACTAATATTAGGAATTATTTTATTTTATTTTATTATTATTATTTTTTTGTTTAACACTGCTGGTACGAAAAATAAATAAATAAATAAAGAAAAAAAAATTAGTAAAAAAGAGGAAACAAAAATCTCAAAAAATTCAAATCCTTGTTCTACAAATTCTCAAAGTTAAAAAATAAAAATAAAAATGTTTAGAGATATATATATATATATAAATAATAAAAATAAAAAAAATAATATAAACATAACACCCCTACCCCTATACTATGAAATTAGTAGCATATATACCCCCTTGGTTATTTTCGAAAGATCAAAAGGGTAAAACGAGTATTACAACACCAATTTATGTCAAATGGAATATTTTTGCACAGTATGAAAAAATTAAGGATGTTTTTTATACACTTCTTCAAATAAAAAGTAAAAGTGATACGAGGAGTATACTTTAAAAGTGCTTTATGCACTTATCCCATTCATATATAGATGACAATCCCCAAAAAGAGTGAGTAATTCCCAAGAGTCAATACATGTTTTAATTGATTATTTTTTCAATTAGGAGTAATGTTTTCATGCTATTTATCAGACACCAACTTCAGCACATGTTTGGGCATGCTATCCTAGGAACAATATGATGAATATAACTATATTGTATTATGGATAACTATTATCATACATAAAAATAAAATGATCTACCATTTTAAACCAGTTGTTCTGGTTCAAATGTTGGGACTTGATCTGTGGGAGCGGAAGTTGCCCGATATACAGTTCTTTCAATGACACCCCTATAAGGGTCCTTTTCCCTCTTCTTAATCAAATAAGCAATATTGCGTTCAACCTCGGATTTTATCTGCAAATATAATTCTTTTGCATTTCGTTTGTCTTTCAGCATCTCTTTCTTTCCCTTTGTTGGTATTGGCTTTCCAAAAAGATAGTAAAAGCGACCGGGTACCTTGGGCAAAATGCCCGGAAGAAACATATCTTGGTTGTGAATCTCACCATCCGTTGTGGGCCTATTACCAAATCATATATTCCATAACAAATGCAGCTTCAATGTTTTGATCATAAAAATTAGACAGCTTTATAGCAATCTAAAAATATAGGCTTGTAAAAAATATTGGGAAAAGACTGCATTTTGTCAAGGTAAGAGTAGTTACCTCAATCTTATAGCCTCTTGATTACTTTTTCTAATGAAGTCATTAACTACCGGGATTCTCATCAGGTCGTTGTGATCAAGTACTAACTGTGGCATCAAAAGTGATCAGAGAGTCAAACCGGAAGTCATCAGATATATAAGCAGAGTGTTGATGCAAATGCGTTCAAAAAATTCAAATTTAAAACCAAAAAAGTTAAGTTGTGTATCATACGAATCTGTCCAACATAAAAAAATAAAAAAATAAAAATAAAAATAACAAGTGGTAAGAAGATAGTGGAATTAGTCCTTAGTCATGCAAGAAGACATAAATGCATAAAACTGACACAAAAAAAAAAAAAGCAGCAATGAGGGAAAAAATATGCATGCACTGGAAACAAGATGGATGTATTAGCAGATGAAATTGAAGAAAAATCAGAAAAAAATAAAAAATAAATAAACCAAACAAAAATAATATCCTAACCAAAATAGAATATAACTTGTCCTTGCATAATCACCTCATTTATGAAAAGATACACACAAGTCACAACACATTGCACACACTTTCAACAAGGAAGAGAGTAAGAGCTTGTTTGGTTTAATTTTCTGTTCTGAGTTCTTTGAGAACTGTTTTTCGAAAAGGCCCCAAGGTGTTGTTTGATAACCCAATTCAGCACTTAATTCTGAATGGATTAAATGATTATCTAAATAAGTGCGTTTGATAATGCATTTTGAATCACTTAAAATGACGCAAAATCTTAAGTGAAAGTGAAAGTGAATTCACTTATATTCCAAATGATTATCCAATCCTGTTACTTCAACCATCTCTACAAAGTGTTCATTTCTAATTTTACATATCTAATTATTCTTTATGTTGCCCTATATCCATCTCAACATTGGCGTCACTTCCACACTCATTTTATAAGTATGTTATTTTTTAGCCACCCAACATTCTCGTACCGTAAAGTATAACTTGTCTATTAGCTGTTTTTGTAAAGTTTACCTTTCAATTTTAAAGGTACACACAGATATTGGCATAAGCACTAATCCATTTTAAACATCCTGATTTAATTATGTGATTACCATTGTCTTCAATTTCCCTCTCGTGGTGCATAATTGAGCAGTGAGGCTTACTGTAACCTTTTAACCAAAAAATATAATAAACAACAAAAATACTTCTACCCATGAAGCCACACCCTGATGCTAAAGGAGTTGCTTGAGACTCTTCAAGCTGCACAGATACTATCATGCCCCTAAAAGTTTCTTGATAACTAAATTATTCTTATTGTTCTTTTTTTTTTCCCCTTGCTATGAAAGTTAGGCTAAATTAAAGTTCAGCATCTGTTATGCGGAAAATGGGTATCCCTGGCTGTTTTAAATAATTATCTTCCCATGACGGGTTTTACAGTTTTACATGTGTTTCTAGACTCCTCAAGGCCACCGGTTCCTATGACTATCCTGCACTAGTACAACTTTGAAAAAAAGGGGCATTATATAGAGTCGTTCTTCTCAGTCTAGTGTGTTAGGAGGGCAGGCCATTATCCAGTGTGAAACCTTGAAAACATTTTAAAATTTTATTCTAACGAAATAATGGGAGTGGATCACTTGGCAGTATTTAAGGATGGACAAATATGGGTTGATTGCACGGATTGCCACCACAACCAAAAACACAGCCCCAACCATCATCACCACTGGCACAACTACCACCACAACACCCTCATCACCACCTCTCACATTGCAACAGCTCACCATCACATCAGCTGTCAGCTGCACAACCACAGTCACCATACCCCATTTGCTAAAACCATTGGAATATTACTGCTGTACCATTGCTACTGCCACAACAACAATGGCAAGGATGACACCTCTCTCCCAACCACCACTAAAATTTGAACACCCACACCACTTCGAATAGTGACACCAATATCACCACTGCTGCTGCCAACACCACTGCAATTGACTATTCACCACCAGACCACTACCAACTTTACCACCACTTATTATCCTTGCCACTCCTTTAATCCACTCATCATTGCCAACATTGCATCTACTCTAGGTTGGATTATTCTCAGTATGATTGTTGTTATTCACCGCACCTCTCTCATTATTACTATCAGTCTATCACCATAAGCATCTCTATTATATTATGAAATTAAACTAATCTCAGAACCTTCTATGCGGCTTCCATGTCTGTGTTGGATACCTTAGACACTGACGCTTCATGAAAACAACTAGACACGTGTCCAATACCTCATAGGTGTTTCCATAATTAAAAATAATTTATTCTTTTAGATACTTGGCCGATATATACCAGATGCTGCCTAGCACAACACTTATGTTGCATGAACACATCTTAAAATGAATCATGTCCAATTATCTTATGAACAAAATGAACACATTCCAAAGTGTCCAATCTTTTCTTTAGGAAAGACACAAATTATATGCATGGTCATTGTAAGTCAAGCATGTAAAGGGTACTTTTTAAGATGGGACAAGACCACAAGCATAATGAAAAAATATAATAGGAAAGTACTGAGACTAGTATACATAAAATAAGAAACTCTATAACAACTGCATAGCTTAATCTTCCACGTTGTGCAATTCATAATATGAAATTAGAAAATAATCAAAATTCTAATAATTGTCTTTTGTAATGTATGTAAATAAATCTAACATTTCATTATTTATACATCGTCGGTCCATAGCTTACATTTCAATAATTTGACATGTCAGCATATCTGTGTTGTATCGTATTGGTTTCCTGTGTCTATGTTCTATATTGAAACTAAGAATCTTTAAAATACAAAACAACACTGACCACCAAACATGTTACAGTGCCATTGATACAGTTGATGAATAAAAACACGTCATTAAATATTTCTAGTTGGCCCTTAAAACGGCAACATTCAAAACCATGGAAAAAATAAAATAATAGCTAAAATAAAAGCTTTAGGAAAATGCATGTGCCAAACAAAACAATGTTTCACTATCAAAAACATTGGGGGCTCGTTTGGTTCAGTTTTCTGAAAACTGTTCTTAAGAACTCTGAAAACAGAAAATTGTTTTTAGAGAACTATAAAAGAAAGTTGCTGAACCAAACCTTTTCTTAAATTGTCAACCAAACAGATTTTTGTACAGTTTCTGACTTTCAGTTCTTAGAAAACCAGACCAAACAGGCTCATCGTTTCTATTCAATTCCTTTAGAGAAAAAAAAAAAAAAAAAAAAAAAAAAAAAAAAAAAGAATAAGAAGAAGAAGAAGAAGAAGAAGATGAAGAGAGAGAGATTGGAGTGAAAAGGAAAGAGCGTGCTTACTTCTGCTATGTCATCTTCTCCAATAACTCCAAATGGTACAATGGTGGCCCCAAACCTTGCTGCCATCCTAACGAACTCAGGCTGTTCAGGCCAAAATAACTTGTATGTTTCACCCTGGGAACCATATAAGCACCATCAATGTCCAAAACGAAATTCTTTATGAATATTAAATAATACATTTATCAATTAAACTAATGTGCATTGCCTTAAGCAACCAGAATGGAAGTTCCTTACTCATTATAGGCAACACAACGATGGCTTCTCTCAGCAGCCTCTTAATTTCTCCCTTAGTATATAAATGGCGTGTGATAGTATCACAACTACATATAAATGCATAATGAAGGATTGACTAGCTGGACAGTGACACACCAAAATTTTACATCAGTGAAATGTTCATTATTTTTCCAATGTAACTCAACATTTCTAATGGTTAAGACACCATTAAACTTTAAATACGAGGTGGAACTCCTCTACTCATCCCTTTTTTGAGATATTCAGATTTTTTATAGTTCAACCATCTTAACATATTTACACTGCAATTAAAGATTCCAGAAACAATTTCCTACAATTCTAATGACATACTAGTAATAGAAACATTAGCCATCAACAACCCTAATGTCTATTTCCTCTCCATAATTCGTGTAATAAGCTGTCCAACCCCATTCTATGCCTTGAAACATCAACCAAGTTAACACACAGTACTCAATGGAAAATGTGCATGTATACAAATTACTGAAAACAATATTTGAGTAAAGAAAACATGTAAAATCAAGTAAGTGAAGGAAGTGTGTAGAGAATCTAACAGGAAGCAGAAATTTCACAAAGAAAAATAAATAATAAGAAAAAAATGAATAAATAAAAAACTAAAAGAACCATATTGTCTCTCATAGTTTCACCTTAAACCATACTATCAATTACACTATGATTTAATTTCATTTTACTTTTGCGATGGAGAATATGGTTTGACCCCTGGCTTCTCGCTTACACTAATGATTTTGCCATCACTGTTATCCACTTTGGAATGGACAAAAATTTCATTTATGAGTATCATTTCTGTCTACTCAAAAATGATAACTTTCCGGAAAGATATTTTTTTTTTGATAAGTAAGAATTGTATAAAAAGCGCTCAAGAGGGGAGTGCATCCCAAAGGAACAACAAAAGGCAAAACCACTAAGCCTTCTAAGAGGCCAAAAAAACGACAATGGCCAAAAAAACGATAACTTTCCGGAAAGATTTGGAGAACACAATAGAAATTGGGGAAAAAGAAAAACATCGAAACACTAGTATCCATAACACAAGATCCAAATATGGGTGAATATAAGTTTCCTTCCATGTTTTCAACTTTCCATACTTCAATTATAATTAAAAGAAAATTTATCAACAATTGCATAGCAGTTACCGCATTAAAGCAAAGTTTGCCCAAAACAAAAATTAAACCAAATGGTTATCTAGCCTATGCAATATTATCTGTCTTAAAATTACTTTGACCTTAAATAGTTCAGACAAAGGAAAAGGAAGATATCAAATGTGCATTTCCTGTTCCTAACAATTCTTTAAATCGCATATAAAATCATTCATTAATGCTTTTCTTCAGTTTTCTAACAAATATACGATGACTTTAAATTTCCTTCTACACATTTATATTCCTTAAGAATTCACTTCTAGAGTGAACAAATTAGATAATACTAACACCTTTTATGACAGGCCCCCAGACCCAGTCATAAGCATTGTGCTTTAGCAGAGTTTCATATTCAAGGTCAGAAAATCAAGCCAACAAGTTTTAAGGGAGGAAAGGATGTTAAGGGCTCATTTTGGTGCTTTTACTTAACCTCAGAGAAAACAGAAATGGAAGAAAGAAAGAAAGAAGATACTATTAAAATTGGATTTCTAGGTTGCTAGAAAGCTTTTCTAAGACGATAACTACCAAGATAAGAACGACAAGAGTGAACAGATATGGAAGCAGCCAAGCATGCAAACATAAATAGCAGTGTTACTCACATCATAACTATACAACATCATTGTTGGAGGCAATTTTCACAAATATCACCCAACACAAACTTGGAAGTGTTTCATTTTCCAGGGAAAAAATAAGGTTCAAAAAGTGTACTTTTTAAATTCTACACAATGACAGAACAAGCAGAAGTACTAGAGTGCTTTTGAATATTTACACAAGTTTCCTGGCATATATATATATATATATTTACCATTTATGAAACAGAGTGATAAACAAGGACACCCAAGATTTTGAAGGACAAAGGAAGAATACATGAACAATCATACAATTTATCAAAGATGAGATGTACAAATCTAGCATCAATGGTTCTCTCGATCGTAAAACATAACTAGTTGAATTGAATAGAAGGAATTTTTGACATACCTTACGATGGAGAGCCTCACGTACCCCACCAGGGTAAAGCAGCACATGTGATTTTGTAGATAGCAATTTGAAAAGGTTGCTTGGTGAGACAGGTGTTCCACCAAACAATCTGATCGAATCAGAGTAAGAGAACTCATTGGATTGACCTTTAGCCTGCTCCGTAAATAACTGCGGATGTGCTATACCACGAACAAGTATATTCTTCTCTATCAAGAATTCTTCAATAAGTGGAACAAGCTCAAATCCCATCAACATATGATAACCAACTAATAAGACAGGTCCTTCATTTGGAACCCCAGCAAGACTTCTCACTATCTTTCCGTCTTCCAAAGTTGAAAACATCACTGGACTAATAGCTAAGCGAAATAATCTGCATTTATTGTATTATAATAACAGCTTCAGCCACACATGCCACAAATATGCATTTGGGAGCGACTCAGGCAGGCTGTTGCAATAATGATTTAACATTGATTTAGCAATATTTGATATCGAATCATCCACTCAGGAGAAAATTTTATGCTCAATTGGATGCAAAGTAATGAATAAATTTGACCTTAGAATGTTCATGTGACCATTATATGCGAATGTTTGACCTGCTGTATGGATTACATAGAACAATTCTACAAGACTTTATGATGGAAATCAGGATTGGACCCAAGCCTATGCGAAACATGTGATTCACACCCATGCCAAGCATAGATGCAAGAGATAAATTTAGGGGTTTTTCTTTTAATTTTAGGACTTACATTATTTAATATTCATTTCTATATTTGTTATATATCTTTTAGAAATATCTATTTTTTAAATTAGCAACTAGGGTTTGGTAAGGGTTTGCCTATATTCAAGGCAATATCTAATGGGATTATTATGCTTTATGATTGACTATCAAATTAGTACAATATTGCAAACTTTCCCCTTTCCCTATTCTCTACTCTCATTTTTCTCTTCTTTATCTCCTACATTCAAGAGTACCAAAACTCTCCTGAGATGAATTCTTCTCAGACGGAGAAAACTGATGGAAATCAGGATGGGACCCAAACTTATGGGCCTGCCACATGTGGTTCACAACTACGCCAGACATAGGCACCAAAGGTAGATTTTAGAGTTCTTTTCTTCTAATTTATAGTTAAGACTCTTTAATATTTATTTTTTATGTTGGTGTGTATATTTTTGACAATATGTACTCTTACATTACTTAGTAATTAGGTTTTTTCTATAAAGTCTTTGTGTAATGTGTTTATTACACTCTGTTTGAATATCGAGTTACTATAATAATTCAGGATTTTCTTCCTCTCTGCGTGTGATCTCTTCCTTCTGTTTCTTCTTTCCCTATTATTCTCTTCTTTATCTTCTCCTTATTTTTATCTCCTGCATCACATTATATTGTCCTTCTGAAAAATAGGTTTTGATCTCCTTGGGGTATCAAAGACATATTTTTAGCTTTAGAACTTGAGAAAAAACTCTAGTATTGAAATTTGAGAAATTAGACCAAGCACAAATAATTTTGTTCAAGTGGAGATATAACTTTCTATTCTTGTGAAGCTTTATTTTTCCAATGCTATTAGTGAATTCAAATGAGGGATATTAAATTATTCAAATGTAACTTGTTAAGTAAAAGATAATAAAAATGAACTAGGGCATAGCATCATTCTGCAAGGCTATTCGAAATTCATTTTTTTTAAGATATTGAATCTAATACCTTATATAGTTTCATGTCTGCCTTGATCCTTCCAATCTTGATTATTTTAAGTAAATCTATCTCATGCTTTTATCTAAGATTTATTCTTGAATCTCGTCATAAGTTAATTATTTAAATTGTCACTCAGATCCTTAGATAAAGCTGTAGAGGTGTACTTCAATATAGAGTATAACATGTATTTTAATTTTAATTTTGAAATTATGGAATATACACTTGTAGTTTATTCTTTCATTCATTTTAAGGTTTTTTTCCAATTGAAGTCTATAATTTTGAACTAGTGACTATGCATACATCCATGTGGAGTTGATTTTTACTCTCATTTCTTGGAAGCTACATGGTAGCTATACTTTTTTTTTTTCATAAATAAAAGTATATTAGAGAGCGTTCAAAAGGGGAACGCATCCCAAGGGCTATATAAAGGCCGGAGCCAAATAAAGGGTCCTAGGGACCCAAAGAACCCAAAAAAATCCATGATTTCATCAAAAGATATACCTATATGGTTTCTTTTTTTTTTTCCCTGATCTTAAGACTCCATTAATAGTTGTGATTCTTTTTATTGCAGTCAGCTCTATTGAAACGCAAATGATAATAAGGATGATTTTTTAATGTCTTTTCAAACTAGTAAAAACTATATTGAACTTTTCACACATTTAGTTGAGGTTTTGGTTATGTGACATTTGAAAGAAACATCATTTTCCGTCATATGGAATTTTATTTTTCTGAAACAAAAAAAAAAAAAAGTCTTACACTAATGAGGTGCATGGGACCTTCAACAAAAAGGTACGAGTGGACCTATCTGAGATTGGCAGAAAAGTTGATCTCATTTTACTTGTGGGGATAACTGGAACTCTGCTATGTTCAAACATGGGGTTCATTTGAATTATGCATGGAATATATGAACCACTAGCTAGGGATGCACATCAAGCCTATTCGAAAATTATCAATGCGAATTAGTAGATCCAGTATGCCCCCTCCCCCCGCCCCCAACAACTTTTAACAAATTACATTTTTGTATGTATAGTTTTTAAAAAATTTAAAATTGCCCCCCCTCAACTTTAACAAAAATTCATTTTTATATGCATAATTCTTTAAAATTTTAAAATTGCCCTGCCTCAAATTTTGTCCACCCCAACCCCCAACCACCACCCCCCCCCCCCCCCCCCCCCCCCCCCCCCTCCCCCGGCGCGAACATAATTTCTGGCTCCGTCCTGTTAACGAGGGATACAAGTAAAACTTAAAGAATAATATACTCTATTGTAAAAGTATTTCGGAGTGACTTGCATCAGAGCTTATGGACTTTTAAACGAAGTAGATCCAAGGAGTGGAGTCGCTTTTGTTTGCTCAGAGCTAGAATAGTAATGTATCTATTGGAGTTGGTTGGGAAGTAGTTTTGTATCTTTGAAAGTATTCTATATAAGTAATAGGTTGTAAATTGAGGAGTGGTGCAATTAGGCCTTCCCTTGGGTATGCGATATCTTTATAAGTTTAAATTTGGGTCTAATTAGCTTCAAGATTTTGTTGCTTAAATTACTTAAGATTTGAGGCTTTGTAATAATCTTTTAACCATGCTCTGCACAACCATGACAGAGTTCTCAAAGAACTAATAGGCAGGCTTTGTAATAATCTTTTAACCATGCTCTGCACAACCATGACAGAGTTCTCAAAGAACTAATAGGCAGGATTTGCGTCATTTACATATTGAATGATTAGTGCTAGTCTGCAAAAAATTCACACCACAATAAGAGATTAAGCCCAAATCCCGAATGACAATTTCAGCCAGGACACAACTGCAGCTTAACCAGCTGGATCTTCAAACTAGGAGCATGTTAACCAGTTAAACCTGTTTGGGCGATCAAATTAGTTTGGTCGGTTTAGAGTTCATAGTTCACCTTTACAAATATAAACCATAAAATATTAGACCTGAACATCTCTCCCAATCTTTTCTTTCCATTCCTTCCCTTTCCCTCTAGTTTTGTCTGTCATTAGAAAATTACTAATTGATAGAAAAGTACTAAAAGATAATTTGCATAAAAACATTAACCTTCCAACAAATTCCAATCATTATGCTCCGTTCGTTAGAAAGGAAGTAAATTGGATAGAAGGGAGAGAAGAAGGGAAGGATGAGACATCCCTAGGGAAGAGATTATGGACTTCCCTCGTTTTGTTTGGTTGGATGGAAGAGAAGAGAAAAACCTACCAAATTCCTTCGTTCGTTGCGAGAAAAGGGAAGGGAGAATTTAAAATTATTTTTATCATTATACACTTCATTATTTTTTTTTTCCAGTAAATAGCCATCATCTTTACTACTCATTTGAACAGTACCATTAATTTCACTCTAATTTATTGTTTGCTTTAATTATATATATAGATATAATCATATTTCATCATGAATAATAATAATATAAAAAAAATGTATCCCACTATCTACATACTTCGTTGATAAATATTATCCTAGTAGAGTCATGTCAAACTAAAATTCTTATTTTCAACCATTTGCGTTGAACACTCAAAATTATTTGCACCACTAGTTGTAGTCTTACAATATATGACAATACTAGTGAAGTATGTACTGTTTTTAGAACTAGGTGTGAACATGGAGTTTTTTTTTTTTTGGTTCTAAATATGTTCTAAAAAAATGCTTTATGGCATTGTATGGTTTTTTATGTAAACTATGTATTTTTTCTTCTGAATCCTCTTTTTTACTAATAAGGAAATTATATAACAAACAATCCATATATATATATATATATATATATATAAGATCCAGATTTCGACCAAATAAGGATTACAGAGGTCAGGTTCAAGGCAAGATAAAAGAGGTGTGTGTGTGTGTGTGTGTGTGTATAACACATGAATCATACCTTGATAGGGGGTTTTTTTTTTTTTTTTTTTTTTTTGCGTGAAATGAGATGTGTAGGGTTTAATTTTTAATATTTGGAAAGGATAATATTATAATTTAATAGTTTTATAATAGCTCCACTTGTTTTTTCTCCTGTCTTCCGCCCAAATTTGGGCGGATGAAAATTTGTAAAGAAGGAGGGATAAGACATCCCTCCTATTATCCTTTCCCTCTGTGTCTCCTTCCTACCAAACGAAGGAATTTTGTTCCTTCCCTCCTGTTTTCTTTCCACCCCTCTTTCTTCATTCCTACCGAACAGAGCATAAAGAAAATGTTTTCTAAAAAAAAAAAAAAAGAAAAGAAAAAAAAAAAACAGAGGAAAAAATCTAAACGAACATGAAAAATGCTTTACAGTTCCAAATCATTAGCATGCAAGATGGATATTTGCATAAATCATGTTCAGGTACGAACAGATCCCTGAAGGCCTCATGTAAAAGCATCTTATTTTTAGAATCTCAACCACGGATCAGTTCAGCTTGATCAAGTTGCACCCTTAAAGCATTCCATCAAAAAGTAACAAGATACTGCATTGTTTAGCTGAATTACCTGTTGCTTTCAAGTGCCCCTTCGAATTCTGAGATGCTAGGAGGCAAAAAATCCAATACATAATCACGCCTTCTTGAACGACGATACATGCAAGTAGCTTTAATCATAGTCAACAGATTAACACCTTCTTCCTGCAAAACATCACAGCCAGTCAAGTTTTGATGTGCTTCCACAATTAAATCTAAGGAAATGTAACTTTCATTGCACGCTAGAACAATTTTGTAGTACTTATGAGTGTCCTTAAAGTGGTACACTATATGCTTTAGTAAGTGCTATGGCCTCACATTTTATAGTTGGCAGTCACCATACCAAGACAATAGTGAGGAACAGAAGAAAACCAAGATAGCTTTAGCATATTATATTTCAATGAACCATATAATAAGGTGATTTACATCTCCTTTTTAATCAGATAGCAAACAAAATCGTTTGTTGTGATACCAAACTGTAATATCATATATATCCATATGTATCAGTACAATTTTGCCTTCATTTAACAATCCACACATGCCCAGTTGAAATCATTGAACTGAACTGAAATTAGGAGTAAATTGTTGTCAGGGGCTTATTTGTTATTACTTATATAATGTTGGGGCTTATGTGTAATTTCTAAAACTTGTTATTATAAATAGAATGTGGTGGGAGGATGAAAGTATTTTTTCATTCTTTCTCTCTTTCCCCATCTCTCTCTTTTTCTCTCATCCGCTTTCTTCTCTTTTTCTTCATCTTCTTTATCACTTACTCTTGATTTGATTATATCTTAAAGTCAACATGGTATCAAAGCATTGGTTTGTAAAGTTCTAGGTGTGTAATTGAAACTCTAGGGCAAGTTTGTGTAAACCCTAGTGGGTGTGAAGGGTTTTGAAGAGATTCCAATATGGGATTTGTTTGCAAGGAAGTAGTGTTAATCACATCCACATGTACCGCGGATCCAACTGGTGACTGTTTTTTATTTATTGCAGTCTCAATTGGTGTTTTTGTTGTGTTCGTGAGGTTCTGCAACAACGGCTTTTTCTTCATCGTTCGCAATTCTAGTATGGTCTACTTTGTTGCTTTATAGGGTTTGTGTGGTGATTGTGGTCGCTTTTTTATGCATCTCAGAAGACGGTAATCTTTCTAGTTGAAGTTTGTGTGTTAGAGAGGTTGTTCTCTACGTATTTTGTTGCTGCTTTTGTTTCTGAGGATTGTATACCCAGAAACTGTTTGATAAAATATCTGGCTCAGAGGTGACTTCAAAAGAAGCTGGGTCTTCTCCTAGTTTGACTCCAGTATTGGGAGGTAGTAGTGATCACCATCCAGGCCTTTGTATTACAACTGTTAGGCTGGATAAGACAAACTATATGGAGTGGGCTCAATCTGCTTGTATGCATATCACTGGTCGTAGGATGATCAACCATATCAAAAGTGTCACGTATCCCTCTAAGTGCGATCCTGAATTTAAAGAGTGGAGTGCAAATAATGCACTAGTTATGACGTGGTCGATGCAGTCAATGCAGCCATAGATCAGCAATGGGTTTCTGTTTATGAAAACGGCTAAAGAGCTACGGATGGCTATGGAAGAGACGCATTCCTCGGTTGGTAATTTTGCAAAACTGTATGAACTCCAACAACAGATTTCAAGATTCAAGCAGGAAAACCAAACTCTGGCTACATATTACCACACTCTACGTGGTAAATGGGAAGAGTTAGATCACTACCAAGACAACATACCTGTATGTGCAGCTGATGTTAAAGCATTTCATGTTATGGTAGAAAGGAATTAAATCTTGGAGTTCTTGGGCGGTTTGCATCCGAGATACGAGCATGCCAGGGTACAAGTGTTAGGCAAGTATCCAACCCCTACTTCTGTTAGAGATGTGTTTTCGTATATCCAAGCTGAGGAGAGTAGAATGAAGGCTACGTCTGCACCTATATACATTAAGCCTGAGCCTGAAGTACCATTGTCAGAGAGGTCTGCTCTTGCCACACAACAATGGAACAAGCCCAATACTCCAAAAGGAGGGAAGCAGAATGACAAGTGCAAGTTGAGGTGTGATCACTGCCGGCGTACACGTCACACTAGGGAAACATGCTGGAATTTACATGGTCGCCCTACTCCAGCTCTTGCTCATGCAAATACTAGGCCAAGGCCTTGTCCATTTAGGGGGTTATCTACAGCACATACTGCAAAGCATGAGACTGCTTCCACTGGTCATGCCTCCTCAGGGCCACCGAGTTCTTTGTCCGAAGCTGAACTTGATGCTCTCCGACATCTACTAGCACAACATTCCTCCATTTCCACATCTAACTTCGCTCAGACAAGTACCTCTCATTCGGCACATCAGGTTTCCACATTATCTGGTGGATCATCCTAGATCATTGATTCAGAAGCCATTGATCACATGACTGGTATGATATCTGATTTTTCTTCGTACAGTTTATGTTCTGGTAAGGATAAAGTCAGACTCGTAGATGGCACCTTCACCTCTATTACGGGGAAGGGCACTATTTCTGCCCCTCCTAATCTTACCTTATCCTCAGTTCTTCATGTCCCAAAGTTTACCAATAACCTCCTTTCTGTCAGTCACATTACAAAAGGATTGAATTGTAGTGTAACCTTTTTTCCATCTCACTGTGTGTTTCAAGACTTTGATACGGGGAAGACAATTGAAAGTGGACATGAGGACAATGGCTTGTATTTGCTGAACGCAAGGCCAACTTCTTATTATGTTGCAAATTAATCTAGTGTTAGGAATAGTAATGTCAATAAAGATCTGTTAATGCAATGGCATAATAGACTAGGTCATTTACCTCTTCCTGTTTTGAAGCATGTGCTTCCACAGTTTGCTTCTGTTAAATCTTTTGAGTTAAATTGTGAAACATGTGTTCTTGCCAACAATGTCGAGTTTCTTATCCTACTAGTGTGAATTAAAGTACAGCTCCTTTGCAGCTTATTCATTCTGATGTGTGGGGTCCTGAATCTACTACTTCGTTACTTGGTTTTTGTTACTTTGTTGTGTTTGTTGATAACTTTAGTCAATATACTTGACTTTATCTTATGAAAACCAAAGATGAAGTTTATTCCATTTGTAAAACCTTTCATAGAATGGTATGTACTCAGTTTGGTTGTCCCCTCAAAATCCTTCGATCTGATAACGGAGGAGTGTTTATGTATGGTGGTCTTGCCTCCTTTTTTGCTAATAACAGGATTGTCCATCAAACCTCTTGTGTCGATATACCACAACAAAACGGTGTAGCTGAAAAAAAAACACCGTCATATTACGGAGGTGACCGGTTCTCTTCTAATTAGGATGGGAGTGCCTAAAAGTTATTGGGCTGATGCAACCTTAATAGCTACATACCTTATCAATCGCATGCCTTCTAAGGTTCTTGGCTACCAATCCCCTACACCATGACACTGCCTTGTTTACTGTCCCTCCGAAAGTGTTTGGTTGTGTTTTTTATGTTCACATTCATCATCGCAAGGACGAAATGGACCCTAAGGCAATCCGATGTGTCTTCCTTGGATACTCTGCCACACAGAAAAGGTATCGGTGTTATAACCCTACCACTCATAGTCGCTTTGTCTCCATGGATGTTACATTCTTTGAGGCTGTTCCTTTTTTTTCCACTTCTCGGGATTCTCTATATAGGGAGACTACTATACAGGTAGAGAATCCATTGTCCATTCAGAGGGAATGCCCCCTTCCTTTGCCTGTTCCCATTCAGGGGGAGCTTCTTACTAAGGTGCCTATATCTAGTCCTCCTAACACTAATAATTTGCAACAGGGAAAGAAACCAATTGTCACTAGGAGGGCAAAACAAGTTACTGGCTCACCCCAGGACCAAGAAGTCTCCCTCGATCTAGGTAATTCCTTAGCTGACATAGATACTCCTGATTCTTTTCCCAATAACATTCCTGTTGATCTTGATGTCCCTATTGCCTATCGTAAGGGTGTTCGTAGTTGTACAAAACATCCCATATCTCAGTTTGTATCCTATGATGCCTTATCTCCAACATATCATGTTTTCACTTTGTGTATCTCCTCTGTATTTGTTCCTTCTAGTGTTTCAGATGCTCTCAGTCAAACTCCATGGAAGAAAGCCATGCTTGAAGAAATGAAGGCCCTTGAGAAGAATGGTACTTGGGATATTGTTTTATTACCTAGGGGTAAGAAACCAGTAGGCTGCAAATGGGTCTACACAATAAAGTATCATGCAGACGGAACAATTGAGAGATATAAAGCTCGGTTAGTTGCAAAGGGCTTCACTCAAACCTATGGAATTGATTATCTGGAAACATTTGCTCCAGTTGTCAAAATGAACTCTATACGTGTTCTTCTTTCTTTGGCAGCTAATTTGAATTAGCCCTTACATCAGCTAGATGTAAAGAATGTTTTCCTTCATGTTGACTTGGAGGAAGAGGTGTATATAACTATGCCACCAGGGTTTAAGCTTGCCAATGGTCAAAATTTAGTGTCCAGGCTAAATAAAGCCTTGTAGGGGTTAAAGTAATCGCCGCGTGCTTGGTTTGAGAGGTTCAACACTGCTGTGAAAAGAGTAGAGAACACACAGAGTCAGACAGATCATACTCTCTTCATCAAGAAGCACCAGGGCTGCACCACTGCCCTTATTGTATATGTTGATGATATTGTTATCACTGGAAATGATCCAAAAGAGATTCGTCGAATGAAGTTATTATTGGGGACAGAGTTCGAGGTTAAAGACCTCGAATCATTGAGATACTTTCTTGGCATCGAGGTGTGCAGATCGAAGAAAGGGGTGTTCATTTCTCAACGGAAGTATGTGTTAGATTTGTTGGCTGAAACAGGCAGGCTTAGAGCTAGACCTATTGATATTCCCATTGAGGAGAACCATAGGCATAATGATGTAGATGGAGACCCATTAGATGATGTGGGAAGATTTCAGCGATTGGTTGGGAGACTGATTTACTTATCTCTCACGCGCCCGGATATTGCCTACGTTATTAGTGTGATTAGTCAATTTATGCATGCTCCACGTACACCTCAACTTGAGGCAACTCATCATGTTCTTCGCTACCTCAAGGGTTCACCTGGTAAGGAGATATTGTTTGGTAGTCATGGCCACTTGCGCGTTGAAGCCTATATTGATGCTGATTGGCCAGGGTCTATGACAGATCGACGATCTACTTCAGGATATTGCACATTTGTTGGAGGTAATCTTGTTTCATAGCGAAGCAAGATACAGTCTGTAGTAGCTAGATCTAGTGCAGAGGCTTAGTTCAGATCTATGGCACATCGAGTTTGTGAGTTTTATGGCTACTTACGATGTTGGGTGAGTTGGGTTATACTCTTCGCGAGTCAATGAACTTGTATTGTGACAACAAGGCTGCTATTAGCATTGCCCACAATCTAGTTCAACATGACAGGACAAAGCACATTGAAGTCGATCGACACTTCATCAAAGAAAAGCTTTGACTAGGGCTGATTTGTACTCCATACGTCAACACACATGATCAAGTTGCTGATGTTTTGACTAAGGGTGTGAGCAAGACTTGCTTGCAAAATATGTTAGTCAAGCTGGGCATAATAGATATCTTTGCACCAGCTTGAGGGGGAGTGTTGTCGGGGGTTTATTTATTATTACTTATATAATGTTGGGGCTTATGTGTAATTTCTAAAACTAGTTATTATAAATAGAATGTTGTGCACCAGCTTGAGGGGGAGTGTTGTCAGGGGCTTATTTGTTATTACTTATATAATGTTGGGGCTTATGTGTAATTTCTAAAACTTGTTATTATAAATAGAATGTTGTGGAAGGATGAAAGTATTTTTTCATTCTTGGTCTCTTTCTCAATCTCTCTTTTTCTCTCATCCGCTTTCTTCTCTTTTTCTTCTCCTTCTTCTTTATCATTTACCCTTGAATTGATTATATCTTAAAGTCAACATAAATGTCAAGATGCTGTAGTATCAAAATAGAATCACAAAATTCAGGCAACTTTGTCCTTATATTAAAATTGAGACTAACCAATCATCAATGCTAGTGACAACAATTTTGGCTCAAAAGAAAATAAGAAAACTAATGTTTCAGTCTGAACATCAAGGATATGGACCAACAAAGGTGCAATTAGTAATTGTTTCAGGCCCAATGAAGACGGTACCTAAAAATATTTGGCAGACTTTGGTAACTGTCAGGTACAAATGACTGCATATCTACACATTTATTAATCTTAAATTGGGTAGCAAATGAATACAAAATATCAATGTTTTAATATCATTCAGGGACATGCCACGAAGTTTGTCTCGAGAACAAGACTCAATTAACCTTGCTCACAACGCCAAGGTTACAAGAAGCATTGTTCTAACAGATTCATTGTAGGATCATAAAGAACCGGGGATGGTTATATAACCTTCCAAGTATAAGCAATGACTAGTTCAAGAAATTGTTATGATTGTTACTGTAACACAATCTTGTGACTGATTAGGAGCTGTATTGATCTCAAAGCTAATATCAAATTTCAAGAGCCTCAGAAAATTCTACCAGCATCATAATATCAAAATAGAGAAACAAAAAATAAAAATCCCTCACATACCAATAAAATGGTATGCCCATTGTCTTTAAAATACCGAATTTTGCAGTTCTGTAGTGAACTTGAAAGCCGTTGAGCTTCATCTCCACTAGGCAGCATGCTATCCTTGCCACTAAAATGTAAATACACCATCAACCCTAAAATTACATCAAGATATACCAATTTACGAGTAAATCTAGAACAAGGGGATAAAATATTCAACAATATCCGGATAAAATATTCAAGGGGATAAAATTCCATCGAATTTTTTATTCAATCCATATCCGGATAATCGGATCGGATTTGGATCAAAATCCAATCCATTGACAGGTCTACTTAAGACTCAACCCCGCATTCAACTTTTAGCATTGCACTAATACATACTGCTAGAATATCAATGATTTTACTCAGCAAGAGTAGATTGTTTTGCGGGCAAACAGACATATCCTAATTGTCATTTTATTGCACACGTAATGACAATCTTTATGCTGATGTATGGAGGTTAGACACAGTTATGATTAAGAAAGTAAATATTGTTCTTCTTATTTGTAATAAATTGGTGCATGCATGTAGATGCCTATACACAAGGATAAATGTGATCCAACAGTAGACCTCAATGAGACTGGTCAATAACAATACAATTACATCTACATTGGGATGAAATGAAACACAAGAACATAGATTTGAATTTCTACAAGAATCATGAAAGTTTCTAGAACATTGGAAAGAGAATCTTGGAATAACCATTAATATACGACAAAGATGTCCATGCAAAAAATAAGGACCAAAAGTACAAGACAAGTGCCATATTTTCTGAATCAAATAATCAAGTTGAATGAATCTAACAATATAAATGACTATATATTTCCCCGGAACAAAGGAACGTGCACATTTCATTAGAGCATAATTGTCATTGAGATTTATAGTTTAAATCTCCAAGCTTCCAAAGTTACCTGCATTCTGCAAAACTCTCAAATTTCTTTAATTTTCAAATTTGACAAATTAATTTTGAAAAATAAAGGTGAGTATATCTGAAGGGCTTGGATCAGGAAAAAGAATATTAATGTTGAAATCTGTTTACAATCTGAAGGGCTTGGCCAAAAGGACGCCAAGAATAAACAATAACCAACCACCTCTTTCACTCTGGATACTTTTATCTGCTTACTGATGATTATATGGTTTACCCCTCATATCATATACAATGAAACAAAAAGGCCAAAAAAAGGCTCAAGCCTTCAAAGAGGCTAAAAAGAAAACAATCTCCTCAATAGATCTATAATCTCTCCCCGAAACCCAACAAAATAGAGTGGAAATAATGGAGAACTTAAGCATAGAAATGGGCTTCTCCTTTCCATCAAAATATCTCCTATTTCTCTCGAGCCAAATGCACCACCAAATACAAAGAGGCGTAGCCCTCCAAGCATCCTGAATGAGAGCCCCAGCTGAGAAACCTCTCCAAGCCTCAATCAACCCTCTAGAGGAACAAGGCATAACCCAAGGAACCCCAAACAAACCAAGCATCAAATCCCAACAAGCTCTAGCTATGCTGCAATGTACAATGAATCTTAGCCTAATAAATAAACAGAGAAGGATCAGAATTACACAATTTCAAAAGCTTTGCTTCGTATCTGTGTGGATGAAGTAACCGAAATACTAAATCGTTACTCTAGGACATTTCATCAATGTTTGATAGTTCCCATCACCCCACTTATACCTCACCAAATTTATTGATAAAATTTACTTAAGCAAAACATAACATTTAAACCGTAAATAGTTTCTTAAATAAAAACCTGTAAGTTGGTGCTCAGACCCAGCTAACGGGTAAATTAGCTTCCAGGCAACAGCCAATAAAATGCACCATATGACCACCTCCTGGACAGGCCTGGTTGTACAGCATACAAAATGCAAAAAGATTAGGCTTGGTGGCCACCCTTGATGTAAGCTAACTAAGAATCGAAACTCAGTCCCCAGTTTGACAGAGATCTTGCTTCCCACAACTCTCTCGCATATCACTAAACTGGTCATGCACAGTTATATACCCCTTTCTTTTGCACCATAAAATCTCTTTAGGGTCTCCATCATATCATTCTCCAAGCCATATTAACTAATAAAGGTATTCAATCAAGATTTTATCTGCCACCTCTAGATGTGAATGTGTAAAGTAACCATACGATCAAAAGAGATGCAAGAAAAAGGCTGTCAATAAAATAACAGACTGGAAATACCCTAGCACATAAACCTAATTAAAAGCTCAAAAAAGGAGATACCAAACATCTCATTAAATCGGGGGGCCCCCCGGGGGGGGGGGGGGGGGGGGAAAGGGGAAGGGGGGAGGATGAGGTGGGGGTTGGGTTGGGTTTAAGAAAGAGAACCTCGCAAGCACAAGTACTTCAGCTGTGATGGCATGGAGGCGGGAATTAGCATAAGCCGCGGCTGATTTAATTAGCTTCAGCCTCCAAAGAAGAGTTTCCTTGGGTATAATATCAGCCAAGCCCTGACAAGAATAGAGAGAATTATGATCCAAAACAGCCGCCAACTATATTTCCTACAAAATTGCAGAATGAAATTATGATTCTAAAGAAAAGAAAAGGGATCATTCTATACAACACATGACAACAATTTGTTCCCCCCTCCCCCCTTTCATATCCCTTAACAGTGGGGTGGGTGGGAGAAGAAAGGAAAAGATAGAGTGTGACAATGGACTATTATCAGTACTATTTTGCAAGGGGACAACTGTGACCTTTTTAATTTCACTTTAAACACTATGAAGATCACTAATTTGGATGGCAATGAATGGTCAGTTGGGTGACTCAATCACTCAGACCACCCTCCCCTTTCCCCCATGCAGCACCATGCTCCTTTTGGGTAAGGTTGTATAGTAATACATTTGTCTACCAAGATTGGGTTTAGCCGATACCTATAGCTTACATGGACTTGAGTACGGATATTATATATCGACCTGTTGGATTCACCTAATTCTTAAGTCTGGATACATGGACTCAGCTAAAGTGAGTCCAAAAACTAGGTACGTGTACATAGACATATAGAACAAACCTACATACATATCACATCTTATCTGATACCTGTAAAAGGTAATTCCGATGTGAATCTAAACGTTCAAGGAAAAAATGGGGGTGAACGTAGAAAATTCAAATGTTTTATAAGGATCAAAGAAATATATAATGTCATCGTAGGTTAGTCTGAAACACAAAACAAGTTGGGGAGGAAATTTTAGAATGATTTATCATACCATATAGAGAAGCGGGTGTCAAGAACTTGTCTTTATTTTTCTATCAGCACTGGCTCAAACAATTATGTGGTATATAACGGTAGACATCATAACTAATAGGTATGGAGATTATTAACAATTGCCCATCACTTCCGCACTCTTGTAAACTCTTATTTGCATCACATTACATTCATGTCTTGGATTACTCATTGTACCATTAGTTTGACCCAAGCAACAATAAGACATTAATATTGGACATGGCTGAGAAGGAAAAGTAAGTGGATGTGATAAACTGCAAACTCAATATTAGTATCATTGGACTAAAAATGTCTAATTGTAATATATATAAGGGTCAAGTATAGAAAACACCTCTGTACTGTGCTTACAGTGCATATCGCACCCCTCGCATGCGAAAAACACCCCTAATGTATCAAATTTGTGCAAATAGGTCCTACCGACATATTTAAAGTAGAGTTAGACTAAAATGCCCTTACTTTGACATTTTATAAAAAATATAAATAAAAAAAATATCATTTTGTAAAATGACTGAAAAGGACTTTGAGCAACCAACCCCCCAAGGGGGTAATATGCTACTAATCTCATAATAGAGGGGTGTTATGTGCACATGAAATGCAATTTTTCTTTTTTTCTTTTTTTTTTTGGAATTATTGAATTCTTTATAATTGTTACCTTTGGAATTATTGAATTATGATTCTTTACCAAAATTATTGGACATGAAATGCAATAATAAATAAATTATTTTTTTATTTATATCCTCAATATATATATTAATTTTGGCACGTTTTTTGTATTTAAGCTAGAATTCTTTATGTTGAACTAAAAAAGAATTTCAAATAAGATTGAATTTAAAAATATATATCATAGAAAATTTTTGACAATTTCATACCCGGAATAAATAAATAATTAATTATTGCATTTCATGTGCAATAATTTGGTAGAGAATCAGAATTCAATAATTCCAAAGGTAACAATTATAAAGAATTCAATAATTCCAAAAAAAAAAAAAAATTGCATTTCATGCTCACATAACACCCCTCTACTATGATATTAGTAGCATATACCCCCTTGGGCTTTTTTGAAAGAGTAAAAGGGCAAAACGGGTATTACAACACTTCAGATTTTTAATTGAGGGGTGTTTCCGCACAATGTGAAAACAATAAGGGTGTTTTTTGCACACTTTTTTAAATAGGGGGTAAAAATGCTGCGTGGAGTATACATTAGGGGTGTTTTCTGCACTTGCCCCTATATATAATAGATTGAAGACCAGCCCCCTTATACAAGAAAAAGACCACAAGACAATGAAAAATTACAGAAACTTTGAGAAAAAATAAAGCAAGCACACAATTGGCCAAAAGAGGTATAACCAAAAAAGAAAATGCAACACCTTATATTATACAAAAGAGTTCTAGGCAGAAGTATAACAATCAGGAAAAAATCTTAGCAGCACAAGCAATTCTTACAGAAAGACGTGGAAGCAAAGCAGTAAGGTTGCCAGACAATTGTTCAAGTACTAGAGCAGGAGGAAGTGCACTCTCGACATTGACCATTGCCATCTTCACTGGATCACCTGATGTATGAAAAGCAAACTACTCTGGAGTGAGAGTAAATAAAAACTGCAAAAGGTTGCACTTGCCAATAACTCATAATGATTAATGAACAAACTAACAAATACAATTTAGGACAGCTAGTTTCCACAGTAAATACCTTATTCCTGTGAAATATAAGAAAAATTGTACCAACACGTATCAAGAAATAGAAAATCTATATAAAAGACAAGACCATAATCCATTTGCATTATAGAACAAACAGAAGAGGAAAAAGCATACAACAACCACCAAGCCTTTTTCCCAACTACTTGGGGTCAGCCATGAAAAGGAAAAAGCATAAAGTAAATTTGTTGTTTGTTGATAGGGGAGAACCATTCAACAGTGATTTTTAATATATCAATGCCAATATTTTAGAAAGCTATTTTCCCCCGATCATTTCAGTGTGTAATATAGTATGCATCTATAAAGCACGGGCACTTCTAAGGAGTCATATCCATGACTTGCGTCCAACACATCTTGGATATTTCCATAATTTAAAAATAAAATTCTTAATTTCAATCACATGGACATAGCTTCTTGGATACTCATCAACTTGTGATTGATGAACCTCGAACGATGGGACATGAATTTCTTGTAGCATACAAAGAGAGTATAAATGGGAAGTAAAAAATTGAAGGATTTTATAAAATTTACGAAATCATTAGGTTTGTCATTTTGCCCAAGGCCAATAGCCCACTCAGGGTGCAGCCCAGTCTGAACCAGTTTGGTGGACTGGCTGGCCCAGGCCACTAGATACAGAGGGCTTGGGCTTCAGCCTTAAGCCCGTGCGCAGCCCATCATCCCAACCCACCAGGCCCTTTTTAAAAAATAATAAAAGAACTTATAACTTATAAAAAGTATAATAATTTAGTAACTTATATTATCAATTACTTATATTACTAATTAGTTTAACACTAATATAACTTATGTACTTAAATACTCGTGTCGTTAATTAATTATGTACTTCTAAGTTCCAACATATACACTGATTTACTTGTAAGTACACTGTCATATTACTTATATAATTATAGTTATAACTAATAAACAGTTATGAGCTTACTTATTAAATTAAAAAGATAATATAATTACAAGGCCACAGCAACAGTTCAACCAGTGTGCCACAACTGGAAGTGTAGACGAATACTTACTGCGTCCCAAACTTCTTGTCTCTTTTTTCATTTTTACCTATCCCATTTGAAAAGTTAATGTAGAAAGATTTTATATCAAAATATCCTTAACTTTTGAAAAAATTTCCAAACCAAGAATGTGAAATTTTGAAATTTAAATGGGTAGTTTTGGAATTTCAGAAGGGGAGATGCATTTAATGCATTATCCACATAAAAAAGTTTGAAACCCAAAAAGACATTTTGAGATGGGGCAGTATGAACTTACAATGATGTAGTAAATTCATTTAGAAAATTTGAAGCCACCGTAAAATTTAAAAAGTGACAAATCACGTACCCATAACAAAGCTAAGAAGATAAGGGATGGTATTATGGAGTCCATCAGGCAACGCCTCTAAAAGAGGGAGAAAAGGTTGTAGCTGCGATCTGCCGAATGACGTAGCTGAAACAGATGATCAAGAACATCAGTTCTACCACAGAATATTGCCTACCTATGGTCAGCCAGAAACATGTTGAGAAAATATGATGACACTGTCAAATTGCATATCCGAAAGCTGACCTGGATTAGCTAATATTACTACTAGGTCCGTGCTAGGATTACGAGCAGCAACGGCGAGTGCTAGACATCCTCCAAAGGAATCTCCCACCAGATAAATTGGCTTATTTGGTGATGAAGCATGCTCAAACCTCACAGTTGCTTCAACAAATCTCACCAAGTCTTCATACAATTAAACTTATCATACATTAGTGTCCAACTGAATCTTATTTATAGGTCATCATACATTACATCCAACTAAATCTTATGTAAGATAAGATGAGATCTCATTGATTAAAGAAGGATAAAACGAAGAGCGCACACAGGCATACAAGCATGCAAAATAACACAAAAATAAATGGACACTGCTTACAGGCCAAAAGAAGTCAATTCGCATTAAGCCTACAAATTTCAACATGATTTATAGAAAATAATAGTACCAAAGAACTATATCTGAAAAGAATTTAATTCATAAATTAAATATAGAAACAAAAAATAAAATAAAGTAAAAAAACAGCTTCCCATTATTTGTTAACTGCAGCAACCCAAAAAGATAAACAAGAACCACATTCTGAAAGATTAGTTATTACAAGCTTGCAAAATATAGATAATCAAGTTCTTCCAAACTGTTAACGAAAGTTGTACAGTAATTTGACACATCAGCAGCATAAATGAATCTTGGAAACAACACAAGCAAATAATTAAAAGTACATGAAAAGGCTATAGAAGATTAAACCTTCAAATGGTGTTCGATCATAAACAGGAATGTGCATGCACCGAACATCAAAAACTCTGCATCCAATATAATTCCATATAAAAAACTTTTGATTACAAATGACAAAAATGAAAGGACTAGACATGAATTCCCAGTATCATGGTATTTCTCTAATCAAAACAACAAACTCAGGAAACTCAATATAGAACAAAATAAGAACAAATTAGTACTGCAATATAAAGCATACACCTAATATACATGCCCATATATACAAATATTACATACAACTAATACAACAAAAATATCACAAAAATAAATATAAATTGCTTTCACAAGTGAATATCACTTGTAAAACAAAACCTAAATTTTTAACTACTCATGAATTTCAAGCATCAGAGTATTTACAAATCAGGATAATGCCACCATAAAATGTGGAGCTCTTTTATCAGTTTCAATCTTGTAACTATTGCAAGGAATACAAAAATAAGTGGTGAATTTGCATTGTAATGAAACAAGGGTTTTAAGGGATACTGCAACGCATGCACAGGTGACAGGATTGAGGTATACAGTGCATTCAACACATCAAACTGAGATGATCCATTTCTCCTCTGCTCCATTTTTACTACAAACATCGCTCCATTTGTTTCACAGGATAATACGATGAAAATTGTACTTCACAACCATAGCAAAGTGAGAGTAACAAGGATAGAAAAATAACTGAAAAACCCAACTGATCAAACACAAGATTATTTATGAAATTAACAAAAGAAAAATGATCTCCACAACCCCTCAATGGCCCTAAACGAGGGAATGATCTCAAATCCAATGGAGGGGAATTAGGATAGATTCAAAAATGAATTGAAAATTTGGAATGTTATTTAACACTGGGACTATTTAAGCTCGTTAAGTTGAGGGTATGATCTTTTATCTAACACCAAAACTGATTACTGGCTGCTTTTTATATAAAAATACAAAAGTATTTGCGCAGATCATATTACTTAAAAAATGCTCATAGAATACAGATTTGTGAGTTATCATAAAGATATTAATACTAAAACTCACTTCCCAAGAGCTTTATGGAATATTATTTAACACTGGGACTATTTAAGTTCGTTAAGTTGAGGGTACATATAAACGTTGCTACATACGATCTTTTATCTAACAATTGTACTTCACAACCATAGCAAATTGAGAGCAACAAGGATAGAAAAATAATTGAAAAACCCAACTGATCAAACACAAGATTATTTATGAAATTAACAAAAGAAAAAGGATCTCCACAACCCCTCAATGGCCCTAAACAAGGGAATGATCTCAAATCCAATGGAGGGGAATTAGGATAGATTCAAAAATGAATTGGAAATTTGGAATATTATCCAACACTGGGACTATTTAAGTTCGTTAAGTTGAGGGTACATGTATACATGCTATATACAATCTTTTATCTAACACCAAAACTGATTACTGGTTGCTTTTTATATAAAAATAAAAAAGCATTTTCGCAGATCATATTACTTAAAAAATGCTCATAGAATACAGATTTGTGAGTATCACATACAGATATTAATACTAAAACTCACTTCCCAAGAGCTTATGGAATATTATCTAACACTGGGACTATTTAAGTTCGTTAAGTTGAGGGTACATGTTTACGTTGCTATATACGATCTTTTATGTAACACCAAAACTGATTACTGGTTGCTTTTTCAGATCATATTACTTAAAAAATGCTAATAAAATACAGATTTGTGAGTATCACATAAAGATATTAATACTAAAACTCACTTCCCAAGAGCTTTATGGTGCAAAATGAGGCCCAATCCAAGTCCATCCATTCCTGCACGCATCAATACCACAGACTTCAAAATTTTGTAACTAAAATGCAGAAGACATGTGTGTGTGTGTGTGTGTGTGTGTGTGTGTTGAATTTTTATCAAGAAAATGAAACTGAAAACCGCATTAAAAAATAATAATAATAATAAATAAATAAATAACTAAATAATTATCTAGACTCATTCCCTTTAATCGAGGATACTTGGAGGGACGGGCCGGACATAGACCTCATAGACCTAACCTTTTGCATTGCTTGAATAAAGTGACTAGCCCACAGAAAATAAAGCCATGCTCCGGCACTTGGTAATGCAAGCTTTACTGTTGCATTAAGCAATGGCCCCTCGTAAATTTTTATATCATGACATGAACTGGCCTTTTAAAAATCAATAATATGTTTACCAAAATCTCATCATTGCGATATATATATATATATATATATATAACACTCAGACAACAGAAACTATATTTAGTACTTATAAAATGCTCAAACATTGGTTACCCGGCAAGAACAGAAGAACTGGTGAATCTTTTAATGGCTGTCCACATTCGATAGGGCAAAACCACCGAGGTGGCCCGCCATCGGGCTTAATTATCTCCTTGGCAGCATCAAGGTAATCTTTCACCGTCTGAGTCCCATATCCATCATCCCACAACGCCTCCAATTTTTCTGGAGCAACATCCTCCTCCCGCTTCTTGCTCTCTCTAACTCTCAAACCCAATCTCCCATTCCCCACATCAGTCAAAGTCTCAATTCTCTCTTTCTCCCCAACAAAAGAAACTCCATTAACAGCAACCGGAGACACCACCATTGAATCCCCACTACCTGAACTCTGAACCCGAATTTTAAACTGAGGCTTATGCCTTGACTTCAAAGAAGAATAAGGTGACACCCAGAAAGTTTCCACAATTGACACCATGACTTCAATAAAGAATGTCTTACAACTTTGACCCCTTTTCAAGATTCAACACTCAGAATGACCAACAAATAAGCTTAATGACCAAATTTCAGTAGTAGAACCCTGTAGACTAATCCAGCTAAAACAACACACTTTTTATTCTCACGAATCAACACTCAGAATGACCAACGAATAAGCTTACCGCTGCAAAACTATTCTACTTCAATGACCAAATTTCAGTAATAGAACCCAGTAGACTGATTCAGCTAAAACCCAACAATACAATTATCACTCTCACATAAAATTTAAGAACAAAACAAAAAGAAACCCACAAATCATATGTGGGGTCTACAGAACATGGAAAGTCTGGTAGTTCTTGTTTAATCAAAATTTGTACTCATTTAATGGGAAATGAGTGGATGGTTAGGAAAATTAGCAGGAAAATAGATAGATGACAAAGAAAAAGGAAAAATTCAGCTAAAACCCAATACACCTATTACAATCTCTACAACATTTAAGAAAAGAAAAAAACAAAAAATGGGTATGGGTATGGAAATGGAAGTTAAAAAGGGACCCACAAAGCAGAACGTGGGGTCTATGGTGCATTTAGGTTTGGTACTTCTTGTTTGATAAAAATTTGAAGTAATTGACATTTAATACTAAATGGGCAATGAGTTAATGGATGGGGAAATTAGCAGGCAAATAGATACAGGAACAAAGAGAAAAGACATAAGATAGCATAACAGTGTCCGAAAGAATCACGTTTTCACTTTTGTCTATTAGCTATTGAGAATATTTAGCTTTACCTAAGAATTGGTGGTGCTGCAGAGAGGCTTGTTGGAGTGGAGTTGGCCATTTGATTTGCCTGTAATTGTCCATCCCCTTTCTCTGGTTTCTCCTCAGCCACATGCTCTTCTGAAGCTTCCAAACAGGTAGTTGTTGGCTCTTATACGGCCGCGTTTGCTCTATGTAGTAAAGTAAACCTGGAAACCCGAGACTATAGTTTGCTTAAACGTCGTCGTTAGGGTTGTCTTTATTCCTGGACCGCTTTTTTTTTTTTTTTTTTTTTAATGTTGTACATCATGTCTTCATATCTAATTTTTTAAAAAATAATTTTTAATTATTAAGTTTTAATCAAACTTTTTATCACTTGCCTCCTACATGAATAACCAAACCTCTTGTAAGTTCTAACTTGTACATCATTGAATCTCAATGGTTAGGAATGTTTTAAAGACGCAATAGTCTAACCGTCTAAGCATGGGAATGGCTTCAGGCCCTAAGGCTTTGTTTGCTTCAGCTCAATAAATAGGTTAAAGTAACCAGTCAGATACGATTTATGCAATCATTTTGACAGCATGGTTGTAAGAGTTATGTAATGAACATTGGTAACTTTTTAAATGTACTATCATTAGTACGAGATGAGTCTTCTATTTAGATTCACGAAAAATTTGTATTATGAGATTAGACAGTTATAAAATTGTAATAGTCTGATGTGAATGTCAAGATAATTTGAGTTCATTATTTAACATTACAATGCGTCAGACGGTCTAGTGCACTGTAAATTGTAGAGATCGCATCATATAAGTTGAGTCTACTCTGTTTATAAAAGATTAGTTTCTTTAATTCTTTATGCATTGAACCGTTTAATACCGGAAAGATTCAAATTCTCAAGAACATCGTGTTTTTGAGAGAGGATTTAAAATAAAGTGACCAAATTGCCCTCATGCCACGAGGTGTGTGTGTGAGAGAGAGAGAGAGTTGCCCTTGTACCACCCATTTCGTGTTAATTTGGTTCTTAACAATAATGAGTCGTTTTCAAAAAAGGGTGTCGGATGTAACAAGTTGTTTTGGTTCCTTTCGGCAATACAAGTACAAAACTAAGGGTGTCGGATGTAACATGTTTTGGTTCCTTTCGGCAATACAAGTACAAAACTTTTAGTATAAATAAAGTTGCTCACTTGGTAATCCACACAGATACAGCCACCACAATGATTTATACCAAATCTTTAATATAATTGGTCGAATTTCTTAAATCTTAAAAAATTAAAAATGCATATAAGGCGATAACAATAACACGACCAACTTTAGCTTTTTTCTGGACAATCAGTTGCTTAGTGCACGTCCACATGTTGTATATCTATATATATATATATATATATATATTTCTATATAAGCTTTTGGTTTCTCTTGAAATTGAAAGGGTCAATATAATTTTTAATACACCCTGTAATGGTCTCTCCGATATTATTAAGGGTTCAAATATCATAAAATAATTCCGTGAAATTATTAAAAAATAGTCCATAACTCACGTGTTTGAAAATGACTGAATGTTTTTACTGAAAAATAAATTTTTTAAAAAATTGAAAACTGTAGGTTTTAATTTGTACAGTGAATTGGAGGGTATCTAGAGAAGAAAAATTGTTTATGTTCTGATATTGAGCTAAGAAACAGACCCTAAAAGCTAGGGTCTGATTCGTTTGTAACTCTGGAAACAATTTTATATTTTCAGATAACTGAAAACAAAAAAATGTACAAGAACTATGTTTTGTTCAATTTTTTGAAAATCAGTTATAAAAATGTCTGTTTTAAGATAATTATAAAAAATTCTGCTAGCTCTAAAAACAGTTTTTTATTTTCAGAAAATTGAAAACAGAAAGCTGTAAAAAACTGTTTTCAAATAAATGTTTTTTATAATTATCTGAAAATAATTTTTTATTATCTAAATTCTTTTTTCAAAATTACAAACCAAGCATGCATTTATTCTCTATGAATAATTTTCTATTTTTTCTGATTTCTTGATAATTATTTTCAAGGTTACAAACCAAACAGACCCTAATACTCCTAATAAACTTAAGGGCACAATCCTTCATAATTACACTTTTCCTTCTACATTTTAGCTTCAAGTTACTAGTAACAAAAAAAATCAATTTGTATCAATTTGTGATTACCAAAAGAAATATATGACATTCCCCACATTTTTCTGTTTTTATTTTATTTTATTTTTTTTCGTATCATCTTTCAGATATCAGAAGATATAAAATAAAAAATAAAACATTTTGCCACAATAAGTGAATTGCTTAGAGTTGGGACCATGATACGGTGATGAATTCTGCTGGACCGCGTCATCATTTACAACTCCAAAACTACGTTTGAACCCAACTAATATTACCTTAAATGAACACTAGGACTGAAGTCTGAACACAGACCATGCATGTGGCCTAAGTGGTATCATTTGCATCATTGGAAGGAAATGGAAGTTCATTTCTGCAAGTCTGAGTCATGCCTTCTAATGCGAAACCCACTCAATTCTAAAAACTAAAAACTAAAAACACATGGATCATAATATAAACCTAGAAAATATTTAATTAAACACACTTCCTCACACAAACTCTCAAGCTTCATTTAGATGAAAAGGTCATTACCAAGTGCTAATTTTGTCTAAACATAGCACTTGGAGGTAATGACTGAAAACACCGGACTCGGTATTATTTTTGCTATATATATATATATATAAACAAAATAAATAATAAATTAATAATTCTACAGAAAACTCCAGAGATGCTCAGCTTTCTATTACAGAAAACAATATCCACATAACAAAGTGATAATTCCATCAGGGACATCAAGAAGAGTCAAAGAGCCTACTAAACCAATCAGAACCCAACACAACATACCAAATTTACACAGTGCATAATTATAAATGAAGCCTTGCAACAGCAAATTTTCCATTTAGTTGAATCTCTGGGAATATGGATATACAAACGATAGCATGAGAGGAGCAAAAAGAAGAAGAAAAAATGATGGGTAAATCAAATGACTAGTTCGACACATATGGGAATCGTTTTATTTCCAGGCAAAGAAAATATCACCTTCTGAAAGAGTGATTTTTGCTAGGTATCATGTCCCCACAATACAAATCTACAGAACTTTCCGTCATAATATCACTAATTTTGCTCTTCACAGAAAGAAAAGACACTCCCTGTGCTAATTCTCCTTCAATATCAAAGCCCTTCTATTGTCAAATGGGGAACTCAGTCCACAAATGTCTATAAAGATTGCATGTCGGCTATACAACGTTCAAAATTCGTCATATTGCTACCATGATTCTCAGCGAATTTGAAATGCTGCTCAATTCAGCAAAGCATTTAGTTTTCCAGATTTACAAGGAAGCAACAAATAATACTCATCATGACAAGAATCCACCGAAGATCAATTACTCCCAAGCACTTTACACAAGCACAGAATCTCCATTACCCAGGGTTAGACCCTACAAGCATCAAAAACAAAAAAGAATGTTGCTCAAACAGAAATTATAGAAGTGAGTTGTTTAGTGCTTGTATTGACTACTGACTGCTTACTTTGTAGTAGGAATTAATTTCTTGAAGAACTTTATTTAGGTGAACTGACTCAAATGTGTCTGGACACTCGAGAACAAGTGAAATCAGATTCTCATACCCCTAAAAGAAGATATCTATTTTATGACATGACTACCTATGTTCTTTCACTTATTCCCGAGAATGCGCCAAATTTATATATTTGGATATGCTTCAGTGTCACAAAATTGTTTGTCACATTAAACAACTGGACAAAACAAGAAGAAATAGCTCAAATATCAAACTTAGGCACTCACCTCTTGCATGTCATGAAATCACCTGCCCTGCACCACTCGGTAGTTGAGGACAAGGTCCTCAGATTTCTTCCATATATACGCCCGAACCGTGGCTAAGCTCATTTCGGGTAACAAGATCTGAAAAAGCACCAGAATGGTTAAGTCCACAAAGTGAAAAAATAATTTGAACTCACAAAAAAACTAAATTGAAAACGGGTACCGCAAAGATGTATAACTACAAGACAATTTTATTCATCTCAGTGCTCTAGACATTGTCCTGGGATAATGAATAACGATGACACAAGGATACGTCAATAGCCCAAACAAGAAAATGTACATGTTCCTAATTTTCATTTACACACTTCTACAACTTATTAGATCAGAATGAAATAAATGAGCAGACAGCATTGCAATCATAAAACATGGTATAACAAAGTACATAATAGTTTATGTACAGACAAGGCCAGTTAACAATGTCAATAGGAGGCATCAAACTAGTCAGAATGACAGCAAAATTATCACCGGCACATGGAACATGCTCTTTAAATACAATATTCACCCTTGTTCAGCTTCTTTTAGTTATAGTTAGGATTTTAAAAGTACAAATTAGCCCATTAGATGAGACGGCTTAGTTTGGTTAAGTTTCCTTTTTTTGCAATCTAACCATCATGTGAATTATGCCATGTGTGTCTAATTTGAAAATGAGAAAAAATAAATATAAAAACACCCAGTTTTGGAATGATCCATCCACCCCAATTCTTCTTCATCATTTAAATCCCAAATATTTCCGTACATGTGCATATGCATTTATTTGTGTGTGCAAGCACGGACCCAATGCCCCACTGAATTTGTTTTATAGTATTATACCCTACTATTTTTCTCATTTTGATATTTATACCTATTAAATCCCCCCCACCAAGGGGGCACGCTAAAAAGAATTGTACATGCCATATATACGTAACATTTTTCACTTCATTTCATTTTCAATTGCAAAAGCAGCATGAATGCATAGATTGTAAAGTAATACAGCTTAGAAACATTAACAAGAAAAGTTCATTGATTATTCACAAATCAATATCCACAAAATTATATCAACATACCTGATTATTGCACAAGATCTCTATAGAAGGCTTGAGCTTTTGCCAAGGCTTCAACCCAGACCGGAAAGAACCATCTCCAACAGCTGAATGCTGTAACTGCCCTCCAGGCAGCCCAGGAGCAAAAGTTGCATCAGAACTTAAATTATCAATTGGTTTATCAAGAACCATCTTTTCTATGACGTAGTTAACAACCTGCAAAAACAGCAAATTTAGAATTGAAACGCATGCTAAGATATTGCTTAACAATCCAGACAACAATTTGCATCTAAAGTAAGCTAACAGATAGAGCACTGTACAATATGCAGGTGTGAATCTGTGTATGGCAGAGTATGCACACCACTGCAAAATTTGAATACCAAACTAGGCCTATCCAAGGAGTAAAATTTCAGTAAAACTTGAATTGGAACCATCAATGGGGAATCCAGCCGGTAAGTTGGTGGTTATCATCAAAACCAGCGAGATAAGGGTAATCGTTAATTGAAAATAACTTGAAAGAAACAGTTGTATAATCTCTTACTACAAACATCATCTCTCATGCAGATCAAACGCAAAAACTTATTTTCTTAATTTAAGCAAAAATAAGTTTACTTCCTTGCAAAGTACCGTGCAATAACAAAGTCTTACTTTATGTATTCTCAATATACGAGGCGCACTCAATTTCCCTTGTGTGAGAATCTGGATGGCTGAGCCTTCACATGGATGTAAATAAAAGCTGCACCTGTGGAAATTAAAACCAATTTACATGAAGAAACTTCCTAGGATGGGCAGAAGAAAACGATAATTAAATTCTCATTCTGTCTAACAAATTTCAAACATGTTCGCAATTATTTAGAATGAAGCCAAAGAAAAAGATAAATGTATTCTAGGAAAACAGTTTGCCAGAGTCCAAGAGTTTCAACTGTTTGGGGGGGGGGGGGGGGGGGGGGGGGGGGGGTTGGAGAAGGAGAGAGAGATGAGCTTGCAGTTAATATATTCAAAGTTTCCCTAACAGGATATAACTATTTACTGTGCACACAACAGCCAACAGATGATCCCAATTTCTCACAATACTCGGTTCCTTTGCAAGTCAAAGCCCATTTACATAAAGAATAGGCAATAATTTCAGAAAATTACTTGGTATTTTCTCTGGGAGGCAGACGATTATTCAACACACAATCCAGACACCACCAAGGAAAGTCCTTCTCATCTTCGGTTCCATCTAAGTCTGTAATTTTTTTTCTCCATGGACCAGATTGAGAGCCCTCAGTAATAATGGAAGGTGATGAAGCAGTTGAAAACTCGAATGGAGGATATACCACAGAATCATTTTCAGCAGTTCCATCAACTTCTACTCTTGAAAGAGCCAGACTCTTAGCAGATATATCCTTCCCAGATGAAACTTCTCCATTGGCTGAAGCTTGGGATCCATATCTCTGCTTTCTTTTAGTTAACCAATGAGCCAAGAGTCCTTTAAGGGTTTCCCGCGCCAAATTAACCTGCAGAATAACAAACAATGCACTATATGAGTTCGTAGTAATAGATCAATACAATAAAGAAAGCTCACAGTTCCTGGTCCAACAAATGGTCATCATAATGCATTCTTACTTATGATAATTACATGTAACATAAACCCATCTGCTATAGTTAAACTAAAATCATACAATTAAAGTAATCAAGAAAGTGACTGGAAACATTAGACTGATAATTTTTTTTTTTTTTTTTGATAAGTAAAAATATATTAGAAAAACGTTCAAAAGGGGAACGCATCCCTAATACAAGAGAAAAGATCTAAGGACCAATAGAATCCAAGAGATCAAAGAAATCATCAATCGAGGAGCATGTACTTCCTCTAACATAAAAGAATAAAGAACGAAGAATATGAATTTTTAAATTAGCTAAGGACGATTCTTTTCCTTCAAAGGATCTGTTATTTCTCTCACGCCACAAACACCACCAGACACAATGAGGAACAATCTTCCAATAAGCACGAGCTTGTTTCTTAACAGGACAGCTTTTCCAAGCGTTAATCAATTGAGAGGAGTGCTTAGGCATTACCCAAAAAATGCCGAAAATGCTGAAAATAAAACTCCAACAACCAAACGCCACAGGACAATGCAAAAGAATGTGATCCACGGATTCACTATCATCTTTGCATAAACAACACCAATTAACAATGATGTTGCCTCTCTTTCTCAAATTGTCCAAAGTCAAAATCTTCCCCGATGTAGCTGTCCAAACGAAGAACGCGATTCGAAGAGGGGCTTTAGAGCACCACACGGACTTCCAAGGAAACTCGGAACCAACGAAATTGGATAAATGAATAAACATAGAGCGGACATCATACTGATAATTTAAACCAAAATTTCTTCTGATTTTTTTTTTAACCAACAGATTTCATGAATCAGAGCATCTTAACACCACTTGAGATATTATAATGTTTCATGAAATTAATATAAGACCTCAAAATGTTACAAGTAATAAACACACAAATAAACACAAACAATGCATTCGACAAAGAACTTTCAAAATCTTCATGATCCATTTCAGAGCTTTTGGCACCCATCTGATTATTTTGAGGTAACACAAAATAAGCAGAAAAAAACGCAGATCCAATTTCATTTCAGATACGGGATCGCTTCAGGAATAGCAAGGCAAAACGGTGAAAATTTTGGAAAAGCGTAAAGCATACAAGCATTTAGAAAAATAAAGTAAAATCAATTTAAATGCATAGTAAACCTAATAATCAATTAAATGAACATGTTTGAGGTCCATCCATCTACAATAGATGCCAATACAAATGTTCATACGAATCGGAGCCAATTATATGATAGTTTATATTGTTTTATTAAGATCAACATCTTCAAAGATCTCCACCATTTAATGTGTCATACAATTATGAAAATCTAGTGACTAATACTTTATCTTATTAAAATAGTTTAGGGCTTGTTTGGTAACCAATTATGTTGAGTGTTTATTGTTTGAAAAAATAGTTCACTAAGACAAACATGTTTGATAATTTTTATTTTGTCTATATATTGTCTAAACACTTCTAAAACAATAATGTATCAGAACCCTTCAAATGAAAAACACCAATAGTTTGTAGCACTTTTTTTTAAAAAAAAAAACACCGTTCATTTCAGACATGCAAGATATGACTCTCTGAAACGAAACCCTGGTTCTCACTGATTTTCCTCTAGCTAGATCCTTTCATTAAGCCAGATCCTCTCTCTGTGATTTCTCTTTTAGCTAGACATTTTCTCTCAAACAAAGCCCAGATTATTTCATGAACCCAGATCCCTCTGATTTGCTCGCTTCAGTTTATTTAGCCAGAAAATAGAATGAGATTGATTCTGCGATTGTTAGTATAGTATAAAAGAGTAGAGTAGACGGTGTTCACTGCAGCAATCGATTCTGAATGGACTATATGGAGTTTGTCAGTCAGGCTCAGGAAACATTTTTGATTCATCATCTGTTACCCAACTTGACCTTTCTAGTGGATGTTTGGTGAAAGTTATGAATTGTTGTCGAATTTAATGATTGTGGATTATGTTCGATGCAACAAAACGACTGATGCTTTGGAAGTGTTTGATAAAATGCCAACATGAGATGAAATTGCATAGACTACGATGATTTCAGGTTATTTAAAATGGGAGAAGAAAGCTTTGCACTTGTTTTGGTTAATGATACATTAGTGAGTTAGCACCAAACGACTACACTTTGGATCGTGTTCTGATAGCTTGTGGAGGACTGGGTGTTTTGCATAAAGTAAGAGTTGTTCATGGGCTTTTGATAAAGATTTTTGGTTGATTACGGTCAATAAAAGAGTTAATTAGGGGCTGAGAGCTTATGATCAACATTTTCCCTTCATTATCATATATTGACCATGGTATATGAGATGCCTTCATCTACTATAATGGCCATGGCCTACCTTACCAATATACAAGTCCAAATCAGATTTGCTGATATATTCCATCAACCATCAAATAGAACCTATATATGTATATATATATATATATATATATATATATATATATTTTTTCCATCAAATAGAACCTTCTTCAAGTGATGTCATATTCATCCAAGTGTGTGTGTGTGTGTGTGTGCGTGTGTGTATATATATTACAATATTTTGCAAATTTTCCAGTTATTAAATAATGTTTAAATGGTTTAAGGTTAATTAACAAACATGTTTTCTGTTATTCTTTTAAAAATAAGCTCAAGTGTAACATAAACACTGCTTACGTTTAAGCTTAAACAATAAACACTAAACATAAACAGTTACCTAACGGGTCCTTATTTTTGGGTAAACTTATTAATGTCTGATGAATATATCTAGCGATACGATGAAGTGCCCAATACATAGATGGACTTCAATACATGAGATCCCAACAAATTAACAAACATTAATTAATTAAAAACAATTATATTAGAGACCTTCTAGTAACAGTGCATTATGTATGCCCTGTCTGCACAGGGTGCTAGAAGGTGATGACTTGAGTAGACTTTACCTTTTGGCTAGTTTTCGCAATGAGTTCTCTCTTGTGAGTGTGTTCTTTGTGAATTCAAGGGTTTAACCCTGTTCTTTATCGTTTCCGCTACGTTATATTTGCCCTCCAAAAAACAGAAATGCTAGATATCCAAAAAAGTAGTTTACCTATCAGCTATAGTTCCCTTTGCACAATGTATGACTTTATAAAAATTGTAATTAGCATAAAATCAGATAGCAAACTAAAATGAGAATGCATAATTTAAAGATATTCTAAACCATACGAAACCCCAAAAAAAAAAAGTGAATAAAATTCCCATCCACCCTTTAAACACGAGGCACACAAATGGACACAACACGAAGAATGGAAAGAAAATGGAACTCCTATTATATTTACACAATTTAATAACTACCATTTTAACAAACCAGAATAACCAGATATACAATGTACAATATTTTTAAGAGACCCTAAGGCTTATACATTGAGGTCACCCAAATGTGAGTCTCAGAGAACCTCTTAGGATTAGATGACATCAAAGTTACGTTAAAGGTGAGAAGCTCCCCCACAATTATTTATTTGTTAATGTTAGATTAGCCAATTAAATGATTGGAGGATAATGTGCAAATACAAGTCTAACAAGTTAACCTTTTGTTAAACTAAAATTTCATTTTGAAATGATTAGTTTTTTAATAAAATATCTATATTACTTATATTTAATTTTGACTTCCTATATTTTGGAATTTATTTTTAAGTAATTTCTTTTTATCGTTTGGTAATCTACATAATTTCAATAGGAGATGGAACATTGGCATTTATGCATTTTGAGGCTCAGATCCTCGACCTCACTAGAGAAAATACCTCCATTTACTGCCCTCTAAGTCCATATACTCATACAATGCTTACAATATCAAAGAGCAGATTATGCCACCTCTACATTGACTATAGATTCATATAAAAAACCATAAATTATAAATTTGCCAGCCACTTCTCCCCTCCAACCCCAGAACAGGATTGGGAAGAAACCCAAAATAGAATCAAACAGAAAATATGAGTAATGAAAAAAATTATACATGCTTACCTTGTCATCCTCAGGTTTCCCAACAATGTTAAGGTCAGCAGAATACATCTCTGCAGAAAAGCATTGAGGGGTATCCAAATGGACAGACAAACTTCCAAGCCTGGTATCAACAGTGAACCAAGCAGGAATGCTTACCTGAAGAAGTAAAGTGAGTCAAGGAAAATCCACCAAGTGTTTGGCTGACATGAAAACATTATTATAGAAAGCAAGTAATCCCTACCATCTCAAAGAGCTCTTCCTTCTTCTCCTCAAACGAAACCTTTTAAGAAAAAGGCAAGAGCAATTTTTAAAGAAAGGAAGACATGAGTAATGAATAATTTTGAGGTAATCGACATATATATATATATATATATAAATGTTAACCATCATCTACTCTAAATCTTAAGCTGATAGACAAGGTGTAAATTTAGTACTTATATTCTCTAACACGCCCTCATGTGTGGCCTTCTTTTGGTCCAACACATGTTTCAATTTTAATTATCACACTGACAATAAGATTTGAACGATATGTTATGATACTATGTTAACCATCATCAACACTAAAAGCTTAAGTCGTTAGACATGGCGTAACTTTAGTGTTTAAATGCTCTAAGATAAACAATGTTTTAAATTACTCGTTCAGTAAAACTGCTCCACCACTCCCTCATTTAGGATTACACATTAGCAAAGGCGCAGCAATCAAAAACTATTCTAGTTAGAAATGATATAAAGATGGGAAAATAACCTCTCCGTAGTCCTTGACCACAACGCCCCTGGTAATCTCCCATAACTTCACTGAACCAGCAGTGTCCTATCAGAGACAAGTTTCACACATCATTACAGTATCACATTCACCACGAAAAACTTTGGAGTCAGAAGAAACAACTGGCACTGAAAAAATGTTCTACAAATGAAACATATGCTCAAAAAATCAGAATTACCTTAGTCAGGACATGCCTTCTGTTGTTTAAAATTTCATGCTTCACTATACCCGGAGTCCCAGGAATGATAAAGGACGGTTCCTTGTAAACAGGAGCCTAAAAAACCCCATTGGGGCAAGGGGGAACAAAGAACAAAGATCAGCCTTTAACCGACTTCAGATGGTCAGGGTACATGTATAAATAACAAGAGCTTGATTCAATAGAATAAATGTAAAAAATTTCTACATAGCACAAACCTATACAATTTCCGCACATTGAGATTTCTCTAGAACTTGTTTAATTGGGAAATATTTAGTAGATCTGGCAACCGATAAGCCTAGTATAGTATTTTGGGCAATTTAATAGGCTACATCAAATTTCACCCTTATTATGCATGTTGCAAAGTGCAATGACCTCATTTCTCAACCTTTGTACTCAAAACTGAGAAATAACAACTAGACTCGTATCATAAAACTAAAATATGACATATTATAATATGCTGTACGTATATAACTATATCAATTTTTAAGGAACCAAATAAATGAATCACACTTTCTTCCTTGTAGGGACAAAGGCTTTGTTGAGTTGAGTTGATAACTCTCTTCCTTGGAAAATTTCAAACATTTCTTGCATGGGATAGCTGACAGGAGTAAGATATTGACACAGTTCAAGAACCACACCAAGCATTAACTGTGCCGCAAGATGAGGGAAAGGCCCAAAAGATGGACATATTAGAAAAGATATTTGGATTCCATGACTGAACTGAAGAGTTGGCTAGCTTCACAGGCAGATTATAACCATTCCTCCAGCATCAAAACAATGCAGTAACATATGTTTTTATATCAGGGTCGAATTAGTTTGAATACAAATGACTACAATTTCCTTAAGAAACATGCACATGCTTTTTAACATTGCAACCAGACAATGTCGACAAGTTCCTAATTTAAATTGGCATGTAGACATATGCATCAACATAACTTTATCTCTGACTATTGCTAAAATTCTACAAATAATTCTTAAAACAAAGACATTTGTCAATAAGGACAGAGAAAATAATATATGGTTATAGAAGGAAGGATCGGAAAACTAGAGGACTATTTACCATCATAATTGAAAACCCAGAGATTTTTTTTTTTTTTTTTTTTTCCGTTAAGTAAGATTTCAAAAACCAGAAATTTACACACAATATAACCTATACGACCTAAAAAAAAAGAGAGAATAAACTAGGAACCTTCCCATCCAAAAATTTGAGATGGGGTGTAATTCTGTTACCCAGTCAAAACATAAAAATGAAATTGATATAGATATTTTTGTTCTTTGAAATATGATTTTTAATATTGTAGATCGGGTAAAGACCCAATAAGAAAATACCATTGTAGCCTAAAATATACTACTATCATCAATACTTCATATAAAGGTAAATTACCCCGATCTCCTCTTGAGGTTTTCGTTTATTACCCTCAGCTTAAAGTTTTTGAAAAGTAACTCTTAACACCCCAGTACACCCATGTCAGACTAACAAACTGCTAGTTAACCAAACGTATTTACTGAAATGACCACAACTTTTCAATGACTACTTTCTAAAATACCCCCATCTTTTTTATTTGCATGCAGCTGATGTCAGCCCATTCTCACAATTTTCTCATTATGCCCTGTGGCTGGATGTTACCATCATCACCATGGTTGATAATCCCTATGACCACCGCATCATCACCATTGTTGCTCATCCCGACCACCACGGCATCATCCCCACCTACACCACCCCTTACCCACTCCCGTCACCACCAATACCACAAAAACAGCCACCTCCTCCCTCCACTCGCAGGTGGAGTCACCAAGAAAACAATCTTGCATGCTTCCACTGCTCATGAGCTCATACACCAGTAAAATATTCCACCGTTTGCTGTCGGGTGAATCCGATGAGCGAGATGTGTGAGTCGAATCAATCTTCCCAGAAAAGAAGAGTTTGTTCTGGAACTCACGCTCACATTGGAGGGAACCAGCATCTGTGACATTCACAGAACTTCTTGATTCAAGCCCTTGATCAAACCGGAGAATTTTGTTACGGTTATGGTTGCAAAGGCCACCAAGAAAACAATCTTGCATGCTTCCACTGCTCATGAGCTCATACACCGGTAAAACATTCCACCGTTTGCTGTCGGGTGAATCCGATGAGCGAGATGTGTGAGTCGAGTCAATCTTCCCAGAAAAGAAGAGTTTGTTCTGGAACTCACGCTCACATTGGAGAGAACCAGCATCTGTGACATTCACAGAACTTCTTGATTCAAGCCCTTGATCAAACCGGAGAATTTTGTTACGGTTATGGTTGCAAAGGCACAGCCTGAGATGGTTGTGGAGACACCGGTCTCACTGGTGATGATCAAGGCTGCACCAGTGTCACCACAAAAAGTTGCAGCAGTGACTTCACCATCGGAAAGTCTGGAGAAGGCGAGTATGTTGGAGGGGAATCTCAATGAAATTAGCGTGGAAGGTGAGAAGGAAATGGTTGACAGTGACTTCTTGATTCAAGCCGTTGATCAAACCGGAGAATTTTTTTATGGTTATGGTTGCAAAGGAATCGCCTGAGACGGTTGTGGAGGCTCCAGTGTCACCGGAGATGGTTGAGGCTGCGCCAGTGTCACCACAAAAAGTTGCAGCAGTGACATCACCATTGGACAGCCTGGAGAAGGTGAGTGTGTTGGAGAGGAATCACGATGAAATCAGCTTGGAAAGTGAGAAGGAAATGGTTGGTGGCGGTGTGAAGCAGAGTGGGAGGCAGAAGGAGAAATTTCGTGTTAATGATGGTGGTGGAAACAACATAATCGTGGGACAGAGATAGAGGCTGTGACGGAAAGAATTGGAAATGAAATTAAGAATGAAAGGCCTAAGAGTGGTTGGATTGCAGCTTCATCAAGCTTTGGACCACTTGGAAAGACCTAAAAGAAGAATCGGAGATTGGATTGATGGGTGTCACTGGTTGATGACAAAAATGTGACGAAAGAGGAGTTGCAAGGGAATGGTGGAAGGAGTACAGCAAAGGCAATTTTGTAATTCTCCTGCACGAACGTACTTTTGGCATTTTAACTGATTTTAATTGGTCTGACGATCAACTACGGCAGGGGTGGCCGGGGTTAAGTCAACCGAACCTCAAGGGAAGTTGACTAAGGTATTTTAAAAACATTAAACCGAAAGTAACAAACAAAAACGTCAGGGAAGGTCGGGGTAACATACCCTTAATATGATTGTCATACTAAAGATATTGTCAGAGCATTTACTAACATATCCAAATCATTTGGTTCAATATGCAGTACCAAATATACGTGTTAATGTTTAAGAAAGATCATTGGTTGAAATTACGTAATTTTTTATTAATTTAACTATGTAAATAGTATGAGCATAAGACAAACCAAAATTTGAATATGTAAGACAGTAAGACGTTAACATTTTTGGATTCTTTCCCACTAAATTACAAAAATCAAAATTCGAAAAAAAAAAATTCCTTGAAAGGGTCTCTTCACTTCCGTATTTAACTTCTCAATGAGTTGGCTTGGTTAGACCATAAAAAAATATATATATGGCAGTTAAATTTGGATAGTATACTTAAAATGGTCTTGAGCAAGACAGGATAAAGTTATGCACAAGTTTAACAAAAAAGTAACAACTTATGAATAGCACCAACCCATATGCATTTGCCAATATTTATAGAATAGTAAATAAAGCTTCCAAGCAAGCAAATATCCACAAAACAATGGGGGTGGGAATTTTGGAAGACTTGGTAATCCTTACACTTCATTGACGTAAAGGGAAAAAAGTCACTTTGAGAACATCCGACAAAAACTGGATTGAATGATACAAGTGGAAGAAAAAACCTTAAATATTAAAATATTTATTAGAAAAAGAAGAATCTGTTGGCAAAAAATAAAAAGCAAAATCTCAAAATCAGAATTGGAAAAACTAAAGGATGTCCAGCGTAAGAAGACCAATTATGGGATAAAATCTATTACCAAAGATTATGAAATAGATAGGGGGGAAATGACTCACTGGGGTACTTCCTTCTAAGGAAGCCCTTGCCCTTGAAAATGATAAGTTTCCAGCCAAAAATGAGCCGCCTCTTTGAAATACACTCTGAGGATTATTGCCTTCAGCCGGCCATCTATATATGGAAGAATCTGTTGTTGCAACCCATATACCATCATCATGCATTGCTAACTGCAAAATAGGATGTTCCTTTGTGCAAAGCAAAATACTCTCTCTTGTTGCCAAGTCTGTCAAATATAACTGAGAGTATAAACAGAATTAATTGGGTATAAAAAAGATGAGCATAATACCAACAGATCTTTATGACAAGAAAAGACAAAACCGACAAAAGATTTGCATTGAGTTGAACTGCACTCACAGAAAGGTCTCTCCCACCACTATAAACATGACTAAACGTGGGGGTGCTGGCAAGTGCCCAGACAGAATCTGTATGCACGGCATAGGAATGCACACATCGCTGCTGACCAAGATCCCATAGTCTACCCAAAAAAAAGTAGAAAAAATATCAATTACACAAACAAAAAAATAGTAAGAAAAAATTACTCAATATATTAGAGCAACTTTATATGAATAGACTTATCCAAAGAAAAACCTTTAGAATGCATAATAGGCACATTTCAAAAAGGAAAAAATCTACTCAATATATTAGAGCAACTTTAGAATGCACAACGGGCCCATCATGTCCTAAATTTTATGCACACTTACGTTGTATTCAACATAGTTTCGTGACTATGTTAATGCCAACCACAATATAAAACAAATACTACTTGTAGCATTAATACAAAATCTTCCGGATAAAGTTACCAGCTAATGATACATCAGTGTCAATTTTTTTTCCCTGTTGTGGTGAATAACATCAGCATTATATTCATTAAAATTTATTGAAGAATTCCAGAACTTAATGAGGGCGGAAATTCATTTCTATGGAAAGCGAAATTTATCTCCAAAGGTTCCTATTTGTAGTAGTAAAATTGAAACAATACATCCCACATGCAGAATTTACAGAAATAATGTTAAAAAGAAGATAAGAAATTGGAGAAAACACAATGGTCACAACCACAAAGGATTACTTGGATCCAAATTCGAAAGAAACCAAAAACGTGAACTCAACCAAGGGAACCCAATTCTCAGATCTTTATCCACACTCATTTACACTAAACATATTTCTGGTAAAAAAAAAATACCCATATGCACACTTAAAAGAACACCATAAGCTCAGACACCAACTAATGAAAACAATAAATCAAATAATCAAGTCAAAGGAAACTTTAACCCATATATTATTTATACTGGTGACAATCTGTAGTAGATTTAAAGAACAGAATTTGATGCTCCACATCTTTCTTTTTTTTACTTTCTTTTAGCTTTTTATTTTCTTTATTGACATAGTCAAATGAAATTACACATTAGATAGACATTTCCCAGATACAAAATGACCAACTTCAACCACATGAGAAAGCTAAATTAGAATTGACAAACAAGACAAAGAACCCAAAATCAATGAAAAAGAACATGCCCCTTTGATGCTGGTTGAAATTGGAAATAATGCCAATAAGCTAAGTTTCCTACTGTAAGTGTTGTATGTTAAATTTGGATGCGGAAATAAGACATGCAAATAGCAAAAGGGAACAGAGAAAGATGGAGAACACATGCATATATATGGTTCGGCACTAAGGACTACATCCATGGATAAAGAGCTACATTTCTATTATTGAGATATAGTTTGCTTGAATACAAAGACCTTATATATAGGCATGGTAAAGAAAAGAAAATATGGATTAATAGAGTAGAGGAATCAGTGGAGAAAAATCCTCCTTATTTCCTATTTTCCAATTCTTTCCATTCTCATAATTTCTTCTCCTATATAAAGGAGCCTCCACCATTTTATTGTAAATGAATTGAGAGCAGTGTCATTAAAGGATCAAGGCGCACCAAGGCGCAAAAGATCCTTTGGAGCCTAGGCGCACGGCGAGGCGCGCGCCTGAGTGAAATGAGGCACACAATTAAAATTTTAAACTACCATAAAAGCATTCATATCTCATAATAAAAAAGCAAATCCATCAACTATATAAGCATTCAAGAACCCAAAAACATAGCACGAATTTGTTTTCTTGAAAGGCAAAATAGAATTTGTTTTTTTGAATGGAAAAACATAGCACAAAAAAAATAAATTTACTAACCAAAAAAATAAAACAAAACTGCTAAACAAGAAAAGGAAAAAAAACAGAGCCCCAAAAAAGAAGACGTAGAGACAAAATAAGTAGATGAAGAGAGAGAAGTAGATGAGAAGAGAGATAGAGAGACTATGAAGAAAAAGGAGAAAAAACAAAAAAAAAAAAAAAAAGACAAGGAGAGAAGAGAACTAGACAAAGAGAGATAAGCAAGCAAAGATGAGAGGAGAGAGATCAAAGAAGTAGAGCAAAAGAGACAGAAGAAAAAGAATTGACATGGCTTTGTTGTTCGTCTCTGCAACTAGAGCTTCGTCGTTCGTCTCACTCTTTCTATGTTCGGTTGACACTTTGACTCTTGGGCTTTCTTATTTGTTTATTCTTTTGAACAAAAGTTTCCTCCTCATTAGCTTAGGCTTTCTTATTAGTTTATTAAGTTGCCAAACGAACTGATTGAGAGAGTATTATAAAAGTGATGTAGCCATTTGGGATGTAGACCTTAGTGCCGAACCATGTATATGCATGTGTTGTCCATCTTTCTCTCTTCCATTTTACTATTTGCATTTCTTACTTCTGCGTCCAAATTTAAACATGGTATCAGAGCCAGGTTGTTCTTGTAATCCCATCTAGAATGTGAGAGGGAGTATTGGTATTATTATCATGGAGCATATTCTCTAAGTCTTCACATTCTTTTCACAGCATAGTTCCGGCCAGTTCCTGGCGAGTTCTAGTTGGTTTTCCCAGCATAGTTCCGATCAGCTTTTAAGATGGTTTAGCACCTTGGCGTTCCTTGATGTAGTTCGGGCCATTTCCTGGTGTTGTACCGGACATTTCCCAACTTAGTTTCGGACATTTCCCGGCGTTTTCCAGCAATTTCCCGCCATTGTTCCGGACAATTCCCGGTGTAGTTCCGGACATTTTCCCCAACGATTTCTAGTTTATTTTCCTCGACAAGATCGGGTTATTTTCCTAGCTTTGTTCCGGACACTTTCTCATCATCTTTTGAGGCGTCTTTGGCAAGTTGGGTATTCATGATATTCATGCTCCAACTTAAGGGGGAGTGTTATATATAAATATTTCTACAAAATCATGGAGCAAAATCCTCCACCAATCACAATGATCCAATAAATTTCCTTCCAACTATAAATATTTTTATATAACAGTGGAGCAAAATCCTCCACCAATCACAATGTCTCCTTTGACTATTGTACACCTTCCATATTTTCTTATCTTTACCATGCCATATATAAGATTTTTGTACTCGAGCAAAATATGTCTCAATAATAGAAATTGAGCCCTTAGTGCCTCTTTATCCATGGATGTAGTCCTTAATGTCAAACCATGTATATGCATGTGTTCTCCATCTCTCTCTCTTCATTTCTATTTTATTATTTAAAAAAATGGTATCAGAGCGATTGTGAGAACCACAATCATGACACACGAGATGAGGATTATTCATTTAGCAATACCTTTGTTCACCAATCTCACTACGACTAAAGAGGAACCGACGTCGACGAGAGTGATCGTGTGAACCCTTTCATCTCTCGCGGCATCGATCACTTTAGTTGCAATCTTCCGAACAAATTGTACCAAATTCACCAAACCCCAATCGCATTTTCAAAATAAATCAAATCAATCTCTCCTCTTAGTCTCACCACCACCACACCATGGACAGGTGATTGCTTTTGTAAGGAATGCGTTTGGGAATGTGGTATCATTCGTTCAAAATGAATTCAATCAATCTCTCCTCTTATCCGTGTAAACAATTACATCCCTCACGCCATCGATCGCTTTAGCTGTAATTTTCCGAACGAATGGTACCACATTCGCATGTGCATTCCCTACAAAAACAATCACCCTGTCCAAGGCGTAGTGGTGGTGAGATTAAGAGGAGAGATTGATTGGATTAATTTTGAAAATGTGATTGGGTTTGTGAATTTGGTACAATTAGTTCAAAAAGTTGAAGATCGCATTCCCTACAAAAGCAATCACCATATCCATGGTGTGAGACTAAGAAGAGAGATTAATTGGATTCATTTTGAAAATAAGATTGAGGTTTGGTGAATTTGGTCATAGTTGTTAAAGGCGCCGGAGGCGCGCGCCTGAGGCACAAGGCGCCTTCAGGCGCCACCATGTCGCCTCCAATGGCTTAAGGCGCTGGGGTTGAATAGGGCAGCCGCCTTTGTATAACAGGCGCACAAAAGGCGAGCCTACTGGAAAAAGGGAATTTTTTTAATTGTTTTGTTATTCTTTTGGTTTTGGAAAGAAGAGAGATCTGCCGGCAGAGAAGGCGATATCTGCGAAGCTCTCGGATATCTCTCAGTCTCGGTCCTCTCGGATCTGCCAATAAGTTCTCCTTCTCTCTATCCTTCTCTTCTTCTTCTCTCCTCCTCCTCTCTCTCCTTATTCTCTCTTCTCTTCTCTCCGAATCTCTTGTCAGATTTTTTTTTTTTTTTTTTACTTTCTTTTCTTCTTCTTCTCTCGTCAGAATGTCAGATTTTTTTTTTTTTTTTTCTCTCTTCTTTTCTTCTTCTTCTTCTCTCGTCTCTCTCTTCTTTCAGTTCTTTGAGTTCTTTCCTTTTGCTTTTGGCAAATTTTTTTATTTATTTTTATGCTTGTCTAGAATCTAGATGATGTTGGTCCTTTTTTTTTTTTAGGTTTTTGTGACTTAGTTGTTGTTTCTGTAGATTAGTGCCTTACTGCCTTGCATGTGTTTGGTGATGCGCCTGATTGATTTTGTTTACTCCTTATTAAAACAGATAATAGAGATATACCTAATCAATCAATCACTTACCCAAAAATGACTTGAAAAATAGAATCAATCATGGTGATTATAGAAAATTAGATTGATTTGCTTTGAAAATATAGCACATCCTTGATCCTTGTGGTTTTTGCAAGATAAATTCATAATTTCTATTTAATGCATCCAAACATGGTACTTGAAGCTTGCAAAAACGTTTTATTCGTGCTTAATGAAAATTAGATTTGATTTGACTTTAAAAGTAATAATAGCACATCCATGTGATTTTTGCAAGATGAACTCAAATTTTCTATCAATTAATGCAGCATACAAACATTATTGCATCTTTATATATACTATTGCAGCTTTAATACTTTATTCGGTGGGTTTCGTTTTGTTTTTTTTCAACGTGCGCCTTACTTCAGTTGGGCGCGCGCCTCGCCTTGCGCACCAGGCGCCAGGAGGCATTTGCGCTTTTGTGCGCCTTGAGCCTTTAACAACTATGAATTTGGTACAATTCATTCGGAAAATTGCAGCTAAAACGATCAATGGCGCGAGAAATATAAGGGTTCGCACGATCACTCTCGTCGACGCCGGAGTATTTCAAATTTCCTCTCTGGTTGTAGTGAGATTTGTGAGCAAAGATACTGCTGAATGTGCTAAATGGATATTCCTCATCTTGTGTGTCGTGATTGTCGTTCTCACAATCAATGAGTTGTTCTTGCTCCGGCATCAATATCAGGGCTCTGATACCATGTTGTAAATAATAAAAGAGAAGTGAAAAGAGAAAGATGTAGAACACATGCATATACATGATTCAGCACTAAGGACTATATCCATAGATAAATAGCCACTAAGGGCTACATTTCTATTATTGAGATATATTTTGCTTGAGTACAAAGAGCCTATATATAGGCATGGTGAAGATAAGAAAGTATGGAAGTTGTATAATAGTCAAAGAAGGCATCGTGATTGGTGGTGCTCCCACCGTTATATAGAAATATTTATAGTTGGAAGAAAATTGAACGGATCACTGTGATTGGCGGAGGATTTTGCTCCATGATTATATAGAAATATTTATATATTTCAACATTGTAGAACTAAGAATAGGCCATGATGGATTACAGCAAATAGAGGATTACAGCTGTGGAAGTTCCATTGGATTATCTAATGCTTCAAATAAATGGCCTGTCAGCTCTCCTTAGGTTTTTGGTCCTTAATAGCAGTATGGCCATTCATTAACATTGGTGGGCATTTTACTAGTAAATGTTTTTATTAGACGGAAGCTTCAAGAATTTTTTTTTTTTTTTGAGGAATCAAATTTTGTAGTTTGTGATTTCTGGTGTACAAACAATTCAAACTGCTTTAATATATTAAATTTTTTACGAAGCTTGCATAACAATTCAATGCTATACCATGTTTTTGTATTTAACGAATAGCAAAGAAAATCAAGATATACTTATGAAGATAGCAATTATTGTTTTCTACCACTCTTTTTCTAGAGCTGTAGCAACTAAGCAGCTCAGGCATCATTGGGAATCTGATATCTTCCACAATAAATCAACTGGCCCATTTTTGTTTTGATATCCATATATACATTTCTTATAGACAAGAAAGGAATAAGATTTTTGGACAGCACTATTTCCTTTTAAGTTTTCGTAATCTTTTTGGATTACATCTCATCTGTACAGTCGGGAGTCCCCCTGCATAAACCACCACTTTATTCTTTTTCCACTTTCTTTTTCACCTACTTTTATACTTCTCTATAAGCAATTAAAACTTTATGCAAGTACGAAAAAGGATTAGGAACAAGGAGATTTCTTCTATTCATGTTTGGAGAAGTAACTAAATTAAAGATAAAAATTGTTATAATAGTGACCCTAACCTTTCCCTACACCAGTTAAGATCCAACAACCAGACATCTTTCAATTCCAATGCAAACAGCTATATTTTTAACCAAACAATAATTCTAGATAGGATAAAACTTCGAGTAGACAACTTATATTCGAAAATTGTCCCTCGTCACTTACACCCAATCTAAACTTCCATGTTTAATTATTCAGATCTGTAGATAACCTTGGAAACAACTAGGTGGAACAAGAGAGCATCAGATCCCAATCCAAGAATGATTGCTTCTTATACTTGTACTGGAAATAGGTCCTGTCAATGAATAACAGTATAACACTAAGGCTATGAGAGGTATATTGTATACAGTGTGGGTGGATGCAGTAGTAGTGATCATGATGGTGTGGGAAAATGTTCACAGGCAATGGAGTAAGTAATAGTGGTTGTGGTACAAGTTGGGGTTGAGGATTACAATGTTGTTAGAACCTGGTGATGGTGATGGTGGCATAACAATAGCAGTACTGGCAGTCAGAATGTGGTGAGCCTAAGAGCATCTCCAATGCACCTTTCATTTGGGTTGCTAAACTCAAAATTTGAGATAGGTGTAAAAAGTGGGCTCTCCAATGGGCTTTCATTTGGGCTCTCAAATTTTGAGAATGCCAAATTTTTTCTCAAATATAGGAGGTGCCAATTTTTTTGGCAGGCCTTCTCTCTCTCTGTGTACGATGCTGTTTGGAACGGCTTTATCTCTGTGCATTTCCTGTCCCCTCTTCCGGTTGCGTCAAAATCTGACTTCAATCTCTCTCTCTCTCTCTCTATATATATATGTATGTTTGTATACCTAACTCAATACAAAATCTGACTTCAATCTCTCTCTCTCAATTCAATGAATCCAATTTCTCCATGGTCGAAGATGGCATTTACAGATCCGGCTTGAGAGTTAGCAGTTGCAGAGAGAGAGGGGGGCAAGCTTGAGAGTTGAGAGCCAGTGGCTGAAGCTTGCGAACGGCTAACTCTGAAATGATATGCCGATATGGGTTTTGATATAGGTAATAGGTTTTGAACTTTTGATTCTTGCAGACAGATAGATATACAGAAATATAAACAATATATACATACATATACGTGTGTGTGTGTTTGAGTGTGTGTAAAAGAGATGATGAAGCTGAATAAGAAAAGAGAGACAACACCGAAAACCATAGGAATGGGTGGAGTAGGGAAGCAAACAATTACAACATATATGTATCCATAGATTTTCAGAAAACATCATCCCCATTTCAGATCTGCTCTCAGCCACCTCACTTACCCTAATTTGACAGATAGATAAACTGAAATATATGGGTTTTGAACTTCTGATTCTTGTAGATTTTGTAGTTTGCAGTTGCAGAGAGAGAGAGAGAGAGAGAGAGAGAGAGAGAGAGAGAGGGCAAGTTCAGAGTCAAGAACGAGAACAAAGATGGAGGCGATTGGGGAGGCTGAAATGATTTGCCCTAAAAATATTATGTGGGACATAATGCAATGAATGGTTGAGATGGGAAGGGAATTTCGAAATCAACGGTCAAAGTTAAAGTAGGATTGGAAAGCTAGAAGTGGGTTGGACTTGGTTCAATAGAGGGTGAGAATTGCTAAAATATAGCATTTTGGATGGAATGCACCATTGGAGCAAAATTGCTAAAAAAATTGTATTTTGACACCGTAGTTCCTCTCAAAATATAGATTTGGCAGCCCGAAATGGCATTTACCATTGGAGATGCTCTAAGGTGTTATTAGGTATGGAGGCAATGGACACGGTGCACTTGAAGTGTCATTAGCGAGACATAAGGGTGGTGAAGTCTTGGCACTGTTGTCAGAGCTTCATACTTAAACCATCAGTATCACCCTTCCACGCCCACCCAAAAAAAATTTGTTAAATTCTCCGAAGTGTACGACCAAACACGAGATTTTTGTCAATCAAACTTCTCTTTCATAACCATCCCAGTCACATACTCAAGTTCCGCAAGGAAATCTTTAAAGCCTTGAAAAGCGAACTTCCAAAGAAAAAAGCATGAGATGCCTTAATGACTGTACTGCTCCCATTTAAATTTATAATCATAATAGATCTCAAACAGAATATGTCTCATTACCCAACACACCCTATTCCCAAGTAATTAGTAAGTTAGATCCTATGTTACATGGACTCTTCAAAAGTAGTGAAGTAGCCGTGTCGGACACCTATTGCTTGGATATGGGTATGGGATACGTGTCCGTCACTTATGGACGGACATGTACTTAAAAAGCATATCCAATCATTCACTTATATTATATTAGTACTTTAAAATGAGTTAATGCCTATATTGAACATTTTATTAGATAAAAACATTACTTTACTCTAGAAAATAAAATAAAATGAATATTTAGCCATGTCCGAGTGTCCTTCTGTTTGGAGATTTGACACGTCCGACACATGAATACATACCCGTGTCTGACACACGTACCCGAGTCCATGTAACATCAATCAACAATAGTATGCAAAGGTATCAGCTCTTACTCATCACAAAACTCAAGTTCACTTGTGCAGACATAGCCATGAAATATAATTTTGCATAGAACACGATTTCCATGTCTAAATATGATACAATATTCAATTATAGTGAAGAAAAGGTATGATATATCTGACCTGATCATAGAATCAGAGGATCCCGATAAGCAAAACCTGCAATAATGAAAAGTTGAACTGTGGTCACTCACACAAGCCAACAATATTATAAATATAATTAATCAACACTGCAAGGATAATCATAAACTGCCCATTGTGACAATATGCTCTCAAGCTAAGAAGCATGGATACAACACTAAGACATGAATAAGACAAAATATGGACATGTTGACATGGTAAATCATAAAAAAGTAGACACGACTCAAGTCATCACATCACAATAAAATATATATCTTTGTATAATAATATATATTATTTAGGACAAATAAATACTATGGATATAAAATATTTCATTTAATTGTTCATATATGTAGATGTGTATATATAAATATACATCATTCGGTGACTCCTTTTTCTTTTTCTTTTTTTCTTCTTTTGATCAGGGACTCCTTTTTCACTCCCACGCCTACTCCTTCAATAGAACCTTTCTTCTTCTGTTTTCGAAATATTTTCAAAACTTCATATAAATTTATATAAACCCTTAAATTCAATTGTTCTTAAAATTCCCTTTTTTTTTTTTTCTCTTTTTTTTTTTTTTTTCTGACAAGTGTTCTAACAATTCCATTTTATAAGAACGTTTTATCTAATCTTCAAGATTTCTATTAGTTACATGTTAAAACACATTCAAGAAGTGTTGATCATGTGTCCAAAATTAAGAATTTATTTTTAAATTATGGACACGTCCTAGACTGTCAGACAGGTGTTCAAGAGTGTTCTAGATGAATCTGACATGGATACGGCTCCTCTTAGAAGTGCCGTTGCTTATTCACTCTCGAGAAAACTCAGCCATATAGATGGCAATATTTTGCCAAACCCCATCCTATTCAAATTAAAACTAATAAAGTAAAACTTTCTGGCTCAGAATCAGATTTAGAAAAAGTAGGTTTCCCAGATTCTAAACTGAGTACAAGTTGAAGCATGAGTAAACCAGTTCAGATAGTAAGGCCACCATGTCCAGATCATATATAAATTTTTCCATTTCTCAATTATGGTGTTGCTAATACGAGGTACTGATAAGTCTACATGTTAGACGGAACATAAAAAAATAAAAGATAAGAAAGAAATACTAAAACCGAATACATTCATATAGTAGAAGACAAACAAGAACATGAACGACAATAAAACATACAATCAATAGACAGACCAAACATGCCAGAAAAAATATGGAAAAAAATAAATTTAGAAAAAATAAAAGAACAGTATAGAGTGCAAGTGAGCAACAGATTATCAAAATGGGGGTCAAGCAAGGGCAACCGCTGATCAAAATGAGCACATACGATCAAGAATTTGGAACATATTTCATGTATGTGTATATGCATGTACATAAATTTAATTTATCATATGTTGGATGCTATCTAGGCAAAACACTGCATTTGGGCACAAGTCATTATTCTTATTTTTTACAAGCAGGATAGAGATGAAAATCAAATTAAAGTCCAAATATTCCAACTAAAGATATAATTGTCAAACAAATGCAGACTCTGCCCAACTAACCTGCCAGTAGAATCCAAAAGAAGAGCCCGAATATTATCTGTATGCCCTCTAAGCTTCATTGTCTTTGAACCAGTTCTAGGGTCCCAAACACGTATGACCTATAGGAAATCATAACATTGCAACGCCAATTGGATACTTTTCTCATAATAAACCACAAGCATTTTCGTATCATTAAATGATAGACAAAGGAGCGAATGAATCTCTCAGATGTTTCCACTGGTATCGCAGAACCCTATCAAATTTGTATTATAAAAACTAACCTATCAGAATGTACCTTCTCAGTTCCACCAGAAACAAGAAGGGTTCCACTATCATTCATTGACAATGCGTAAACTGACTCTTTATGGCCTTTAGCAGCAAGGGGAACATATCCATGAGACTGAGTTGGATGCAAAGAAATGCTGTTGCTTGAGCTAATAGTACGTAGACTAGTAATGGGTAGTGAATTTCCAGGACCATTGATACCATTCGAACAATCATCTTCCATAGGATCACCCGACTTGGAGAGGGGAGCAAGTGCAGCTTCAATATCCCATACAAAAACCTCTCCGCCCAGCCCGCCGGACGCAATGACATTCCTCTATAATGAATGACGCTATACAAGGATCAGAAACTAACGAAAGTAAAAGCATTATGCCTCCAAGCTCAAATGAAACCGGATTTGACAGGATTACACTACAAGAAACCTTTCATCTATGCAGTCAAGAAAACATTCACCAAAAAATTACATTTTTATCTGCTGCAGCAAGACAAGTAACATAGTCAGAGTGTTGACGAAGTGTCCTCGTACAAGTTCCATCAGACAAGCAATTCCAGATCTGGTGCATCTCAGCAGAAAATTATATCTAATTAATGAGTCAAAAATCATGAATAGATTCTACAAACAACAAAAGTTTAAGACAATGACAAACCTTGAGGGTGGTGTCTGACGAACAGGAAACAAGTGTGTTACCACCAGCAAGGACAGCATCGTTTACCTGCATAACCCAATGCATGCAATTTCCAGTCAATGCTAAAGCAAAATACCAATTAAATACCAAGAACTTTAAAATTCTATCTGAAGAACAAGATTTCTCAATCTTTCTATATTAAAGAGTCTCCAGAGGGGTTTCAGTGTTCATGTTCCACTAGGAATTCATGTTAAATTTGTATCCTAGTAAAACCCAAAACAAATTAATTAAAGGTAAATAAAATCTTTGTCAACAACTCACAGTACTAAAAATGGCCAACATGCTGATATAATGGATAAACTATTGATGTTTTATCAACCAAAATCAAATGAAAATACAACACCAAAAGCAGCAAGTAATCTTCAATCAAATCCAAATGGGTATTGTAGAAAATGAAGTAAAAGGCTTAAGAATGAAATATACCCAATCGACATGCGACTCAAATGTAGCAGAGCAAGTGGCACCATCTGCAGCCAATGCCCATTTTCTTAACGTGCCATCACGACTCCCAGTGAAGAGGGAATCGCCCCCATTGGGGGCTGGTGACTTCAGTACAGCCAAACAATTAATTCCTGCACAATGCTGCAAGCAGAGAAGATTCCAAAATGAAGTAACATGAAGAGTTATATTCACACAACAGTAATGAAACCAAAAATGATAATGACCCAGAAATGTAAAGAAAAATGATCATGCTTTTGGCAAAACAAAACAGTGTAGGGTGGATACAAAGAGAAGCTTCAAACATATAAGATAAGTGCAAACCTTACACGAAATAAATTCATCAGCTGTAAAAAGTAAAATCCCAAATTTGTGCTACTAAAATTTTTGACTTTCAGTTAATTAACAATCATGGCAAGAGAAAGCAAAGTATGTAAAGTTTTGCACAACCAGTAACTACTAGAATGTCAACCAATATTGAATTTGACATTCTGCAATCAATTATACAGGGTAGCCCTAGCCTTATATGAGGCATACTTAAATAAAAAAGGTTCAACAGAAAAGGCACTTTATCTCATAGTAACTACTAGAAATTTGGAGCATAATTAAATAAAAAAAGGTTCAACAGAAAAGGCGCTTCTCCTCAGAGCATAGAAAATAGCTGTATGATATTAAGTATTAACTAAGCACACTTAACAGCTCAGGAATTGTTCATTAAGTGTGAAAATTCTGAACCAGTTTATTTCTTTTTCTGTCCAAAAATTTTGAACTTCACATATATGAAGTGAGTGTTACTAGAGCCATCTGAATGAATTTAATCACTAAGAAAATGGCTGTTAAAAATTGCCCATCCAAATTGACAAAGGGGAAAATAAAGAACTTAACCATATTATTGTTATAATATATGCAAACAAAGACATGGACAGATGACTTACTGTTTGTGTTTATTGGAACCAAAACATTGAGCCGCTTCAACAACAATATGTGTGTATATATATTAGCTTATATGATGTGTGGCGGTGTGGCCTGAATGTTGTTTCGGACTCGGTTGACCTGAAAAGAGCAGTTTTACGGTTGCGAGACATGGACCCTGCTCTCTTGTAGTCCGATATATAAAGGCGCTTGGGGTTTGGAGTGGAACAACGAGAGAAGACTGAAAATTGCAACAAAGAGAGTGGGAAAGAGAGCTAGGGTTTGGGGGCTGAAACTTGTAATCTCCTGATTTTCAAATAGTGAAATCTTTCGCCGGATGGCACAACTTGTGTCAAACCATGAAATCTTTATGTCTTGTGTGGTGCTTGTTCTAGTCGTGTTTTGTGATTGTTTCTTGGTTCACGGCTGTTTTGTCACAACAGCGTATATGATTTATGTCCAAATTAGGGGAACCAGAAATCATTAAAGCATTCAAATGGATTACCTGGAACAGATACCAACAGAATAGAGAGGGAGAGAGAGAGATAGTGCCAAAAGGATAACTGTTGCTGTACATATTTTGTATATTAGCTAGGAAGACGGTAAGGGTACTAAGTTGAAGTTAAATGAATGATTAAGGAAGTTGACCTTACATACTGAATGACAAATTTCACAAGAAATATACATAGTATTATAGTTATACATAACCTTTTTTTTTTTTTAACAAGCCTAGGAACAAACATTTTTTTATGAGTATAGGCAACGCAAAATAGTTGGGACAAGACTTTCTTGAGTTAATTTTCTGCACAGAAACACACAAATTTTATCAACAAGAAGTAATATATATCTGTCTATCACTGTCTTTCCTTCAGACCCATCAGCCATGTAATGATTATACATTCACAAGAAAAGCCCAATTTTTTATAAGATCAAAAGGGAACTTGGAAGAAAATGAAAACAAAACCTCACCTTTGTATCATCGGCATCGTTTAACACGTAGGTCAACCTCTTCTCCTTGCGAGGGCGAACTGAATTAGATGTGTTCCCTGCACTGCCCACGCGGTGCATCGCAGAAACACCTAAAGAAAATATAACTAAATGAATAAATGATAAACAAATAAAAACCAAAAACAGTAGTCACCTAATAAATTTCTTGAAACTAGTATGCTTATTGCTTTAATGTGTATGCAACCCTATGGGCAAACAGCACCACTCATCTTTATGGTGTATGGCGGATTTTTCAGACTAATGCATGTTTGTGAATTTTATTACATCAGAAACAAAAACTTTCATATGATTTGAGACCTTTGATTCAGTTGTCATTATGGAATTCTATGACATACACCGAATCATCTGAGGCATCCGTTTTGGCACTTCAAAAGCTAAATGTATACTGTATTGGAATCACCAACATTAACAAGTTCTATGAGTTATTGTAATAACTAGTGGCCCACCATCAAACATTTCTTGAAACATCACCGTATTACGAAAAGTGTAATTTCTGGCCAGATCTTAAATCAACTTGGGTTCACTGGTTAATATACAAAACTTAAGCATGCTGCATATCTATTATCCAGAAAATATCCATTCCAACCATCATCAACCATCCCTCAAGCCACCATACATACACAGATGTTTTGCATCTACTAATAACCCTGATCAAAAGGTAAATGTACCAGTCCAGAAGCAAATAGATGATACCACTTGCTCATGAGTCAATATCCTCAGTCCTCTTTATTTCCCTTAATCATAGCAACCGTAAACTGTTGGAATTGTATGCCCGAAAAGCCAATTCTCTATTTATGAATTCGCCAGCTTATTAATAAATGTGATTTATTATTAAATTAAACATTCATGCATTTGCTTTTCATATGTTTGTATGGGGATGCATCATAGTCCTCAAATTGCATTATAGGTAACTTAAGCGTGTAAATGAGTTTTACATACATGAGAATTGAGTTCACATGTTTCTTGCAACTTGGCAGTGTTCTCATTCGGTTATAAATGTTGGACACCTTTATCTGTAAGATTGTAACGCACTGGAGATGGTTTGTCTTGACCATTGGAGAAGTTGACTCTAGATCAGTGTGTAACTGTTCTTGGAGTTAAGAAACATGAACACTTCTACAAGGTGCCGTGTCCATGTCGAACACTGACACTTAATGGACACTACTAGACAAGTTTAACAATTTGTGGTCTTGTCCATAATTTAAAAGTAATTTTTATTATTTTGGACACTTGACCGACACATCGTGAACACTTGGCCAATACATGTTGAACCCTTGGTCGGCGCATTTTGGACACTCAAACAACACATCCCACAATCTCCGTCTTATATAAAATAAACACATGACAAAAACAACATTATGAGCATACATCAAAGCGTTCAACCTTTTTTTCTTTAAAAATTTGACATTGAACACGTCACTATATGACATTGAACACATGTCACAATATGTAATACAAAAATATAACTATAATGACAAGATAAAAGAGTAATATCATATACAATAATTTCTTTTTTTTTCAATATTTGAAAAGTTTCATTTTCTAACTAGAATAACTTTAGTATCGAAATTATATATATATTAAAGTCTACAGGTACCTTTTTCAATAGCTATATAAATGAAAATTAATATTTATATTAGTTGCGCCCACGCCATGTCGAAGTACTTTTTTAGAATTTGAAGTGTAGGTGGATCCATGTCATATCGTGTCCGTGTCCATGCTTCTTAGGATTTGAGTACACTGTCACCATAAGATCACATCACATAAATTATTGTCATTATTTTGTGTAATTCTTATATACTAAATGCATTAACTTCTAAATCCTGAAAGGTTTAGTGGATTCAAGTTTCAGTGTTGGTAATTTTTACTTACCAATATGTGACAACTTTTAAGGCCAACATCACGGTATCTTGGGTGGCAATGTTGGAGTTGTGGGCATGCGAACACTCAACATGGAATTCACTCTTAATAAGAGTCATAGAATATTTCCTTGTTACAATTTAATAGATTTGATCACTAAACCTGGCGAGGGCATTTTAGTAAAATGCTTACTAAATTATTTTCCTACTATTTATGTAAAAATAAATAAAAAAATTCTTTTGAAAAGAATTTGTTTTGGTGATCATGAGATTTTAAATTGCTTACTTGAGAAATAAGCAAGCCTTAGGTGGGACAATATTTAATTTTTCTGTATGCAATTAGTTAGTAGGACAGGGCCTTATTGCAATTAATTAGTTAGTAGGACAGGGCCTTGTTTCTGTATGCAATTAGTTTGTTTCCGTAGATATTTGGTAGTAGAGGAGCTTATATGCAATTAGTTAGTAGGACAGGGCCTTCTTGTAATTTCTATATCCTAGAGTACAATTACAATAAAATAGTAGTAATTATTGTAATTAACTAAATTAAGATAAGAGGAATGAGTCACTCTTGTCCAATTGGAGCTATGATAAGGAAACCATTTATCCTCATCTCTAGCCCTATCTGATAAGATGGACTGTATATCTCTCAAGTCTCTATTCAAGATAACACGTGAATAATTCTGAACAGAAAAGAACAAAGAGGTTACGTCTAACGATTCCCACAAGTCCAGCTCATATGCTATAAAGGGGCATAGAGGTGAAGTATCTCTATTATCAAGGCCGAAATTAATCCATATGGTGTTCTCGTATATTAAACGAACAAAAAATCATCTAAATGTATGAAATCTATTTTTGAATGATGATTTGATGAATTTAGGTGGTAAAGATCCTAAAAATATTTGTAAAATCACTCATCAAGGAAGAATCTAGTAATCACTAAACATCATAGAAATGAACTCAAATCTGCAAACCCTAGGTGCACCCCTCCCAGCCCAATAAGAAATCCGAAACGAAACAACACAAGTAACAACATCAACAACAACAGACGCATTGAAATAATCGATAATCAAATTGAAAGCAAAAAGGAACCATTTGACAAAGGTGACTATCTATATCATTCATTCACCATTTATTCCTACAAAAGATCAATAGCGGCCAACATTTTCCATGAAGTCTTCTCCTTTGCATGGATATCATAAGCAGCAACTAGTAAAGGAACAAGGACACACTTATTAAGCCATTCAACCAAGTTGCCAACGGAGCATGTATTCCACCGTAGAAAGCCCGCAAACTGAGTTGGAAGAGTCTAAACATTGCTCGTTCAACCCAAACTTGGAGGGCTAAGCCTAAACATTAACTGCTCAATGAGCTGCAAGATGTACAGCTTAGGGATGTATGATAGCAATCGTTGAGCAGGCACGAGTATCTAGAGCGGGAAATTTAACTTCTAAACCCACAAACTGAACCCTGTGACAATATTTGCTGAAAGCCATGATTAATGGAGATTAAAGGTTTTGGCTTCATTAGAAGCACTAGAGACCGCACCTTACAATCCTAAACAATGTGAGACAAGTTGTTCTTCTTTTGTTACTTCACAAAGAGACAGACGGCAAACTTTACTAATTGTTGCATAGAGGTGAGGCAGCAAGTTCATTTTGAGATCCTGCCCCAGGAAACAGTATCCTTCTTCTCAACACTAAAAATGAATTGGCTTTATTCCCATTATTATTATGATCACCCCTACTGGAAGAGAACAGTGTTCTTCTAATTACAATATATGGCTAACTTAAACAATCAGATTTGGCCTATTTGTTGACTAAAAGCCTTCCTCTTTGCTAAGGCTCTTGTACTGAAGGAATTGCATAGGACAGCTTGGTCGCATAAATTTATTCTAAACAACCAATGTTCAGCATGTTCTGGAGGAATTGCACAGGACAGCTTGGTCGCATAAATTTATTCTAAACAACCAAGGTTCGGCAGGCCCTTCCTAGCCAATAATCAACTGCACAATAATTTGCCTTCAGTTGATTACGGGTACTGCTTGTAAAAGAATCTCAAACCTTAGAAGGCAGCCAAAAGGAGAAAATAATCATTTAAAAAAAGAGTTTGACTCGAGGGTTTCCACTTTCAAAAAACAAGTTATATACTATAACAAATTTCTAATTGTTCCATTACCAATTTTGCTAGCCGAAGACCACCTTGTTCCCTACCTCCGTCCCCAACCAATAACAAAAACAATAATATTTATTATAACAACAACAAAAACAACAACGATAATAACCGACCAAAAATTCCTTGGGTATTCAAAAGTAAAGTTTAAATTTCGAGACCCTTAAGCCTAGCGGCCCTAGCTACTTCAATTCAAGCTAAATCAATGTTAGTTTAGCCAACCAAGAGCCAGTATACTAGCCTTTTCATAACCCAACATAAGTCCAAGAAAACCTGAGCTACTACTAAAGGGAAAGACCAAAAAAAAACTGAGCTATACACGAGGTTGATATTCCTGATTGAAACAAAACTCTAAAAATAGACAAGAAAACTAATCTGATGCACATTAAACAGAAAATAGGGAGCTGAATATTATGCAAAACCCCTCAATGTCTATTATATGTCGAAGGGGCATTTGATATCCGGAAGGATATGGAAAAGTGTATACAAAAACATCAGCAACTATGTTTTTTTTTTCCTTCTAACCATGTTCATAAGAATATGTTGCTTGTTAACATTTTTAGCATAATACTGAAATTAGGGGTCAAAAGGTTTTACTATTTTCTACCCTCAGAAAAATAAACAAACAAATCTTAACCCGAATTAACTTATAAAATATATTGGTTAACCTGAAGTAAGATGCATGCAAAATAAATCCCTTCAGAATCCAAAAAATCAAACACACAATATCAAGAATCAAAACTGGATGAAAAATTATACAAACCATATGGATTACAGTTTCAAAACAGACGGATTGAAAAACAACTATTCAAAATTTGATGAGATAAGAATGTTTTGAGGGAAATGGATTAAGAGTAAAAGCACATTTAAAAAATAAATAAATAAATAATAATAATAATAATAATAATAAGAGCAGAATGCATGTTTATGTATTTTACATGAATTGTCTAACTTTCCCACTTCAAGATCACCTAACATCAAAGAAATTTTAGAAAGCAAGTTAGGGCATATGGTTAAAAAAAATTGGTGCAGAAGTTTCATATTTAAAAAAGTTCAGTAAAATATCACTGCATGAACTCAGAAAGAATAGCTGAAACAGTAAAACATGCATTAATAATCAAAATAATAATAATAATAATTTAAATACATTCTGCATGAGAAATCTTGACACCTACCTTGAGAAACATTTTTCATCCTGCCCTTCCTTTGACATAAAAATAATACTCTATTCAGTAATAACAAAAAGGGGGAAGAGGAGAGGGGGGAGAAGAGGAAATCCCACTTGTGCACTGTAAAAATTAGTTAGCAAATGATCAATGACGGTGCATTTTCAAAGAGCTTTATACTATACTCGGCGAGTCAAGATCAAGCGTAATTTATTAGTGCTGCTTGGAGATTATTTTCTAATAAAGAAGGCATACAAACAATCCCCCATTTTAACACCGTCAATAACGGACACACAGAGGCGTCTATTTTACAGAGTCAATTATGGATACACGGTATGCACACGCATATATAGAAGTGAATTCCAAATTGCAAACGTAGATTGCCACTTACCAATATAGCTATGCAATTCAAAACCAAATTCATATACCCAAATATCAACACAACTACATATTACATAAAATAAATTAAAAAGGACAAAACGACCGTCCTTGTACTTCAAATCCGAAATACTAATATTGAAGGTGCAATCAAAAGACATGCCTAACTTGGGGCTATAAACAAAACAATCCCAGTACTTTCTTATTTTTTGAAAAATAAAAATAAAATAAAACAAATTCAATCAACTCATCAAAAACAATAACAAAGTCACTAATCGTAAATATGCATGTATACATGTGTATATGGATCTGTGTGATGATAAAAGCGAACCTGATCCGAGTTCGAACTTCAAACTTGAACACAAACTCGAAACCCCTGCGAAGTCTGATTTTCCATACTGGACTCGAGTGATATGCGATTGCGATCGAATCAGGTCGAACTATAAAGAAAAAATCTTAGTGTCGACGATTGAATAAAGGAACCTAACTTTGAATCCACTGATGAATTTGAAGCTTTTTTGTTTGTGCTATCTCTGTACTGCCAAAATTCTAAATTGACGGAGGGGAGAGAAAGTACCCAACAGGGAGGGTTAGAGAGACAGGGAGAGAGCAACTAGGGTGAGATGAAAATATGGCTGTTTTGATTTGCATTGTGGGTGTCCTCTTTGACTAAGTATTTTGGAGTTCGATGAAGGGTAGTTTGGTCATTTAAGATTATAGGTGTGGATACGATACTCTTCACATACGGTATTAGGTCGTATAAGGCTTTGGTGAGAGGACACGTGGCAATATTAACCTGACTTTGCTAGTACCTACCAACATGTACAATCACTTGATGCATATAATATTTCGTAATTATCCTTAAAAATAAAAAATATATATATTTTACCACCTCCTTAAATAATGTTCTTATCCTAACAATTAATCTAAAGAATAATCCTATATCCTAATTTTAAGAGATAATTTTATTATTTTTTATTAATATAAGTAAATAAATATAAGAATATGAAAGTTGAGAGAAAAGGGTTAATGTTATTGAAAAATAATCTTATTCTAGAATGGAAAATGATAAAACACGTCTCTTGGATATGAACTAAGATTTAATCTTTTAGAAAAACTTCTAGCTAATTTTGAGATCCTGTAAATTTATCACTTTCACTTTCTTTAAACTTTGTAGGCTTGGGATTCCATCTGATAAACTACGAAGATTTATACAAAACATTATCAAAATTATATAATAAAATAAAATTAAAAAAATCCCAATTTCTTCGATTCTATCATCACCATGCCGGCAAAAATTGTGAAAGAGAGTACCGATTGAATAGCTATTGGAGAAGAAAACTCGTTACAAAACCTAGAAGGAGTGTGAATCCCGATCGATATTGTTGTGAGAATGTGTTATTATTTAACCTTTTTAATTAAAAAAATCCCAATTTATTCGATTCTATCATCACTGTGTCGGTTTCATGTTTTGCCTTAATTCTTGCTTTAAAAAATTGTGAAAGAGAGTACCAATTGAATAACTATCGGAGAAGAAAACTCGTTACAAAGCCGAGTGTGAATTCCGGATCATTTGTGAGAACTTTTATACATGTATATATACATATATATATATGTTAGATTTGTGTATTTAACCACTGTATCCTCACACCATTGCCTTTTTCTATCCACTATTATTACGCTAAAAATTATGAAGGAGGTTTATTATCTAAGTCTTAACTTTTAAGAAGTCTAACGTGTTCAAACCATGTCATGACCCATAGTTTTGTGACTATTTTGAAATAAGATTCGGTTACTCTATTACTGCTCTTCTAAAATATGTAAAATCCAGAAGATAAAATAACAATATATACGTACACACAAATTAAAACATCAAATTTATGTCACTCGTTTACAATTAAGATCAGTATTGAAACCCAATATTTCAATATGATGAATACTAAAAGCAATTAGTCCAAGGTCAAGTGCCAACAATTATTTTCCATCTATATTGAGAGACGGAATAGGATACATAACCAGTTTAAATTACCAAAATACCCTTCTCAACACCTTTCCCATTAATGGATAGGTTTTTGAGATGTTTGGTTCAATTATGTCAAAATATTTCTAAAATATTATTTTGAAAAATATAAAATGAATTTAAATAACTATAAAATAATAAAGACTAATTTTCAAATAGTTACTATATGTTTTCTCTTTAATAACAAATAAACTGTTTTAAAAAATAGGACCAAATACGAGCTTATGTTTGAGTGTTTTCACATCTAGTTGAAGTTGTTACCAAACTCGTCTCACATCTTAGAGGTTTGGAATTCGAATATCCTTGAGGCCACCTCAAAGAATTTGTTGCATGTGCCTCATACGATGGTAAACTATAGGGTACTCTATGTGACCCAATACCACCACCACACACCAAAAAGGAGGAGGGGTTCAAGTCCTGGTGTGGACAAAAAGTGCTTGGTCATCGTAGCCCTAGGGAATTTACTGTATGTGTCTGATGGTGAATTATGGGGTACTCTAAAGTGACTTGACATAAATAAATAAATATATATATATATATATATATATATATATATATATATATATATGCCATAGAGGAAGGGTTCAAGTCCGGGTGTAGGCAAAAAAATGTGTCGGCTTGATATAATTGGAGGCCCGAGGTAAAACTTTAAACCTCTTACTAGGGTTGGACCAGAGAATTGTACGAGAGAAAGCCAGTTTGAACAACAAAAATATATAATTGGGCTATTATTAATAAATAAAAATGAATAGATGCATCTAAAAATTTTAACAATATATATATATATATATATATATATATATATATATATATATATATTGTCAACTTTGTAAATTAAATAAAATAAAAAGTTTAAATGGAGACAGATACCCTCACTGAGCCCTCAATAGGTCCATCCCGATTTTCCCTTTAATAATTGTAATGCATTCTTATTACATTAATGCACAGTTTTTTTTATAAATTTCTTTACAAATTTCTACATGATAGTCATCACTGACTCACAATAACAAAATAATTATAGACACACTAATGCACAACTACTACATGGACATATAGACAATTAAACTAATCCAAGTTATACATCACACTCATCTTAAAACCCATCAATCACCGAGAAAATTGTATCATACTACACTCCTACATGTATTTTCTCAAGGACAATGAAAAGTTCATAAAATAACCAAGTGACACGAGCAAGGTTTATGAACAAGGGCGCGTCCAGCATTTCTAAATAGGATAGACTAATTTTAGACTGGGCTATCATTACTATTTTTTCTATTTTTATTTTTTTTGGCTGGGCTTAAAGTGGACCAAAGTCCAATTTCGCCCACCCTTGGATCCGCCCTTGTTTATGAGAAAGACAACTAATTATTATTTTTTAGTACTAGTAATTGCAACTTCATATCTTTGGTGATTATAATGTTTTTCTTTTACTTTAAAATTTTATATTTGAAATTTTATATTTTTCGAATCAAATTAATTGGATAAATTTCTAACTCTATTCATTAAGTAAGAAGAATCCTATACGAATAAAAAAAATGTGTGATAGTATAGATTGTTTATGTCATTAAATTTTTATCACACATGTAGTTCAATATATTATTACATTATATTTATTTAAAATGATTCGTTTAAAAATTGAAGAGAGTATACATAAATCAAGATTCCTATACTGAGACTAACATTAAATTATCAGCTAAGTTGCCTAAGACTTGAGTAGGCCTTTAAATTCAGCTTTCTATAAATAGGAGATTAGTCATGGAAAAAAATTTCTAGCTTGTAAAAAAAAAAGTATATAATTCAAAGCTTTTTTTTTTCGTAATTATTGGAAACTAGTTTTGTTATTAGAAATCTTGAAAACGTATTTTTGGATATTTAAACTAAACATAACTTATATTTAGTTATTTATTTTTTCTATTACAAGAGAGTAAAAAATTATAGTCAAAAAACAACTAAATAGGACTATTTTTCTTTGTTTTTTAACAGATGAAATATTATTATATTTTTCATATCAAGAGATGAAATATTATTTACTCCATGAAAATGGTAAATATTTGAACTTAATACCAAAAAGTAAAAATTTATTTGCAGTCATGGGTACTTTGTAGTTTTATTAGAAAAACATATATACATAACTAATGGGTGATTTGTGGTTGTTAGAATTGACATAGAAGCCATTTATATTTTCTAACTTATAAATTATGTAATTAACCAATAGAATCACATTGGATTAATATGAACTTCCTGTTCCCTAACCTATACTCTCAACCAATTAACTAAAAATAGCATAACACCATTTTGGTCCTGAAAAGTGTGTATTTCATAAAATATGTGTCAACTTTTTGTACCTAAAAAAGACATGCTCACATTTCGGTAAAGTATGCTTCTTCTTCTTTTTTCACTTTTTTTATGTAATGTAAAAAAAGAAAAAAAAAACTCATATTATATAAAGAATGTGCCAAAACCCTAAAAAAAATCCTATACAAGTTTGAATTGAGCAAATAAGGACATTTTATAAGTTTGAAGACTGGAATGCCTAAAATTTCTTAAAAGCAAAATAAAAAATAAAAAATACTTAAATGAACAAATTTTATTAAAGGTATTTTGGAGTTATATATATATATATATATATATAAAATGATCAAAAATGATCATCATAATGCAATTTGTTACAAAATTTGAAATCATATGAATTTTATATGCACACACAAACAGCATAGGTTTTCCTTGCACATTTTTATATGGCAGGATTTTTTTTTTGGCACTTTACCCTTTTTATACACACACACACACACACACACAAATATATTGTCTATATTTTGTTGTTTTGTGATAGAAAATTATTAATGTTTAAAGGGAGAAATACTTTACTGCTCCTATTTATTTTATTTTATTTTATTTTATTTGGTTGCTTTACATTTTATTTTTGGGCTAATTGCGTCGATTATATTAATAATATGGTATTATGAACTGATTAAAATAATTAGTTAATAGCACGGACTATCGCTGGTGTAAGAAAATCTTTGTAGTCTAAAAGGGATGTAAAAATAGTTATTTTAATTTTGAAATTCTTATGATGAGAATGAGATCATTATCTGGGCAACAATTATGAAATATCTTTATGGAATGCATTTGGGATGCAAGGGATAGATGGCAATAAAATTGTCGCAAAAAAAAAACATGGGCGGACCATACAGTAAATGATACCACCAAGATGGTGAGGGGGTTTCCTAAATAAGTGTCAACTGACTAAAAATTGTCCCCCAATTTTTTCAATTTTTTATCTATAGCACATACTAAAAATGACTAAAAATTGTCCCTCTTTCTAAAAGGCTTTTTGGTCATGATCTAAAATTGCCCCTAAAAAAATAAAATTTACCCCCTTTTATTTTAGAATGATAATTTGGAGTCCAAAAGTCGACGACTCTAAACTTATTTATGTGAATAGGAACTAACGTTATCATGATGTCATTAATTTTTCTAACGTCAGTATGACTTTAGTATTTACTCACGCAAAGTAAGTAGAATTTGTGCAAATGTTGGACTCTATCATTACTCTATATTTGATATACTCGCATAAGATTGGTCAGATTTGTTACCAATCATTAGTCTTTGTTTTATGCAATAACACGCCTATTAAAAATAAAATAAAATAAAAAAAAAAAAAAACAATCTCACAGCATGCAACAAGCCAATAGTAAAGGCCTGATGCATTGGACGAGCCCATCAATGAAGTTGGCAGGTAAATTAGGTAATGAATGCATCCATGAAGTTCGGTGGATAGTTGAGTGGAAGTACAAAGAGGGTAAAAACCTGCTTGGCTTAGATTTTTAAAAAAGTTGTCTAGAACTCAAAAAAAAAAAAAAAAAAAAAAGTTCTATATAAACAGATAACAGTGGTCAGAAACTATCAACTAAACAATTTTTTGTAAATTTTTCTATTTTCTAAGAATTGAAATCAGAAACTGGACTGAAAAAACTGAACGAAGCCGGCCACAAGCCGTGCCGGGGCTGATTTCCTACTTCCAGCTAAATGAGGGCCATGCAGTCACCAAAGGGTGTTGTGCACTAGGTATCTCCTGGCTCTTTGGAGTACTAAGTTATGTGACAGCCAGCAAACTCTTGTCTCCTATGCCAAGCTGCAATAGCTGCCACAGAGTAATTCAAAAACAGTCTGTATCACCATGTTATAGAAAAAGGGAAGGGCCTGCAAAATGATTTCTAATATAGATATATACCATCTTTATTCCTTCTTTTGTCAGAATGCTAACTAGGAATCACATGCACAGAATTATTCAACTCATTCCATTTTGAAGTCACAAGTTCACATCATCAGGACCAAAGAAGGAATAGTAAGCCTTTCTAACAAAGAGAGATGAAGCCTTCATTCTCTTTTTCAGTTTGCCTTGCTTAACGCAAGTCGCACTTCTGATCGATTCCATCAATCCCCGACTCCACTATATAGGAAAGAAAATGTTGCTTAGATTACATTGACAGATGAGCAATGAATACTTGCAACCAATTTCTTTCATTTTCTACCAAGGAAGCTTGCTTCACCAGACAATGGATGTTCTCCAATCCTCTTTTCTTCATCAACCATGTTAGTATGTCACGGTGAATATGTACCCGATCCCTGTTCACACCACCTGTCACATGCTGGAAATGTTCCGTATACAAAAGGTTCAACATTGACTAAAAAGAACGGTGAAAGGACGAGTGTTTATGACATCATATACATGGCTGTTCTCTATAAATAAAAACAAGACTATAGTGGCTAGAAATGCTCGGGAGGTTCTGTGAAAAATGGGAAGATCAAAGTGAGCCATGGCTAGCAAAAGTTGTCAAATAAGCGCAAAAGATAAGGAGATGTATCAGACAGGTTGGTAATTTACATGACAAACACTGCAGATTTAAACTAATTTTGCAATATGTACTTTTAGGACTCTAGTGAGACGGTCAAAATATACAAAGCAAAAAATTCTATATAATGAACAAGATTTCAACAAAGTCTGTAGATCCAAGTTACAATTCAAGAGTATCATGTAGATGAACATTCGCAAATCCCTAAGAGCCTAAAGGAAATATGTCAGTTACAAGGATCATGTAAACAAACAATTGAAGATCCCAACAAGGCCTAAAAAACCACACCCTTTAACAAATACATGATGGCACAACACACTATTTTTTCTTCAATATCAAAACATAAACAAAAAACACATCTATGTAAAACAGAAAGATTAATTAGCATGAGTCATTTACCCTCAAATCAGATCAGACATTCTTCTTCTGTGACGACAAAGGGTAACTCTCAAGTTTGGATCCGAAGAAGAGACCATCTTGCTTTGTGAAACATTCGATGGCTTGGACTCCAGGACATTGCATTTGGTACTCTCACTGAGGGGAGTATTTGTCTCTCCATATCGGGATTTTTTATTTGAATTCCGTAAGAGTGCTTTGAAATGGGGATCTAAATAACTGAGAGACTGTGAACCTGAATTTTGGATTGAACTTCTATTTCCTGATCTCCATATTTTTGCTCTACCACCTATTTCTTTTTCTGCAACACTCCTCCTTTGGCGACTGGCCACAGTAGGATTCATGAACCGAGGAATAGAAATAGTGAGATTTCTTCTAATTTTTTTCTCAGATGTTTCAGGGGTTTGCAGGACCTCTCTTAAATCTTCTTTGGGGCTTGTGGGTATCTTTCCCTCCTCCTCAAGAATTTGATAAGTGACAGAGAAGAGATTTCTCTTTTCACTTAACAACAACTCCGCCTCATGTATTTGGTTCCCTACTTTTTGGTATTCTTCTTCAACATCCCTCATCTCTTCCTCAAGCTCAGCAATCCGCTTTTCTTTTTGCTTCTTCAAGTCCTGAGATGATGAATTAAGATCAACATTTCCCGGCATTCATACTTCAGAATATACAGAACTATGAAGAAATCAGGGAAGAGTACCTCTGGTAGTTCTCTATTGGATTCTACTGCTCTTGCTCTCTTTGCAAAAGTCAATGAACAGGTTGTCTCGCCAACATCCTCTTCACATTGGCTTATGTGGACCAGCATCAATACCTTTGATCCATCACCTAAAGGCATTGGAACAATATCCATAAATTTTTTTTTGCAATTCAAACAGTTGAGTCGGTGTTGGGACATCACAGAGAAATAAGATGATTTCATTTGGTTTCTAGTGGCATTTAGAATCTATAACTCTACTGCCAAAACTATGATTAAAGTAACATGTTTCTGAATACCTAAAGGTCCTTCACATGCAACAAAACATTGAAAATGACAAGGAAAACAAGTAAACCTCACTCCAAATTATATGTAAAACAAAGTGGAATAAGTTCAATTTCCTTGTGGTGTCCACAAACCCCAAATCATTTAAAGAGAAATGCAATACCTACCAAGGGAATCTCTGAGAATTTGAGTTAGCTTGCTATTTCTGCAACCAAAGAAAATACTTTGATCAGTAAAAGAAAAACTACTACTTTTAAAGCGATCCTCCATAGTTTGTACAACCATGTGCTGCTATTAGCTATAAATTTTGGTAGGTCTTAACCAAGGAAAAATAGTAATGATAACATAAAATGAAAATTAAACACAACTAAAACCTCACCTATACGGAACAAAGCCGCGCTTTCTTCTAAGCGCTGCAATAACATCACCTAGAGCAGAAAGAGAGAGATTAATGGCCCTTCCCTCGTCAAGTGTTTGTCCCGTGGCTCCTGTTTTTAACAGTCGCTCACTTCCTCCAAGATCAACCATCCACAATTTGCTTACTTCTGGTTTTCCTCCCGAAGCATCTCCACGCCGAACAATGGTGATCCTTATTAAGCTAGAGATATAGAACTAAACAGATAATGCAATTACCAACAAAAATTAATCCATCAAAATAGTGAAAATTTTGTGAACAGGTCAAGAACCCACCAATGTGATCTGCTAGATGCCTCGTTGACATTAGTCCATGAAGTAGATCTAACCCGCCTCCCCTTGGTGTACCACCAAATTGCTTTTGTGAAATTAGAGATTGGCACATCTGTGAGACCTTCAATTTCCACCAATCCCTTCGGATCTGTTTGAATGTTAAGATTGCTGCAGTAGAGTTAGCCAAATTATAGTAAGCATTCTAACAGATGTCCCTTAAAATCTACTATTTTTGTATTATTTGAGGTATCAAGAGGATTAATTACCATCTTGATATAACTTCATATGCTCTAGCGGATGGTCTTGGAACTAGTAAGTCCTTTAGATGACCCATGTAAACTTCCAACATGCTAAATGAAAAGGTAAAAGATGCAGAGCTATCCGAAGAGGCTTGGCGAAACAGCTCTTCAAGAGCTCGAGGAACGATCCCCAGTGATTCATTTGTCCCTTCCTGTAGAATCATCTCAAAATCAACATGGATTTTTCAACAACACAAAAAAGTATGAGAATAACAGAATTTAAATATCAATTACCCACCATAGTGAATGTCTTGCCAGTGCCGGTTTGTCCATAAGCCAATATGCATACATTGTGTCCATCAAGTGCAGATCTGAGGATTGGTTCAACCTCAACAAAAAATTCTTCTACAGAATATAGAAGGAAGATAGAGTCTCTTACCAGCTATTGCAACGGACAACATAGATAGATGAAAAATAGACTCTTTTTTTTTTGAAAAATAGACATAATTAAACATGTAAACAAAAAAAATTGAAATTAGAAGCTAACCTTGGCTAGCTTCTTGAGAGAACACCTTATCAAATCCAAATTCTTTCTTACTTCCAGCACATTTAACCACAATCTTTTCGGATCCAATCGAAATGGGTTGGTGATTCTTCCCCTTCTTGGTTGATAAGAAGGGTCGAACCCGACAAAATACTCTAATGCAGCCTACAAATTGAAATCACTTGTTCTTCAAACATGGTACAAAGTCAACCCATTGATAGATCAACTATGATGCATTACCTTTGATGTCTAAAATTTTATTCAATGCCTCTCTTCGCTTCTCATCCAAAGACTTCTGCTTGAACTTCAATCCCACAATTTCTCCTACATGAACAAATCAAAGTATCAAACTTGAATCATGAAAAATTGACAGTAACCCAAATTAAAAATTAAATCATATATATATAAAATCACCTTCTATACTTGATATGGCTGTCTCAAGCTCATTCTTTTCGTGCTCAGGAACCACATTCACATCGGTGTAAATGGAGCAGACCGGGGGAGATTCAGGCAATTCTCCTACATGAACAAATCAATGTATCAAATTTGAATCATGAAAAAAATTGACAGTAACCAATATTACGAATGACATCATAAAAAAAATCACCTCCTATACTTGATATAGCCCTCTCGAGCTCATTCTTTTCGTGCTCGGGAACCACGTTTACATCGGTGTAATTGACGCAAACCGGGGGAGATTCAGGCAATTCGGAAGCTGGAGGAAGCCCATCAAGGGAATCTGGGTTTGATCCCGAAGGAGAAGACTTGAAAGACTCTCTCCCATTATCTAAAGGCAATGAGATCTGTTCTTCCTCAGTAGAAATGAACATTTCTCAGCCAAAAACTTAATCAACTGACCTTTTTGATAAAATTTCAAGATTAATACTCTAAAAAAACACTTCCCCAACTCAATGGAAGAGAAGATCAAATGAAGACTGACAAATATCTTGCAAGAAACTCAAAAAAAAAAAAAAAAAATTTGAAACCCTAAATCAAGAGCATATAATCAAACATGAAGAAAACAAGAACTGAATGCAGGACATATGTTTTTTCTTAGTAGCATTGAGTATTTCTTGAAAAAAGACTAAAAAGGAACAGCCCGACCCCAAATATATATGAAAAAGGGGGAGAGAAAAAACATACAATGGAGTAAAACTGAAGCAAAATATCTAAATTCAAAGGGTAAGTTTACAAACCCTATAAAAAAAAAAGTCAAAAAATCAACAAACACAAGCATTCATGCTAGAATTTCAAAACCCACATGGAGAAATGTGCTAATTTTAATGATTGACCATTTATCAAGCAATGAAACAAGAACGTAGTACAGATTTCGAGAGCCTTTGAAAATGTGGAAGCCCCCGAGAAGAGAGATGGGTAATAAGCTTTTTTTTTTCCCAATTTTTCAATGATTGATTACTCAAACAAGTGCCCTGATTAGGAGGTGGAAAACTTTGGACTGTTAGGATGTTACACTGACCAATATAATAAATAGTAAGAAAGAGATTGGGTTGCTTTGCTTGCAGATCTAAAAACAAACTGTTAAAACAAAAAGTGTGTTTTTTTTTTTCAGGGTGGAGCGTGAGGAGCGGAGGGTGGCAAAAGTAGGAATTGGGGATAACATTTTCTACAGTGGTGTGTAGGTCCAGCTTAGTCAAGCTCCCGTCTAATGAAAGTTTAGCTTGTGGTAAAATGAGTTCAGATATTTTTTAAAAAAATTATTCAAAAAAACTGTTCATTTACTGATTAATTATATTTTTATTGACCGGATATACAAATAACATGGTAATTCTACTTCACTCAATACCTACTCCTTAGTCAAGTAAAATATTGGACCTAAAACTCTCTTCAAGTGATCAAATTACAAATAAATTTCAAAATCAAACATGTTTATTAGGCTTAATTGCATTCTGTCACTTTAGACTTGGAGCTCTTCTTAACAAATAATTAAAGTATAAATGAACTCTAAACCTGAACATGTTTTCCAGCTTAGCCACACTCTGTCATTATTGCGTTTAGATTATTTGTTGTAACTATTATTTACTACAACAATGTATTATAATTCACTCTATACAATTAATGGTATTTCAATATAGTATTTCAAGTTAAATCTTAGAAGTAAGAGAAATGTCAAAAATAATGAGACCTCAACATTCAACACATATGTTATGGTGGGTCCCGTAACTAGAAAATAATTTTTATGTTAAAGTAGGTGTAGGTTCAAAGGTGAATTGATTGAAAATGAGGCTTTGTATTTAGATCAGATCTTCATTTATGGGTTTTGTTAAAGTAGGTGTAGGTTCAGATTCAGATGCCCTGTGTTTCCGCCACGTCAGAACAGCTAACCTTTTAGTGGGCCAATGAGATTTAGACAGTTGTGGTTCTACTACACCATTAAGACAGATTATTTTTTAAGTCAACCAATATTTAGAGAACTAAAGAAAATGAGGCCATTGAAATTTTTAAATTTCAAAAATCTTTGGTTAACATGGTCCATCATCAATAAAATGACATGAAAGAGCGTGTGATGCTCTGTGGTCCAATTTTGCATTAAACATTTTCTTAAATACAAAATGATAAAAATAGAAATAAAAATTATAGATTTATTTAGTTGTATGAAAAGTTTTGATCTCTGCATTTGTAAATATTGGGCTGTCACTCTATGTGTGTCCCCTAATCAATTAGTACGTCCACACCATAAATGAATATTAATATATAGTTGATGGAATTCGTTTAAAAAAAAAAAATTTGAAAAGAAAATTACATAGAAAGAGTAAAAAATTAAATATATGTATAATAAATTGATGGAGCTTCCAAATACGATAAATTATTAGATGGTTCTGAATCATTTGACACAAACCAATTCAATCCATCCGTTATTGATATCTCTTTGTATTGTATTAATACATTCTTGTGAGACTATTTTCTTAATTAAATAGTGAATTGGATTAGTCCATCGACTATCAATGGGCCAAGACCATCTAATAATTTCTCAATAAATACGCGCTATATGCAAAGGTGGACAGAGGGGTGGGAAAAGGCTGCAACCCACCCAAAAAGTAAAAATAAAAAATTACCATACTAATATTAGCTCAGCCTAGCCCAATATATATATATATATATATATATATATATATATATATATATAGTATTATCCCACCTCAGTCTCCTATCTAAGTATGAAACGTGTTAAAATGACAATGCGTAGCAAGATTGGCGATGAATTTCTTGCTAATTGTATGACCATTAACCTTATACGAGAGTTTGTTTGAAAAATTGACATGGAATCTATTATTGACGAATTCGAGTCTTTAAAGACTCGTCGAGCACAACTTAAATAGATATTTTATAATATTTGAATTCAAATATTTATCTATATTATGTTATAATTTTTATATTTTTTTGCTTAAAAAATTTTGTTATTAAATTTATGTTTAATATTAGTCCACCCAACGAAAAATTCTGAATTCACCTTGGCTACATGTGATGCGTCTTTGAAAATAAAAATATGTGGGCTCGCCTTTTAAAAGCTCTTGCACCTTGAAGTTTTACTTCTTGTATTAATCTAACATTACCCTTTGTGGTAAAAAATAAAATAAAATAAAAAAATAAAAAAAAGGTAATTAGATTGACGTTCCTTACTATAGTCCATCATCACTCCTAATTAAATCAACAATTTGCCCCCTCTTAAATTTTGTTGAACCTTATTAATAAGTGTATGTGAAAGTGTTTCCACTAAACCCATGTTCTCATAAAACGTTTTCAATGTAATTTTCTTTTTTTTCTTACATGCACGCAGATACACACAAATATAATTTGCGTATAAAATATCTCGTACAAAATGATGGGTTGACTAAAATTATACTTCAAACCGAATGGGGCTTTTACGTGTCTTATGATTTAATTTTTTTTTTTTTTTTTTTTTAAATGTGTCCAAGCTAAAATTCACTTGACAGAACGGCTTCCTTCTTTTTGTGCGTTCCAAATTGTACGAGAAAAAAAAATTGAGTGACAATTGTTATACTATAATTCACCAATGAAAATATTCCACCAAAGTGAGTGAGTCTCACACGGTAGGGCGAAATAACTAATGAACAATCTCACAGTTTTGAAACCTTTACCGTGCTGCAACACAAATATAAATGTTTTACTAACTTGATTATACTTCCGCGTATTATAGAGTAAAAAGGTTGAGAATTCGAGTTATATGGGGTCAATTGTATGTGTAAAAATATAATGATTTTAGTGTATGTCTGCTAATCATTTTTCAAAATACTTTTATACTTGTATAAATTTTTTTAGGAGAAAATTTACTTGGACCATTTTCAATACAAAATGTCATTTTTGCATGCCAAATTTATATTTTGAGAGGAGATACAGTGTCAAAATGTTATATTTTAGTAATTCAGCTCCAATGATACATTTCATCAAAAAATCTATTTTTTAATACAACAATCATTATTTTTCAACTACCATTCTCAACTACAATTTTCAACAACCATTTTTTATTTTAGTGTTTGTATTTTATTTAACTTATTTGCCTTATTAAAAATAATTAAATAAAAACACTAAAATATATATATATATTCAAGCACAACTAACATATACATATATACACGAGCACAATACCAAATTGGTAGCCCATGTGAGAGAGAAAGAAAAAAGCAATAGCAGATTTAGCAATAACTATATGTTGTGTTATATTTGGCAAAATTATATTTTGACAGCCTATAGCATGCCATTGGAGAGCCCATTTTAAACACACATGCTATATTTTGAAAATTGTAGCCCAGTTGCTATAGCATGCTCTTACATAAATTCCTTTTATGTTTCATCATCTCACTTACCTCCCTGTAGTGTATTTTTTTATCATTTCATCCATGAAATATTTGCTGTCATTTGAGGCATTGGAAGTGCAAAATTGATCTTCTAGTCACTCATAGGAGAGGTAAGTGAGATTAGAGGGAAGGTAGGTGAAATTATAAATCGTAAACGAGGTCAGTGTGAGATATTGACAAATCTTAAGAAAAGGAAGTGAAGTTTACCCAATTTCTTACTACTTTTTATGAGTGATAAAAGGTGCGCCCCAGACTGACAAATTTAGGCCCAAATCCCATTCTGGACTTGGTTCCTTTGGGCTTCATTGATTGTAAGAGTTGGACAATTATCATTGGATCCAAAAAAGTTATCAGGTGTGCTGCTCATATTGACAAGCCCAAAGCCCTTCCCATGCGAGATAATGACCCGCTATGGTCCAAAAGGGTAATTTAGACGTCAACACACGGATTATGTGTTAAAATTATGATTCGCAATTGTGGTATCGATTGCGGTAACGATCGCAATCGTGGTTTAATGGATTCGAAAATATATTCACGTAAATTGACCGAGTCATAGAATTGTGTAATGATATCGAACCATTAAGAAAAGGTTACCATTGATGTGAGCACGTGAGATGCCTTAAGTATATTTTGTAGGTCACCCTTTGAAGCCTTTAATACTCCCAAAAAAATGGGGACATATGGGTCATGTATTGTTTCTGAAAAGTTACTAACTTGTCCTTTTAACTTTTAAATATTCAAGTTTGAAATTTTAAACTCTAAGGACATATATGAAAAGATGTAAAATATATTATTTGAAAAAGAAAAGTAGACAATTATTTTGGAACAAAAAAAATGAACATATATTTTTTTTTGGACAGAGGGAGTATTTCAATTTAAATAGCATTATTCAAATAAAAAATAATTCAATAATTCATTTGGTTAATAATTTTTTTGATAAATATTATAATTAGGCAAAACCTAGAAAAGGTCATTGAAAATTAATTTAAAAATCAACGTAAATCGACTGACTCATAGAAATGTGTAATAATATTGAACCCTTACAAAAACAGTTACTATTGATGTGAATGTGAGATGCCATGAGTATATTTTGTAGGTCACTCTTTGAAGCCTTTAATATTTCAATTTAAATAGCATTATTCAAATAACAAATAATTCAATAATTCATTTGGTTAATAATTTTTTTGATAAATATTATAATTAGGCCAAACCTAGAAAAGGTCAATAAAAATTGACTTAAAAAAATTTAATTCAAAGAACAATTAAAAAAAGAAGAAAAAAAAAGCAGTTTTACAGTGATCAAAAGACAAGCAAATAAAAAATTGTACATAAATCTCGAAAAAAAAAAAACTGTACATAAATCTCGAAAAAAAAAAAACTGTACATAAACATTCTCTATTATTCATTGTGTCATATACGGAAAAAAAAATAAAAATAATGTCTCATATATGTCGGTAAAAAAATAAAAAAACAATGAATCACGGGTATAACGGTACTACAAATTCGACGACGGTGCGTGCTTAGAGTAACACAATTAACCGCACTCATGGCTTTATCTTCGTCGTCGCCGTCGTCGCCGAAGGGTATTGTCGTCACCGTTCCGGTTCTGGTATTATCGGCGGCAGCGGCGGCGATCTTCCTCTTCTTCCTCATGTCTTCTCTCTCCTCATGTTCTTGCCCCACCGCCATAACCACCACCGCCGTATCGGCCGGTGGCGACACCAAGAGTGTGAATTCGGGCGGCGGCGGAGGTTCTGGAAGATTCGGAGGGCGGATCACGCCGACGGCGGAGGATTTAGAGTGGGTGAGGAGTCAGATCGAAGCTAACGGACTCCATATGCAGCAGAATATACTTCGGAAAGGGATCAACCCTCGCACTCGCACTCAACAGCTCCAAGATTTGATTAAGTAGCTCTCCCTCCCTCTCTCTCTCTCTATATATGTATTCATTACCATATAAATGTATGTAAACAGATTTTGATATTGTGAATTGGAAGTTCTCAGATTTGGAGCTCTCATTCCAACTGTATAGTCTTAGTTTTAACTATATGGGAGTTAATACATATGTTATTTTGGAAGTTTGATTCGGTTTTAGTAAAAATTCAGTTTTATTTTGAATTGGCTTTAATTCATCCCAAATGCAATAGCATTAAGCAATCACTCTGTATGATTAGAAACTTTTCATTTTTATGTTCGCTTTTTTTTTTTTTTTTTTTTTTTTTTTTCGTTTAGTAGAATTGTGAATCAATAATATCCAATTATCACTGTACACCCTCACTTGAGAGTTGTGATTTATGTTCATGTTTGTGAATTCTTATTTCTACATATTCATTAGAAGTTGTGATTCAAGTTCAAGGTTGTGAATTTCAGTTTGTTTATATTTATTACAAGTTGTTTTAGAACACCCATATATGATTTTTTATTCAAAGACTGTCATTGATTTTCCCAATGGGAATCAGTATTCTCATTTTGTGTTCCCTGTTAAATTCAGGGTTTAGATCTTATACTCTTATTGTTAACAAAATACTTATTTTGGAAATATGATAAACTTCTTCCACATTTTCAGTTTCAAGGGCATATCACACTATGAAGGGGATCAATTAAACAATCACACATCTCTACCTTGCCCTGGTGAGCTCCTTGTAGAAGAGCATCACAGCAACTATGGAGAGCCATGGGCTGGAGGGCGGGACGTGTTTGAATTCCTTGCGGACTCTGCCCACCTAGCACCGGATTCACGGGTTCTTGAGATTGGATGTGGCACACTTCGTGTTGGCTTGCATTTCATTAGGTACTTGAACCCAGAGCACTTCCATTGTCTAGAGAGAGATGAGCTTTCTTTAATGGCCGCATTTAGGTACGAGCTCCCGTCTCAAGGTTTATTGCAGAAGCGACCTCTCATTGTGAAAGGTGAGGATATGGATTTTAGCAAGTTTGGATCGGGAGTTGTGTATGATTTGATCTATGCTAGTGCAGTTTTTCTTCACATGCCTGATAAGCTTGTTTGGGTTGGTTTAGAAAGGTTAGCTAATAAATTGAAACCTCACGAAGGTCGGATATTTGTGTCACATAATATAAAATTCTGTTCACGGTTGGGAGGAGATGAGTGTACCAAGAGGCTATACAATCTAGGGCTTGAGTATCTTGGGAAGCACACGCATGACAGCTTACTTTTCAATCACTATGAGATCTGGTTCGAGTTTAGGTGGAATAGGGATTAGGATTCTTTGGATTTAATGTTTGGTTTAATTATTGTTGCTTATGAAGCAAGCAGTGAAGCTGCAAATTTGAATCTGTGAATCTTGGGGTTGCCTCTCATTTTTTGGCGAGATTTTCGGAAGGTTGAGTGTCAATATCATGTTGCTGGAAGAGAGATGGCTGACAACATGTATTTAATGACCACGGATCATCAATTTGTGTAGGAGACTACTTTGTATTTTTTAACAGAACGATTACATGTGAGTTTGAGCTTTAGGTAGTCAATGCTGAATGCAATGGCAAATTGGCCATTTAATAGAATGTCTCATTATGTATTTGCTAGTTTAACTTTGGAATGCTACTTGCGACACAAACATTTTATTTTTAATTTCTTCCTTTTGCTATTAGCACATGGACCTGCATTAACCCAAATAGTTCAAAATGCTGAGTAAAACTTGGTTTAGATGTCCAAATATTTTGGTCTATTGATGTTGGAATTGTTTTAACTATTACAAAATGTGCTTTTTTGGTGGTTATCTTGATTCTGTTGAGTAATGTGATTGGATTCATTTTAATATTTAACTTCAGTGATTACAAGAGATACGTGAAGAATCTGTTTTGTAAATTCTTCTTTTGGTAAGTCATGCTGTTATTGGTTGTTCTTGTCTTCATTCATTTATATGCTATTCTGAAATTATATCTGCCAATCTTTTTCGTTTTTTTGCTAAACAATAACTTTCGTTATTGGAAAGCAGAGAAGTTTTGATATACAAGGAATAAATCTTGTTTTCAGTTGCTTCTTCAACCTGAACATGGAGGCCTGAACTTTATGAATACAATACTGTTCACCTACTATTTCTTGGAAGATGAGAGGGGCACGCTAGACTTCTTACCAATCTAAAGCATGAATAAGACGACTCAAATATCAATGCTACTCTCCTTGCTGATGAAAGTGATGACTCACATAAATCAATATATATGCTTATCATATTTAATACATTCTCAGAGTGCTCATGATTTTTCCATGGTGATCAGTCCTATAACACTGGAAATGTATATAGATCTGATTAAAATGTACCTTTGGAGGTTAATTCAAGAAAAAATTTAATAGTTCCTTTGATAAGATGATGAGAAATATGATGGAATAGGGGCTGTGATTCGTAACGACAAGGAAATTTATGGCAACGTTGGTTTTTAAATTCAGAAACTATTGTAGGGATGTCTATTGGTATGGCTTATGTGCCAAAGCCATGTTTTGCAATTAACCATGGTTGATGTGTTTATTCTTTATAGTTTTGGTTTACTTGTCACGTTTGATTGTAATACATAAATAGATGCCCATTTAGTTGTTCTTTTATATTCATTTTCTTTTTGTTCTTAGTCCCCTTCCCAATATATTTCCCCCAGTAAGGTGATAGAAGGCCTTCAGTGCTATTGTTTGGATTGCAGGTCCTATATGTATCCCCAGGAAACTTGCTGGCAATTGTTCTGATGTTTTCTTCCGAGTCGATCTTGAACATTGAGCTAATAGACAAGCTTTTACTCATGATATTGTTTCTTAATCTTTTGGACTTTATCATTATATGTTCATCCGGTTAAATTTCTTTTAAAAGGTTTGGAGTTTTGGTGATTATTTTAGACAATTTAATCCTCATGACAGTTTAAATTGAAAACATTGTATGTGGTTAGCCCTGCATTAGAATTTTTTGTTCTGGTAGAACTTCAATGATAATTGTCCTGGGATTGATCTTTTGCAGTTCTAGAACTTAAAAAGTTAACCATGTTGTTGGACAGCTCATTCTGCTCCATAAGCAGTTTCTATTAAAGTATGCATGGGATTAATGTCGTTACAATTTGCACATAGTTTCAAGAAACATGAAATTCCCATTTTGGCAGGGGAGACTGTTTCTTTTGCGTCAACAATGGGATTTTTGTTTGGCTGTGTTTTTTAGTGCATCATTCCGTTGATCTTATTTGGTTGCAATATCGTGTTTTGTGTGTGTCTGCTGTTGTATTTTGTGTGAAATTGAGTTCCCGTTTGAATTCATGATAACTACATATTTCGGTGAAGAGTGCCTTCTGTGTTTGTTAGAAGACTGCCTGGTGAGGTCCATTTAATTTTTAGAGTTTTGTGCTTCACCTGACATTTTATTTTACCTACAATCTTACTACCTCTAGGCATTGATGATGGCCCACAAAAGTCAATCGTCTGAGCAGATAATCTTTCTTGTCACACACTTATATGGATACCTTTTCCTGCATTTAAACAGTAGGCCTTGGAAGTGCAACCAAGATGGGAGATCCATTGATCTAGTGGCTTTTAGCTTGCTGCTAACACTGATGTTGCCATGGAGAGCAGCCAAGTGGAGGCTACTTGGCAAGAACCTCTGGTTATTGTAAGAGTTAGAAATTTCAAGAGTTATGGTGGGAGGAAAATTTGAGGAAAATTATGAAAATGATTGTGCATCGTTCAGACAGTATGTTCATATGCATGTCATATTCAACACTGCCGGGCTCTTTCACATAGGCTTGGTTTCTGCTTTGTTTTTCAACACACCATGCGGTAGGTAATTGCTGTGTGGTTTGGGTGTCCAAGGTATCCTGCTGCCATTAGGTTATACACATTCAGTATACTAATTAGAGGGCTCGGTACCATCCTCCCAGATTCAGCTTTTGCTATTTTCTTTTAAAAGAAATCAAAAGGATCCATGAAATTCATTTGTTACTCCCCTCTTGACTGTTTAGTAGCAACTAGCATGACTGTGTAAAACTTGCCTCTTATTAATGGCGTTTCAAAGAGCATTGCAGATGCTTCTAGGTTTTTCAGGTCGGTTGAGTGCTGCAACACAACAGTAGATAGCAGCTTGTACAGTTTTGGTAAAGGGCGGAAGAACTCTTTCCCTATAACACCTCATGGTAGCTCATTTGACATGTTCAACATGTTTTCTATTAGTTTCAGAAGTAATTTAGCTTGCAAATACTAATTTTTTATATTAGCCATTGTGTCTGATTGTATTTTGAGTACGAAAAGCAGTTCTCATGTCAAAGTAGTGTGGAATGTTGACACAATAAACAGAAAAGAAAGAGAGGGAAAATTTTCCGGAGTGCCTTCTATACATTTATCTATTATGATTAGATTATCAGGTCTCTTCAATTTCCTCTGAATGCAGTTTTTTTGCTACTGTTTTCTGTCTCTGGAAGCTCTACTATATAAATGTTATTACAGTGTCTAATCCTGTAATGATGGAGCTGTTAGAAAGCTCCCATTATGTACAACTGTCAACTTTCATGTGCTTATTCAAAAAACCTGCAGCTGAAAGCTTGGCATCAACATCATCAGGTACTATGAGCTGCCTAATAATTTCTATTTTGGTTTTGAAATAATTTTGCGGTTAGGATTTTGTTTTTTGATAACTACTCAACGGGATACAACTTCCTCAATATCCGAACTTGCTAGGAATATCAGTTCCACGGATTATGTTTATTATATTCCAAGTTTCAGTTTCTTCCTCCTCCTTATCACTCAGTATGATTCGTATGTATTTATAATTATATTTATATATTGCACATCAAAGTACTCCCATTTACATACTTAAAATAATGTTAAGCTGAAGACCTTAGTTTTGACTAATTATGCCATCGCTTTGGCATCATAGCCTGTTTCCTCCCCGTTTCAACTTTCAACCACCACCCTTTTTGCAAAATAAGCATGAATTCTTCGAGTATCACCCTTCGCCCATTCAGAGTAACGGACACTGATGATATCATGTTATCGATGGCCGATGATCGAGTAACGCGAAATCTCCGAAGGAAGACCATAACCTCTAAAGAAGAAGCTTTGACTTTCATCAGGGAAGTCTGCATCCCCCATCCTTGGCGGCGATCAATATGCGTTGATGACCGATCGATTGGATCCATCTCCATCTCCCCTGGAACGGGGGATGAGCGGTGTAGGGCAGAGATTGGGTACGCCATAGCAGTTGATTACTGGGGCCAGGGGATCACCACCATGGCAGTGAAGATGGCACTTTCTCAGGTTTTTAAGGACTTTCCTGATGTAGTGAGACTGCAGGCTTATGTTAATGCAGAGAATAAGGCCTCCCAAAGAGTATTAGAGAAAGCTGGTTTTCTCAAGGAGTGTCTTGTAAGGAAATACGCCTATCTCAAGGGCAAGCTACAGGACTTGGTTATCTATAGCTTTCTATCTACAGATACGATTCCTGCAGATCCTTAAACTTATATGCAGTTTCTGAGAAGCTATGAGCACTTGATACATTAATGTGTGTGTGTGTGTGTGTGTGTGTATTATGGGCACTTGCATACAGTTGCTTGGACTCTTTCAGATTGTCGGTAGCTCCACTTGTTTTATTATACATGTATCTGTATATATATGGACACTTGTATAGAGTTGCTTAAACTCTTTCAGTTTGACAATTATAAAATCTATATCTTTATATTGTATAATTGTGGAATTGGGACATCTATGATGTACAGTTGCCTAGACTTGGTTGAAATTGCCTTAGCTAGTGACACTTTTAGCTTCCTTATGCACTGTTCTTGGTATATAATTACAATATCAAAAGAAAATCTGCAAGTGGTTGAAAATCTCAATAAAATTGCTTATAAAACAGTCATTAGAATTGGAGTTTTCTCAGGTCATGAAGTTTGCAACAAAAGAAAGCTGATTGTATTGTTTGTGTTCACTATCTGTGTTTTGTAGGATCACAGAAAAAGTCAAATTGTTTGAACTGTGTAGATAAACCAGTTGCAAGCTATAACAACAACGAAACATTAGCAATTGCCAGGAAAAGAACAATAAAATCCAGTGCTGGGTGGTTTCTTTTTAGGGTCTTTATGTTGTCTGCATTTACATGTTCCTTTCTTAATGATTTTCTTTGTTTAAAACTTTAAATCTATTTCAAATTTCTTTTAGTTTCACTTTCAATTTTATTTGGCATTTTGACCATAATGTACTGTAATTGTCATTCTAATTTCATTGCTTTGTATTGTTAATTTAATTTCATTACTTTTCTTGTCATTCTAATTTCATTTTTACTTGTATCTTTTTCTTATACAATGTTCACAAACTTAAATGTGTCGAAGCTTACATGTATAGTATGCATAAAGAATATAAAAAGAGTTACTGATAAATCTTTAAAAAAAAAAAAAAAAAAAAAAAAAAAAAAAAAAAAAACCACAAGAACAGGAATTTTGTGCACCCCTTTCTGGTGATGAAGGGATCAGAGGCAACGCCTGTGAAAAGATCGTTTGGATTTATGAAAAGGTCGCTCGGATTTACACATCTTCTCTTTAGATTGTACGTCCAGATTATGGTAGGGAATGTCTGTTTTGATTTATGACAGGGAAATTTATGGCAACATTGGTTTTCAAATTCCGAAACTATAGTAGGGAATGTCTATTGGAAAATGCTTATTTACGAGTTTACTCTTTACACTTTTGGTTTACTTCTCACGTTTGATTGTAGTTCATATATATAGATGTCCATTTAGTTGTTCTTTTGTCTTAATTTTCTTCTTTTTATTTCTTTGTCCTATTTGGGTTGTAGGTTCTATATGTATGCCCAGGGTTTATCAACTTGCTGGCATTTTGGAAAGTGTTCTGATATTTTCTTACGAGTCAATCATGAATACTATAATAAGCTAACAGACAACCATTTTACTCATGATCTTGTTCTTAATCGCATGGACTTTCTCGTTATATGTTCACCTGGTTAGATTTCTCTCAAAAAGTTTGGAGCTTTGGTGAGTATTTTAGTCTATTTTAAACACACAGTATGTGGTTATCCCTGCATTCGGAATTTTTTGGTAGAACTTCAATAATAATTGTGATGATGGGGTTGTGATCTTTTGCAGTTCGCAGAACTTACAAAGTTAACCATGTTGTGTTGGAAACCTCATACTGCTCTGTAAGTAGTTTCTATTATCGTCTACATGGGATTAATGTTTATTAAACTTTTTTCATAGTTCCAATAACAGTAAATTCCCATTTTGGTCGAGGAGACTTTGATTCTGTTGAGTCAACAATGAGATTTGCGAGCGTGTTTTAGTATATATCATTCCATCGATCGTATTCGAATTTCAGTATTGTGTTTGTGTGTATGCTCATGTTGTTTTGTGTTTGAAATTGAGTTCTCCTCTGAATCCTTGATGTGTTTGTAAGAGTTAGAAATTTCGGGAGTTTTGGCGGGGGAAAGTTTTTGGACTGCCTTCTATACATATATCTATTGTGATTAGATCAGCAGGTGTATTTAATCTCCTCTGAATGCAGTATTTTTGCTCCTGTTTTCTATCTCTGGAAGCTCAATTATATTAGATGTTGTCAGTGTCTAATTCTGCAATAATGGACTTGTTTGGAAATCTCCCATTATGCATTTTGTTTAGTTTAAAAAAGCCTGCAGCTGACTCCTGTATTTCTCTTTTGTTATATTCTACAGTCCAACTCCTTCCTCCTCCTCCTTATCACTAATTAATATATATATATAGATATATTATATATGTTTGTATATTTATATATTGCACATCAAAGTATTCCATATTATATTCTTAAAATAATATTAGGCCGAAGACCTTAGTTTTAATTAATTAGGCCATCCCTTTGGCATTCAGTATAGCCAGTCTCCTCCCGTTTCAACTTTCAACCACCACCATTCTTGCAAAATATGCATGAATTCTCCGAGTATCACCCTCCGTCCATTCAGGCTAACAGACGTTGACGATACGATGTTATGGGTGGCCGATGATCGAGTAATACGAAATCTCCTCCGATGGAAGACAATAACTTCTAAAGAAGAAGTTTTGACTTTCATCAGGGAAGTCTGCATCCCCCATCCTTGGCGACGATCAATATGCGTGGACGACCGATCCATCGGATTCATCTCCATCTTCCCCGGATCCGGCGATGAGCGGTGTAAGGCAGACATTGGGTACGCCATTGGAGTTGATTACTGGGGCCAGGGGATCACCACCATGGCAGTGAAGATAGCACTTTCTCAGTTTTTTAAGGACTTTCCTGATGTGCTGAGACTGCAGGCTTATGCTAATGCAGAGAATAAGGCCTCCCAGAGAGTATTAGAGAAAGCTGGTTTTGTCAAGGAGGGTCTTTTAAGGAAATACTCCTATCTTAAGGGCAATCTACAGGACTTGGTTCTCTATAGCTTTCTATCTACAGATACCATTCCTGCAGATCCCTAAAGTTACAACTTGATACATTATACACACACACACACATACGGATACTTGTATAGAGTTACTTAAACTCTTTCAGTTTGTGAGCAGCTCTGAGAATTGTTAAATCTATATCTATATTTTTATATTTATAATTTGGGGCTACTCTTATGATGCACAATTTCTTAAGACTTTTGCATAGACTTTGTTGAAATTGCCTCAGCCTGGGACACTTTTAGCTTCTCTATGCGCGGTTTTTGGACTCTTAAATAAGATTTTCTTATGTAAATTTTTGGAATGTTAGTTTTTCATAATGATCAGAAGAATTTGCAATTAGCATTTCCGGCATACAAAAGTTGTCATGATGGAATTTTTTTGGTAATATAATTACAAGATCAAAATCTCAATAAAATTGGTTATGGAATAGGTCAGTCACAGAGGTGTGAAATAAAAGACGGAAGTTTTACGAATTAACCCCAAATGAGTAAATTACATTCCAACAAAAGCTAATTACAAATTCACTTTGCAAACTAAAGCATTTACTTTGCTAACTATACATTCAAATAGCTAATTACATTTCGCAACTAAAAAAGTTCGGCTTTCTAATCTGTATTAAATCCTTGACAATCTCCGTGTTTCTAATCTTTGCTACACCCATTTTATTATTATTTTTAATTATTAAGTCATGCTATTTAGCCTGATAAATAAAACACTATCTATTTATTCATTGAAATGGCAACAAAAACCGATCAGTTTTTATATCATTACTCAATTTCTTTTGGTGTTGCATTTTACCGGAAACATGTTTGATATCCATCAAACATTATTAGAAAACCCAGGTTAGATTTCCAAAGTTGAAATTAGATGAACCCCAAGTTCTCCACTAGAACTTGCATTGCTTGTCTAATATAACCTGGTAAGAGATATCAATCAAATCCTAATGAAAAAAAAAATGAAGTAGAGTAGAAATGAGGTTTGCAATGTTGAGTGAAAAATTTGCAGTTATTTAATGGTAAATATTTCTCCCTAAATGTCCTAGAAGATACTTATTTATTGTTGATGCAGAAATCTGTTCTGTCCGGAGCCAGGGGTGTTTCCTGCAAGACAAGAGAAAAGTGACAACCGGCGTGGTGCCGGCCGAGTGCACTCCGACGGTCAAGTTAATACTTAACGATTGAATATCCAATAAATGATTAAATATAGGATTTATGGCGTACTTCCAAACGTCGATTAGCCTCCTTTATTAATATGGCTTAGGTCAGGATGTCACGTAGAGTTACCGTTGTCTTCATCCTTATCATAATCTGTAGGCTTAATCCTTATCGTAATCTATAGATTTAATCCTTATCGTAATCTGTAGGTTTAATCCTTATAGTAATCTGTAATCCTTATCGTAATCTGTAGGTTTAATCCTTAGAGTAATCTGTGATCCTTATTGTAATCCGCAGAGCCTATCTCAATCTTATGAGATAACGCGTTAATTTAACAACCTTCCCTTATCCACGGGTATTTAATTTATACATCCATCAGTTACCCCCCGTTTTGGAAGATTGTTTGTCAAACCACCGGAACGTTAATTCCCAAATATTTCATAATAATAGATATTTAGAATTGTAGAGCCGTTCACCCCGCACTTCTACAATGAGTTGGTTTGATTATTAGATAGTAGAGCCCTGCCCATTAACCTGACTCATATTGCCACTTCGCGAACACAGTCGAAGGTCGAGCCTGATTCAAATTTAACCTAACACAGTCGGGGGTCGAACCTGACTCAAATTTAGCCTAACTCAAATTTAGCTTGACACGGTCGGGGGTAAAGCTTGACTCAAATTTAGCCTGACACAGTCGGGGGTAGAGTCTGACTCAAATTTAGCCTGATTCAAATTTTGCCTGACACAGTCGGGGGTAGAGCCTGACTCAAATTTAGCCTGACACAATCGGGGGTAGAGTTTAACTCAAATTTTGCCTGACACAGTCAGGGGTAGAGTCTGACTCAATTTTTTTTTTTTTTTAGGACCGTAGATGTCTTTGACATATTTGTCGTAGTGCCACATTAGCAGCTCGTATATGTGGTAAGCTGCTATGTTGGCAGCCTACCTTTCAGCACATAGGCAATTCACGTGGGGCTACCAGTGTGGTTATCCTATTCGAGGATTGACTCCTAATCCTATTCTCTGACCAACATGTCGTCCGCGATTTCACCTTGTAGAAGTAAATTCCTACGCAAAATAGCTCGCTGGGAACTGATTGTCCCTCACGAAACAAATTTCTATTAGAACTCCACCATAAATCTTTTCCTTATTTGTTTACGTTCTTCTTCTATAAATCGAGACGATTTGAGTAGAATTCATTCAAATTATTTCCATCTTCCAGAAAACCGAGTAGTACCAGTCGTAGTGATGTTGTTTTATACTTAATTTTATTGACATCTTTAGTCAACTCGTCCCTTTAATAAGAGAAGTAGATTAATATGAGTTTCACTCAGCTCATCTCTTTTAATAAGAGAAGTAGATTAATACGAGTTTCTCGTAGTGATTTTGTTTTGTACTTGATTTTATTGACATCTTTAGTCAACTCGTCCCTTTAATAAGGGAAGTAGATTAATACGAGTTTCACTCAGCTCGTTTCTTTTAATAAGAGAAGTAGATTAATACGAGTTTCACTAAGCTCATCCTTTAACAAGGAAGTAGATTACTATGAGCTTCACCCAACTCACCCTCTAACAAGGGAAGTAGATTATTATGAGCTTCACCTAGCTCACCCTTTAACAAGGGATGTAGATCCTTTAACAAGGGAAATAGATTACTATGAGCCTTGCCCAGCTCACCCTTTAACAAGGGAAGTAGATTACTATGAGTTTCATCCAGCTCACGCTTTAATAAGAGAAGTAGACCATTTAACAAGGGAAATAGATTACTATGAGCTTCATTTAGCTTACCCTTTAACAAGGGAAGTAGATTACTATGAGTTTCACCCAGCTCACCCTTTAATAAGGGAAGTAGATCCTTTAACAAGGGAAGCAGATTATTATGAGCTTCACCCAGCTCACCCTTTAATAAGGGAGTGGGTAACCCCTCGTCTCTTTACCGAAGGAAGATATGAAGTTGACCTTTCGTTCCTTTACGGGGGAAAGAGGTTTAGTCTTAATGAGGGTGACCCTTTTAATACAGGAGGTTTCGTCTCGTCTCTCTAGTAAATGAAGGAAACTTGAATTATCTCACCTTTCTGTGTAGAGGGAGTAATCGTATTCTTGTCCCTTTAATGAGGGAATAATGTGTTGTTGGCCCTTTGTCCCTTTAATAAGGAAACGTTTAATAAGGTGTAGTCGGCCTCTCATCCCTTTAATAAGGAAATATTTAATAAGGTGTAGTCGGCCTCTCATCCCTCTTGGGTTGGGTTGGAGCCTCTTCTTCCATTCCCAGTCGTGAATTTGCGTAAATGACCCTTGTGAACAAGGTTCTCAATCTGGTTTTTGATGTCGAAACAATCTTCTGTGTTATGTCCATGGTCCCGATGGAACTTACAGTACTTATCTTGAGACCTCTTTGTTGGATCAGCTTTTAACTTTAGCGGCCATTTTAATGATGAGTCATCTTGAATCTGTAGAAAAGACCTGCTCTACAAATGTGTTTAGAGACGAGACGATCTGTCAGCCTGGCTGCCTTAGAATTTCTTGTACTTCGATTCTTTTTTCTCCCTAGTGCTAGGTGCTGGTCTCTTTTTATCCGATCTCTTATCTTCACCATCTTTGTTTTTTCGTGCATTCATAGTATCCTCAGTGTTTATGTGCTTCCGCACTCTAACCATCAACCCTGCCATGCTCGTAGGGGCTTCCTTTAACAAGAAGAATAGGAACTTAGAGGTCTGTAGTCCTCCCATAAAAGTTGTGAGGGCAACGTGTCGTGCACCTCTTCTACTTGCAGCATTTCTGTGTTAAAACGACTTATGTAATCACGAAGAGGCTCTCCTTTCTGCTGCTTCACATTCAATAAGTGTGTTGCTGGTCTCCTATGCCTCTATCCAGCGATAAAGTGTCCTATGAATTATTTGCTCAACTCAGTAAAGTTTTCAATGGAGCCTGGCTTTAATTTATTGAACCAAAGACGAGTCCAACCCTTTAGCGTGGTAGGGAAAACCCTGCACATAATCTCGTCTGGTACGGCTTGTAAATACATAAGAGCTTTGTAGGTCTTCAAATAGTCAAGAGGGTCCCACGTCCCATCGAAGCTCTCAAGAGTTGGCATCTTGAATTTGCTAGGTAGAGGACAACTCATAACAGCTAGGCTAAATGCTAGGTTGGTCTTCTATACCAGATCGTTCACTGTGGCCTGGCCCTTCCCTTTCATCGCTTGCAGGACGTCTTCGACCCTAGCTCTCAGATCTTGCATCTGTAGATCGAAATGAGTGACGTCCTCAGTTTTGTCGCCAACACAACCAGAGGTATTTCCACGGAGCTTGGCGGTATTTCGTTCAGGAGACCGATGGTGATGGCTTATCTGTTGACCCCTTATTTGACTAAGCTCAGCGTCATTGTCAATCCTACGGGAGTTATTGTTGGATACTTCACTGTTCTCTACCTCGTTGGGGGCGGCTAAGCGTTGCAGAATCATCGCATTTTGCTGGACTAATTTGTGATACCCTTCGATTCTAGAGCCACCGGTGATCAAGTCCGAGTACAAAATACAAGGGATACCAAACAATTAATATTTAAACAAGCATTGGAATACAAGATGAATTAAAAATAAATAGATAAGCTGAAAAGAAAACTAAATAATAATTAAAAATCCCATACTAAAGTTCTCCAATCCTCTGATACCAGTAATTAATTAAAACCACAACTCGGGGAATCCATATTGTGGACCCCTAATAATATCCTAACTGAAATAACTGAACTGAAATAAATCTGATAATTAAACCATGAAGAAGAGTCCTACGTAGAGTCGGAAGAGTGAATGACTGTCTCTGCCTGGCACGAACAATCTCTAAGACTGGAACTGACGAACACCTGAAAAATAATGGTGGGTCAGGCCCACAAATAAGTTCTAATCTACTACATCCCAAAAAGAGACCCGATACACGTACACATCCTAATTAATTCAACAATAACTAAATAGTCCATATGTAGATATATACACACTAAAGGAACCTCACTAGACTATAGAGTTGTCTCAACCTGAATAGTAGGCAACATGCAAAACGCACATATAGT